TGCGGCTTATAGTCCGAAAATTATGGTATATGTGTTGTGAATTGGCGCTATAGAAATAAACTGAATTGAATTTTGAGCAAAAGGAAAATCATCCCTCCAAAAGTAACTAGTAAAGCCAAATTAAACATTGTATAGGAACTCAGAGAAAAGGACTGTCAGATTGGGTGGAGGTTTTTGAGCACCAAAATGCAGAGATGAGGTGGCAAAGATTAGCTTTGTAGATTTGATAAGGACCTCCAGGAAAATACCAAATACTGAAAACCAAAAAAAAATGTAAGAAATGTCAGGGATAACATACATTAGGAGCAAAGAGATGAGGAAGCAAAATAACAAAAACAAGAAACCAGCACTGAATGAAGGCTGTGCTGCTCTTTAAAGCCCAGCACTCCTATGAGCCTGATGAGCTCCACCTGAGTAGGCTACCCAGGTTTTCCACCAAGATCCTCTCAAGAAGAGATGCATCACTACCACTAACACACACGGGAACCCTGACAAAGACCTTTGTCTGTTTAAACATTATGGTCTGAAGAAAGTAAAATCAATGTGTATGTCTATAATGTATATTTAGAGGAAAAGGATGCCTGATAACAACAGTAAAGTATGAGGATGGCAGCATAATGCTATGGGAAAGGGAGAATCGTGTCAAACAGATTGCATTGAAAAATACCAGAGGAACATCTTCAGGCAAGGCTTGTTTATTTATATAGCACTTCTCAGTAGCAGGAAAATTCAAAGTGCTGAATCTAATTAGCCAATGTAAACAAATGTCTTTACTGTAAATTTAAAGAATCCTAGATTTTCTGCACTTGTACAGTCTTCTAGGAGTTTATTCTGAATTTGTGGAACATACAAACTAAATGGTGCTTCTCCATGTTGGGTTCTGGTTGTGTAGGGTAGACATGAGTCAGAGGACCTAAGAGGTCTGGATGATTGATACACTGACAACAAGACTGTAATGTATTTCAATGAGTTATAGACTGGAGGATTTTAAAATCTATTCTCTGTGACACCGGTAGCCAGTTTCAGGACTTTAGCACTGGGGCGAATCTCTTCACTTACGTACATATTTTTGGTGAAGATGCAGGGAGCAGCATCTTGGAACAGCTGCAGCTGTCTGATCCACTTTTTGGGCAGAGATGTAAAAAGACATCGATGCAGTATTCAGTGCTACTAAAGATGAATGCATGAATGAGTTTTCCAAGCTCCTATTGAGACATGGGTCCTTTAATCTAGGAAATGTTCATTAGGTGATCAAATGCTAAATTTATCAGTAGCTACATTTACAAACACAAGATTTCCCCAATCTGTTCTAAAGTTTGGATAGTTGGAAATTCAAAATCTCTTTTTACATGGATACTAATAGAATCATTCAATCATAACGCGTGTATACATGTATCAACATTTTGATCAGATTAAATAATTTAAGCATGCATGGAACCAAAAAAATTTCGGGAAATCGGTAAGATCAGCAGACACCATCTCGCTCTTTCAGAATGAAATTTCTTTCCAATTAGTCCAGATTAGAAACTTCAGTCTGACATACGTGATCAGCTCTATGTTCACAGACCGGAAAATGAAACAAGTCAAGAAAACAACACTGTCCCTACTGTTAAACATGGAGGAGGCTCTGTTATGTTCTGGGGCTGCTTTGCTTCATCTGGAACAGGAAGTCTTTAATCTATGCTGGGTACAATGTGATCTCAAGACTATCAAGAGATTCTAGAGAGAAATGTGCTTGCAAATATCAGAAAGCTTGGTCTCAGTTCAAGGCCTTGCAACAGGATAATGACTAAACACACCGCTAAAAACACCCAAGAATGGCTAAGAGGAAAACATTGGACTATTCTGAAATTGCCTCCTATGAGCCCTGACCAAAATATTATTGAGTGTCTTTGGTAGGAGCAGAAACATGGAAAAACCTCCCTTCGCACCTGAGAAAACTGGAGTAGTTTGCTCATGAAGAGTGGGCCAAAATACCTGCTGCGAGGAGCAGAAGTTCCATTGATAGTTACAGGCAGTGTTGGGAAAGTTCTCTTTCTACGTGAACTAGTTCAAAGTTCAGTTCACACATTTTAAAATGAACTAGTTCAGTTCATAGTTCACAATTCCAAAAAACGAACTAGTTCATAGTTCTTTTTTTTTTTTCATATATTGCTCAATTACACCATAGCCTACTGTAGAACCACAGACAGCAATTATTTTATCAGTTGTAACACTGAAACTGTGCGTCAGATTTCATCTTCATATCCAGTTTTGAATCCTTATCCAACCAGGGTTTACATTAGCATTGAGGGGACAGCATTTCCCCATTGTTGCTTTAACGCTTTGTTGCTGTCCATTCACTTCACACTAGTAGCAGCTGCAGCTTTCACCCCTACAGTATATTCTCAAAAACATCAGGAAAAATGTGCTGCTTGAATGGTCTTTTTTATGAGGAATTATTAAAAGAAAAATAGGAAAGTAGTCTTTAAGGTGCAAATGTTTTTTTTTTATTTTAATAATTTTTTCCATTTGAAATTTCATTTCAGTACATACTAAAAAGGAATCCTGGAAATTATACCAGGCAGGTTTAACAAACAAGTTACATGGATAGTAAAACCCTCAAGAACAGGGGTCTTCTTTTCCAGACCAAGGACCCCCAAACTGATGGCGAGATGGAGCGGGGACCCCCTATTTATATATATTGTATGAAATTGTGTCCTATAGTCACTCTATTACAGATGGAGTAATGTAAAGAAATTAATTTCTCCCTGGGATTATTAAAGTTTTTCTGATTCTGATTCCTGGTTGTTGTGAAGGAAACGGTGCCCAGCTTGAAAGAGCTCCTGTGTGTCGCTGAATGTGAGCATTGATGACTGAAAGACATCTTCTGCCTCCATTTATCTGTTTACTACAGTGTGTTGATTTCATGTTAATGAGTATTTAAAGACATTTCAATTAGTGGGGGAAAAAAATGCAGGGGGAGAATATAAAAATATCAACTAACCATGCAGACCCTCATGCAGTACCTCCGTAGACCCCCTAGGGGTCGCGGATCCCCCGTTGAAGACCGATCAAGAAGATTTTACTAACACAAACTGAGGGACCAGGCTGAGGTAGGAATTTAAGGTTACTGAAGTGCGGATTTTTTTACTGAAAGCCGGCGGGCAAACTTGTTGCCATCATCCTCACCGACCACCTGGTCATAAAACTGTTTTAAGTCGCCTCCTTTTGTTTTGATGACGCACGCGGCTGTAGGCTACGACGCTGGTAGCTGGTGTTGCCAGATTGGGTGTTTCTCCCGCTACATATTAAGGCCTGTTTACGGTGTGATTTAGCTGGGGTTTCGCCTGGAGGGCTTTATAGAAATCTGGCAACTTATTGAACGGAGTTGAACTGAGAGAGCGTGCCGTTCACAGACACCAGAATGAACGAGTTCACAATAACGTTCACCAGGCAATAATGCAGTACATTCAGTTCACGTTCGCCCAAAATATGAACGAGTTCATGAACTTTCGTTCAATGAACGCGTTCAGGCACAACACTGGTTACAGGAATTGTTTGATTGCAGTGAATGTTTTAAAAGGTGTGAATGAAAATATTAAGTTATCGGTACCACCATTTTGGTCCGGGCCTGTTTCATGAGATTTATTTCTTAAATTATTCTGTTGAAGGAGTGTTTAAAAGCAGCTCTGTTTAGTATTGATCTGAAAATAATTAGTGGAGTTTCTCCAAGAGTGCCAACTTACCTGTGAACTCATCTCTTAAAACACATGCACTAACAACATTAGTAGCTGTTGAAGTTGTGATGTAGCATGCAGAAGTTTGTCCAGCTACTGAAGGGTTGCTGGTTCAGATCTCAGCTCACTTGTCTCCTTGGGCAGGACACCTGAAACTTATTGGTGAAATGTTAATGGTGTTCAGGGGACATCTGTTAACACCCAGGACAGATGTGGCTACAATGCTTTAGACCAAGGGCCTTCAAACAAGTACCTCCTTGGACCCCCTAGGGGTCGTGAACCCCCTGTTGAAGACCTCCGCTTTAGACAGTGTAAGATTAATTACCAGTTATGCAGATGACACTGAGCTGTATTTTTCCAAAAACCATGTTGTTAACAATATCGTGTGTACTGTTAACTTTTGTTCACTAATGTTAAATAAATGTAACAATAATAAGAACATGTTCCAACCCTTAAAGAGTTAACAATTTAACTCTTTCAAAAGTGTTTTTTAAGTGTTTCCACCTATTTTTGGGAAGTTTTTTTCCTTTCTTCCAGCAGCTCTTCTTTCCTTTATGTTTTCTGGAATCTGCCTAAGTACCTCTTTTTGGTATCCATCGTCGCTAACACATTCTATGTAACAGATATGGTTTTAATCTATGCTCTGGATTACCCATAATTCCAATTCATAGTGTAAAAAATAAAATACTCAAATGCATCGTTCTTTTAAGGTCTTTATTGCAGTTTAAAACATATTAAATGAGTGTATTTTTTACCACCCATCTAATGAACTATACACAGCTATTAACATAGTAATGAAAAGCACCACTGTCTGCTTTTCTATTGGTGACACGTTTAAACGGCTCACCATCCTGTAAAATGTCTGGAATGTGTTGGGGTATAAATAAGGTCCGGTCAATCAGACTAGTATCAGTTGGGTTTAAGAGGATTTTTTTTGCACCATTACATTTGCAAAAATAGGTCCTAGTCCACATTTGCGTAGGGGGCCTACCAGGTGTCAGTGACGGGGCCCCTAAGAGGTCGGGGGCCCCTAAGCAACTGCAGTCTCTGCTTACCGATAGTTACGCCATTGCATGGATGTCAAAAAGCTAACAAATTGGACTTTTACTCTCACTGTTTGGAAAATATGTTCTTATTTAGTGTGATTTTTGGATAAATCAGGAAAATGTTTATCTAATGAGAAATTAAAATTGATATCGGAATTATGGAGTATGTACACCAATGGCTTGCCGTAGCCCTGTCCTCGCTTCTTCAGTCAGAGAGGGGGGTGGGGGTGGGGGGTACCGCCGCACTTTGACTTCCCAGCTCTGACATAGCGTCACCGGTGAAACCAGAAGACGCACTCCAGTCCGCACCCACACAGAGAGAAGATGTCCGAGCCCAACAAGTACCGTGAGTGGATCCTGGAAACTATCGACTCCCTCCGCTTGAGGAAAGCCCGTCCGGATCTGGAAAGGATTTGTCGAATGGTTCGGAGGCGCTACGGGTCTGACCCAAACCGAACCAGGACGGAGCTGGAAAAACTCATCCAGGAGCAGACGGTGCTCAAAGTTAGCTACAAGGGATCCATCTCCTACCGAAACGCGGCTAAGGTGCAGAGGAAATGCAGAAAGAGGAGCGACTTGGACCGAGGCGCAGATGCGGCGCGGAACAAACCCGATCATCCGAACAACAACGGCGACAGCGCGCACAGCTTCACCGACCCGGAGGAGGAGCCGCCGGATCCCCGCGGCGGAACATCCACCAGCAGCCGCAACAAAAAGCTCCAGCCTTCCTGCTGCTTCAGCGGTGGCGCAACAACGAGCTGCGCTGTCGGGAGCGGCTGCGAGGAGGAGAAAGCAAGTGCACCGAGAGAGGAGGGATTAGGACGGCCGGGAGCGGGGGGCTGCCCCGGAGCAGACACTGTGGAGGACGGGGGGAAGAAGTCCGATCTGTCCGGAGCTGAGACTTGCTCCGACAGCCGAGCTCAGACCCAGAGGCAGACCGAGTCCAAACTTCCACTCACAGGAGGGAGCAACAAAGCAGCGCACCGCCACGCCAACTCAGAGCTGCGCGACAAACTGACGGCTCTGTCCGAGAGAAGCCACCGAGGAGGAGCAGGAGGAGCAGGGGGCTCCTCCGCCGCGACCAGAGGCCACGTGAAGCCGCTGGGCTTAAAGGAGATCCTGGGCTACCTGAGCAGCCAGGAGCAGCTGTCGGAGGAAAAACTGACCCGAGGCAAAGTCAAAGCGGTGATGGAGAGAGAGGTGGAGAGGGGCAGGCTGCGCAGGACGCGCTGCGGGAATATCACTCTCCCTCTGCGGGGGATTGAGAATCCGCCCGCTGACAGACTTGTTGGGAGAAGCGCACTGCAGGACGAGCGCGCAGCGGCGAAGGTGGGCAACTTATTATTTCTAACACGTCTGGCGCCACAGAGCTGCCTGGATGCGCTCATCAATGATTGATAGCTGTTTCAAACAGCAGGCATGGCACCGAGGCGCGCGGGATGATGAATAATTACAGGAAACCTGTCACTTGGACGTAGCCAGGCTGCTCTGTTTGGTTTCCACCGTAGCTCGGTTAGCACTTCGATGCGTCTCTTTTTATTTATTTTTTTGCGCCGCATCTGATCGCTCCATCGTGTGCGTGTAGGTCGACTTTCTGCACAAAAGGTGCGGGGATGCTGAAGTTAGTGTCCGATTCGGCGAAGCGGGCCCTTCCAAAACCTTGGAGCTTCTGGAACCGCTTGAAATAAAATTATGAAACACTTAAATCTATTTTGTTTTCATTGCATAATCTTTAAAATACAGTTTGGTTATTATTTTAACGTTTTAACTTATGAAAACTTTTAACACGTCTATTTCTGGTGGCAGTTTTCTTATACAACTTTAAAAATCTGCTAGATTTAAACTGAACCAGATGTTCTTATAATTTCAGATTATAGAAAACTCAATTTAGGATACGTTAATCTTTTTTATTTTCAACTTGTAAAAGATTAAAACAAAAATCCCCAAAAGATTTCTTAAAGATTTTTAGCAAATTGGGTTTCAGGATTATCTTAGTTTTGGACGTGTTTATGAAGTAAATCTATCTTTAAGGAGGTTATAAAAAGCAAATGAACTTCAGAATAAACTTCAAGTGGTGTTTTTAGGTTACCTAAGGGGTTCATAAAAGCATAACTAATCTAAATAAGAAACCTCATAACATTACACTACGGACATTACAGATTACAACATCATTTGTAATTCATTTTCTTTTACAACATTTGAAAAACCCCTGCAGAGGCTAAAATTGGGCAAATAATGCATACAAAGCTATTAACATGTTTTATCTATAGGCGGAGTCTTTTTAGGATGTGTCCCATGTAGGGTGCCTTAAAATTTAAAGTAAAGCTTTACAAAATTACCTTTTAGACATGGTAAAAAACACGAATAAGTAAAAAACAACAACATTTTAACCATGATGGTGCTTCAAATTATACAGTCTGCCATTAACACAGAACTGTTATGTCTAGATTTGCTCTGCTTAGATTTTTTTTAGCTATTTAGAAGTGAGGTTCTGTAAAGTTCAGTTATAGTTTCCTTAGGTGTGTTGTCAGGTGAGTTTGTCAAAGCACTTATAAACTCCTAGTTATGTAAGCAAAGAGCTTTACAGCAAAATATATCCTCTGCATTTAACCTCCTTTACAAGGGACAAGTATAACCCAGACGTGAAGTTCCAGATAGAAATGCATGATTACTCACAGTTCATCTAAAGAAAAACTTTGCAGTTACTTGCATTAGAAGCAGATCCATTTGATAAAATGTTTACAAGTCTGCTGACATCTGAAGCAGACTTTCAGCTTCTCACCCAACTGTTACCAAATCAACACATGGCTGAATACACAAACCTTTCTATTATTAAGTGATGCTTTTATATCTCTAAGCATGATAAATAAATGTGTATTACTTAGTTTAATATTGGTTTTAGGGGTCAGGACCATTACGATCTAAAGCACAGATTGGGTATGAAATGCATCTTTAAGGATTGCATTTGTTAGCCCCGTTATTCCGGTCGGTCATCAGGAATCTTAAGAAAAGCCTTGAAATGAAGATTTTCTTCTAGTTTAACTAAATAAGAATTCCTCATATCACTAACTTAGATTGGTTTGTATTTAGTTCAAACTGGCCAGCTGTCCTTCTGCATCACCACAGCATGACGCCCCCGCCACCTTGCTTTGCATTTAGAATAGTACATTCATTGCTCTATAATCTGACATGCTTATTTATTTTTATTTTTTTTCTTAAGTTAGACCTGTGGAGGTCGTCTTATTTTGCAAGTTTACCCAGTCTTGGAGTCCCAGGATTTTTTTTTCTTTTTTTTTTCTTTTTCAGATTTAATACATATTTAACCAACTACAAACTGTGTTGCATGCAGTAGGCAATTAAAAAAAAGGGAAAAAAAGCTCAGAATTGACAGTTCTAACTCTTTTAGGACAAATTAATTGTCGTTGAATTTAACAGAGTGGTTTTGTAGCCGTAGCACCGAATCAGATGCTAACTTCAGCGCTGCACGCACAGAGGAGCGGGCGGCTCCCAGGACCAGCAGAGAAGAGCGCCGCTGGGAGCCATCCCAGCCTCTGGGCTCCTTTCCATGTTGTGTCGCTTGGATTCCCTTCATATGAAGTTAACGTCGGCTGGTGCGCTCCATGTCAGGCGATGTCTGTGAAAAAAGAAAAAGAAAAAAACTTGAGGCCGGTGGAGGGGCTCATCCAGTTTATTGCTGTTTGTTTCTCTCCTCCCCCCTCGGTGCCTCATTAAAACCTTTCTATGGTCCCTGACACCCCCCCCCCCTCCCCCCTGGATTAGACTCCAGTGAGCTGCTCGTTATTTCTGATATTTGTCTCTTTTCTAGCCATAACCCTCCTTTTCCATGTGATGTTTATAAAGAGGACATTTTTAAAACTTGTCTACAGACTCCACCTCCAGCCACTCTGGAGGACGAGGCCATGGAAACCTGTGAGAAGGAAGAGGAGGAACAGGGAGGACATGAGGAAGAGAAAGAGGATGATGATGATGATGATCCCAGGAGTTCTGATGAGGATGGAGGACTTTCCCCGGTAGCCATGACAACCGAAGCTGGACTTGCTGAGAACAACAGAGAAGATGTGGGCTTTGAGAGAGAGCTGAAGGAGGAGAGCCCCCAGCAGCAGAGGCAGGATGGAGAAGGTGTGTGGCTTCAATTATGTTCTGCTGCCTCTAGCTTTAGGTTCTTCTAAGTTTATTAGTTTTGCAACATTCACAACCACATACTTGGATGTATTTTGTCAGGATTTCAGATGAATAACTAACATTACTGGTACATTTTAATGATCGTAGCACGTATTGCCTGAACCCCTGCTCTCTACCAACTTTCAGTAGTTCAAACTCAGTGAGATTGGAAAAGGTCTGAGTCTTGCTACAGCTTTAATTCTGGACTCTGACTGGGCCTTTTCCACTTTGAGCCAAGCTCTTCCTCTGTAGGTCTAACTTTAAAAGTTTGGCTCTCTCTAGTATTTCCCTGTAACTCCATCCATCATGATCTTTAACCAAGCCTCCCCGTCTCAAAGATAGCATTCCCACAGCATGATGCTGCCACCACTATGGTTTGCTGTGAGAAAAGGTTGTCGTGGGTAGTTTGTTGACTAGTTTTCTGGCATCAACAGAGTTTTGCACGTTGGACAAAAATCTGATCTGTCCAGAACGTCTTCATTTTCACTTTCCTTTTCCACAAACTGCAGACTTACAGTTGTCTCAGTTACACTGTCCCATCTAATAATAATAATAATAATAATAATTTAACTTTATTAGGGCTGCACAGTCGGCAGTGGGTAGCACTGCTACCTTGCATCAAGAAGGTTCGGGGTTCGATTCCTGGCCCAGGATCTTTCTGCATGGAGTTTGCATGTTCTCCCTGAGCATGCGTGGGTTCTCTCCTGGTACTCCGGCTATCTCCCACAGTCAAAAAGCATGACTGTTAGGTTAATTGGCTTTCGAAATTCTCCTTAGGTGTGAGTGTGTGTGTGTGTGAATGGTTTTTTGCCCTGTTTGTCTCTGTGTAGGCCACCAGCACCCCTTGCAACACCACCTGGGATAAGCTTGTCAGAAAATGGATGTATGGATGAACTTTATTAATCTCACAATGGAGAAATGAACTCCATTTAACCCATCCCCTTGGGGAGCAGTGGGCTGCCACTGTGTGGCACCCGGATAGCAGTGTGGGGTTTAGGGTCTTCCTCAAGGACCCAGAGTGGCAGTCTGCGGGAGTTGAACCAGGACCCAAGCGAAATCTAACCACTAGGCCACCATTCCCCCCCTTTTTTTTGTTTCCTTTTTATATAATAATTTGTCTGAGCAGTTGATCTCTGCAGCTCCTCCAGTGTTACCATGGTAATCTTTATTACCTTTTTGATCAACTTCCATTACTTTCCTTGTACTTAACAATCATGCTTTATGTTTGTCATAAAAATAGATTTAAGTAAAATGCGGAAAAAAAGTGAAACATGTTTACAATTACTTTTTTATAACAAATCAATGTTTGAACAAATTTCACATAGTTTTACTTTTTTCTCCTGTTTTTTTATTTTTTTTTGGAGGAGTAAACATTACTCCTTCAAAGTGAATGTTTTAACTTTAACCTTAACTCTTTCTTCTTTATTTCCTCTCATTCTGCTTCAGCTGCTTGCTCCTCAGCGATGTCTGAGCTTGACCTTCCTCTAGAGACCCAGTCTCCACCTCCTGACGGAGCCTCCTGGTCTGAGTGTAACGGCGCACACCCGGAGGAGGCAGCTTTCACTTCCGATCATTTAGTGAGTGAATCATCCATCCTGTTCTCTTTTATCACTGCTCCGTTTTTTTTTAAATAAAAACAAGGTAGGTTAGCTTACTATTTTAATCAAACTATCCATCATTTGGTGTTGCAAATCATTTATAGTTTGAAATAGTTCAGGTTTGGGTAGGATTTCTTTTTTTATATATAGGTTGGGTTCAGAGCTGAAAATGACATCTGCCTGGTAATCTGAAAAGCTGGCTAATTTAGGTTAGATGGTTTGCCGTTATACGGCACTCTGATTAAACAATGTTTGGGGGAATATTTTCTACCTTAAAGCTGCTTTAAACTTCTCCAGACCTTCTTCCCTGACTGGTCTATGATATTTCTTGGCTTTCATGATGCTCATTGTCCACAGATATTCTCCAACAAAATTCTTCAATGAGCTGCTTGATTCATCCTGAGTTTAAACTACCAACAATTTTACTCTTATTTATTAATTAGGTGAGTTTAGTTTGCTGTGTCTTTAATTATAAAGTTTTTAGATAAAGACGGGGTTCATTGCACACTTTTCCACATCCTATCTGTAGAAAAGTTCAAATAAGCTGTTTCTTTTTCACAATTAAGCTCCTCTGGTTTGGTTATTTACATAAGATCTCAGTAAAAGATGACTAAGTCCGCTGTTGATGACAGGTTCGAAGGTCTCGTGCGTCTCAAATTTGAAACACAATACGAATACACATTGTGGATTAACCAATCTATCTTCTATAATGTGGTTTTACTGGCTTTGGTTATTAACACGGATGCAACAGTGACTGCTGCTGCGTAACGTCCCCCACTCACCACATCAGCAGGGTTGCCAAATGTCACTGACTCTCGTTTTCCAGCCCAAAACATTCCATAAACCGCCTGAATGTACAAAATCTTGCCCAATTTGAACCAAAGTCTATTGATCTCTTAGGCCGTAGGTATTCAACAGGGGGTCCGCGACCCCAAGGGGTCCGCTGAGGTACTGCATGGTTTTGGTTTTGGTTGATTAGACTTTTTTTTTTTATATTCCCCCCTGCAGTTTTTTCCACTAACTGAAATGTCTTTAAATCCACATTAACATGAATTCAGCTGATTGTAGTAAATAGATAAATGGAGGCAGAATATGTCTTTTAGTCATCAATGAACACATTCAGCGACACACAGGAGCTCTTTCAAGCTGGGCACCGTTTCATTCACAACACCTGTCCCATTAACCAGGAATCAGAAATACTTTAATAATCCCAGGGAGAAATTACTTTTGTTACATTACTCCATCTGTAATAGAGTGACTATATGACCAATTTGATAGAACACAATTTCATACAATATATATAAAATTAGGGGGTCTCCCCATCAGTTTGGGGGTCCTTAGCCTGGAAAACATTGAAGACCCCTGTTTTATGCCATAAATCTAAAGAAAAACATTTTTTACCCATAAATGGCCATCCTAAACTGCCAGATTGGGAAACATCCCAGCTTGGCAACAATGCATGTAAGATGGGAAACGTTAGATTTAGATGCAGAACCCAATCATGCACCACAACATATTATTGCAAAATATTCAAAGATAAATTCGCCTAATATAAGAGGAATGTCGTAGTTTGGTTTAAAGAAAGCATTTCAGTTGTATTATAATTTAGTTTGTCGCATGGATTTTATAGTTTGAAGAAATAGGATTTTACAGTTTGAAGAAATAGAAAATTACACCATATAACAACCGTCATAAGGATGTGGTAGGAGGTAGGAGCTATGGCTGGAGAGTAATTGTTGGGGCCGGTATGGTTTAAAGAGGGCCGGTCCTCGCACGCTGAGTTTAGGCCCGGCCCACCGGGCAAATGCCTGGTATTGTCATGATGGGCTTTAAGGTTCTAACACTCAGAAAACCAAGGGTAAATGTTGGCGTTGAGGTAGTGACAGTTCGCTGCTCAAATACTCCTCTGTTGATGACCCAACAAGCTGCAGGTGTGCGAGGAGGCCCAAACGAGGAGAGGGCCCCATCTAGTGGCGGAAAGGGAGAACAAAAGAAAACACAAAATCAACCCACACAAACTGGAATCCTAACAGGTATCTTAGAGTACCAGTCAGAGCCTGCGGACGTCTGAATACTTTTTGTTGTTCTGTGGGCACGGCTCAAAGAAAAGGTTGTATTTTCTTTTATTCCAGCAGATATAAAACAGAAAGTTTTTATAGGCAATGTATGTGGCCTTATGTTGACCTTTTTTGAGAAGTTTGGAATATTTTAGGTCATTAGAAAGATTTCAGTGAGTAGGAACGCTATAAAAATGGACTCTTGGTAAAGATTGGCTTCCCACTGAGTCAGTGAGATCGTATTTTTATCTCCTAGAAGATGTTTTATCATTTTTCTAAGCGAAGCAGAAAGATCCTGTTGAATTAAGTGAGTTTATGGGTGTTTAGGATACACTCCAGCGCCTGGCTGGGGGTGTGACTCATCAGCCTTGGCAGCCTGGGCTCCCCCATTGCTGCGCTTCATACCTAGCACATCATCATTCACACTCCCACAGCAGATGGTCTTAATGTGCTGCTGCAGTTTTGTCATTATGCAGCCACCTCCTCTTGTCCTTCAGAGGTTGATTCACTTTAGATGCTCGCTTTCTCCTTGGATTTTGTTTGACCTTTTTTTTTTTTTAATTGTTCATGTTTTCTCCACACAGAGTTATACACAGCGTGATGAAATAAACCTCACCGCCTCAAGCTTCAGCAGTAAGTTTCCCTCTCGATAAGTTCAGTACCTGAGTTTTTTTTTGGGCATGTTGGTGTTGTTGACCTAATATTTCACCTGTAGACGTGGAGTATAAAACAGAGGTTGGTGCTTCGTCCTGCATGCTCACACCAACTGCCTCTCCCAGGGACTCCAGCCTCCCTGAAGAGCAAGGTATAAACCACAGCAGTGGAGGGTGAGTATAGCAAACCAGAAAACATCCCTCCATAGATGAATAGCTTATCTTGTTGGCAGCCTTCCTTTAGCATGAGAACCAATTCATTTTCTTCCAATGAGGCGCTTCTTTCAATGATTTTGATCTTTGTTTAGACCAACAGTGATGCTGAACCGTAATATTTCCTTTTAGCTTCTGCTGACAAACACGATTCATTTGGAAGAAAAAGTAACTCCACAGCATAACGCTACCACCACCCTGTTTCACTATGCATTTGTTGTTCTCTCACCAATGCATAGTGTAAGTATAGTTATGTGAGACCAAAAAGCTTTGGTTAGATTACACCTCAGCTGTTTTTAATTCAAACCCTTGCTTTAGCTGAAATATGCAAAAAAAAAAAGGAAATGTTAGGAAAATCCTGCAAAGACAGTGGTTCTTTATTTACGGTTTAATTGATTCCCAAGAACTGCTTGGCAGGTGTATTTCTCTGGAAAAAATAAAATTAAAGTTGCTTTATCAATTTGTTAGTTTTAGGGTGAGACGCTAATGCCACCAGATTTTTTTGACATATTTTTCCACCTTCTCACCCAAAATATTTACCGTATTTTCACGACTATAAGGCGTACATAAACGTCTTTTTTTCCCCCTCAAAATGTGCGGGGCGCCCTTTGGTGCGGTGCGCCCTATGTGTGTTGCAAGTGCGACTTTTGAGACCACCTCATTGAGGAGATGATGAAAGAGTGGCTGAATGTAAGGAGACCAGGTGTTTTTTTTTTCCACTCATCACCACACCATCGCAGTTAATCTGACTCCATGCGTGCCCATCTCACAGCTGATGTGAAAAACATGGTGAAACAAATTAATGCGCTCGCTGTGAACCGGACGCAGCAGGTGCAGCAGAAGCAGCGAGTTTAGATGCAAAGTCAATGGTTGACGCGCGTATAGGCGCAGTAAAAGGTCCCGCAGCGCGTTATGAGCAGCAGGCGCAGCGCTTCGGGAGCGCGCCGCCAACGCGCTGCTGCTGCTCGAGATGGAAAAAATTGAAGTTTTGCTGCTGGAAGCGCCGCATCAACGAATCAGAGAAGCTGATCTGGGAGCTGACAGCGAGACAGACACAGCGCTCTGATGACATATTAAGGCAAATGGAAAGGGCTGGACGGATGAGGAGATGATGAAAGCTTGGCTGAGGCAGTTTTGTGAGGAGACCAGGTGTTTTTTTCCACGCATCACCATCGCTGCGTGCCCATCTCACAGCCGATGTGAAAAACATGGTGAATCAAATGAACGCTGTGCTCGCCGTTATCTCGGGGGTCTGACAAAGGAACTTCAACCGCTCGACATCGGTGTGAAGCGGCCGTTCAAAGTAAGGCTGCGAGCGGCGTGGGAGCGATGGATGACAGACGGAGACCACAGTTTCAGGATAAGTGGAAGGCAGCGCCGGGCAAGTTACGCCACCTTTAGCGGATGGATTGTAGATGCTTGGACTAACGTGTCTGCTGGCTCTGTTGTTCAAGCTTTTGCAAAAGCCGGCATTATTTCTGAGGAGCCGCGCTGCACGGAAAGTGACTGACAGCGAAGAAGGGGAAATTGGCATGTCTGATTTAGCGCAGCTGTTTAATTCAGAAACAGAGGATGATGACTTTGATGGGGTTGATTAATACTTTGTAATAAATACATGAATAAAGCACAAACATACTCAGTTTTGCTCCCGCTCTATTTTTCTACCTGAAAACTTAATTCAACAGCAGCATCTGGGCCGGGTCTCCTCCTCTTCACCGCGGCGGCTGGCAGGTGTTTTTTCATCTAAATAATCTAAATCTTGCAGCTATATTTGCTGTGATCAGTGGGAATAAAGTAGTTTTAATATGTTTTTAAGTGAGAAAGTCCACCTGAAAACTTAATAATTGCAGTCAGTTCATCCAGATTATCTATTTCTGTCGGAGCCGCTCAGACCCCCACATACCAGCGGTGCACCGACAGCAGAAATCCCTTCAACAGCAGCCTCTAGGCTGGGTAGCCTCCGGGTTCATGCAGTGGCTGGCAGGTGTTTTTCATCTAAATCATTTAAACTGCAGGCACCAGGATACCGGCAATAAAAGCGAACATATTCCGTCGGCAGGTTTCAGGATTTTACGTTAATTTAGGAGTGATCACAGCACTGTGTCATCTGCGATGTGTCTGTCTCACGGCCAGCTCCCAAGTTTGATCAATACTTTGTAATAAATACATGAATAAAGCACAGTCATACTCAGTTTTGCCCCCGCTGTATTTTTAAATACGCAGTAGAGGTATTTAAAGGTAGTAGAGGACATGTACCTGTATATAAAAAACGCGCCCTATAGTCCGGTGCGCCTTATGTGTGTGTTAAATACAGAAATGGCACACATAACTGAGACTGCGCCTTTTAGTACGGTGCGCCTTATGGTCGTGAAAATACGGTAGTAGAATTTCCTTTCATTTATACAAGTGTTGCTGTTGACAGATTTTTTGCAGAGCAATGTGCACATTTTAAATCCCCTGTACCTGCACTCCAGATCTTCGGGTACCCTGTAGGTTTTGTAAAACTCAGGTCTGACTTATTGTTTTCTTCAAGGCATTTGAATTTGGACAGCACCAGAGTAAGCCCTGTATTCTGGACCGTGTCTGATGTGGTCAGTTACATCACAGCTGTGGGTTTCCCTGAGCAGGCAGCTGCCTTCAGGACCCAGGTGAGGCTGTTTTTTCTCTTTCTGCCACTGGAGGGCGCCTTAGAATGATCTAGTGAACCAAGCTTCACCAGCCTTCATTCTATGCTTTGCTCTTATTAAAGGAAATTGATGGGAAGGCTCTCCTCCTGATGCAGCGCAACGATGTCCTTACTGGGCTGTCAATCAAACTTGGACCTGCCCTCAAGATCTACGAGCGCCACATAAAGGTTCTGCAGAAAACACACTTTGAGGACGATTTCTGCTAACAACATGCAGCAAATAGACTCAGACTGTTCTCTTACTATCTAAATATACAGCTAAAGTAGTATACAAATGCATGCATGATAGAAGGTAGGATTAGTTTTTCTGCTAGTGAGGAAGTCAACAGTCAGACTCAGTTCATGTTGGAGTCTCTGCTGCCTGTTTGGTCTGTATGGAAATGTGGCTGGATTTTATAGTAGGATTTTTCTACTGAACGAAGCACAAACGACAGCCAACAAAAAGTAGAATTTTAGAACATTTTCATATGTAAAGATTCAATACAAATGTTTACTTTCTTGATGCACTTTTCCTTTTTTATATTAACTGATCTGCGTAAGCCTGTGATTTTTGTTGTATCTAATGCACATGGTGTCAGAACTCATGTTTTGGTTAAATGATAGGTCTGTGGTGTGAGAACCTCACACTTGTAGGTCAGCTTATTGTTTGTATAGTGGACAAATTTTTTTTATATATATATATATATATATATATATAAAAAGCAAACTCTTAACACCACAAAGTAAATAGTGAGCTTTCATCTGATGAGTTCAAGCTCAATGGGTGCTTGTCTTAAGCGGTTCTGCAGATGATATGAGTATTTTTGTCTGTAGCCCGAGGGAACTGAATTGTCCTGGAAGAATTTGCAATAAAAGGTCCAGAATATTTCACACATCATTTCCTAAAGGTTGGATTTGACCTTTTAGATTATGTCAAGAATAATTTTCACTAATTTGCTCTTTAGCTAAAACCAAGGTTAACAATTCAAACTTGTAATTAGGATCTAAATTGAGTTTCTCTGTAAAGAAAATCTTTTTAAGTTGTTGATTACCTTTTTAATGGTTTATGGACAGGTTCTTGTATCTTATTTATCGCTGTAACCAGACGCTTCTCATAAAAAATAATAAAAATTATAATTAGAAATAAATAAGTCATGATCAAACCTCTGCAGTACTAGATAGTTACTTAAGCCATTTAAATCAGCTTTCACATCTACACAGGACTGGATTTGGACAGTTTATAAGCTAAAAGATCAAGAGCAAGAACATGCCTTCTCTACTTTAGTTGTTCTGTCTATTGACTTTCCATTGCTGCAGAAATCTCTATGTAGCAAAGAAAATGTTGGTCCCACAGGTTCTAATGTTCAGTAAAAACCAGTTGAAGTCTTCTCTATTCTGCTCAGTCCCTTGTCTTTATCGACCCGTCCTTAAAACCATAACAAAAGAATATTTTCACATTCGTATGTTTGAGGTTTTTGCATTGGAATTTAAAATTGTTATAACGACTTGGGTTGGATTTATTCCAGTTTATCTAACCTGGAATATTAACTCTTCTGTTCTTTACAGTTTATTCTCTCAAAATTAAGTGGTAATAGTCGGCTTTTTAAAGGAGTCCTTTCTTATTTGGTCACATGTCTTTAGAATTTTTTTTTACCATAACAGTAAATCTATTGAGTAAAAACAGTTTGAATATGAACTACAGAGATGTTTAGTTGCAGCTCTTTATGACAACTGGTCTAACCAAGATTTCTTTATCCAATTAACAAAAGCAAACACCTAGAAATTACAATTTTGATGTATTCTTGTTCATATTATTCCCTTCAGTCTCACTGATTCTCTGCATGAAAACATACTAAATATTTATGAGTATGAACAGGGACGCACTAATAAATAAATAATAATAAGTCCTGTTTGCTCTCTGTTTAAATCTTTTTTGTGCACATGGGCAGAAGAAACTATGTTCCACCATGTGCTTATCTGATATGTTCATTAAACTGTTGGTGCAAATGAAATATTTAATAGTCCCTTTTTGAACCATTGCTGATATGAAATAAGCAGATATTCCAGGTTTTGCACTAAACATTTGTTGCTGCTTTCTTTTCCCTTTTTTAAGCACATTGGTTTGTTTGACAACAATTTATACTGAGAGACGTTCCTCTTTGTGCATTTCAACCTTCTCTACCTCTTGCTTTATGTTTAGTTGACAAAGCATTTTCTGTCATTTCATCCTGTTTTGGATTAGATGCAAATGTTTGAAGAAAAGGTTGTGTTTGACAATGTAGAAAATGTCTTTTTTTCCCCATGTGTTACTTGTTAATGAACAATTTAAAAATTAAAGGAGAAAAAAGATTTAAAGTTCTCATTCATTCTTGTCATCTTGCACATCAGGAGTGTACAGTCTGAAACATTTTTATATTTTTGTCATCATTACAACAAAACCTTCAGTGTATGCGTTCTTGTTTTTATGCAGCAGACAAACACAAATAGAGCATAATATTTAGAGATTTTAAAATTATTTTGATCCAATTTTCATGGTTAGCTTCAAGTCTTTAAGTCACCATCTTCCAACATCTATAAACTAAAACTTTTGCTCTTTAGAAAAACACATAAATAGAAATGGGAAAAAAAATGTACATTTGTGTTATGCTCTAACTTCATTCTATGTTATCTAATCAAATAAAATTCCTACTTTCATAAGTTGTTCTGTGAACACAAAGTCAAGTCAAACATATTTCCACCAAAAATTCTTGACTAAATAGTGAAACTCAACTACGCTAAGCTACTATGTACACAAAATAGAAGAAAATAAAATATTTGAAAACCATAATCAGAGTGATACACTGATGACACAGTTCAGCATGGATTTTATGTTTGAGAACTAAGCTTAGCTTGAAGAGTTTGGAATTAGGTCAAATTGGCTTTCAGCTAATTTAGAGCAATTGGAATGATATATTTTGTAAAATAATATTTTATTAAAAGATATTTCTTAAATCAGTCCATCAGCCACCTGCGAGCTGCCACTCTAAGGTGGTGGGGTTGTTTGAGTGCCAGAATGATCATATGAGCCATGTTGTCCTGGTCTCCCATGGCAAAAGGTCCTAGGTGACAGGTCAGACTAACAGCAGCACAGAACGCCCTTACGGAAAGAATAAAACAAAGGACCATGATGTTGTCGGCAACCCCGGAGCCAGGCCTGGGGTTGGGGCTCGCATACGAGCACCTGGTGGCCGGGTCTTTGCCCACGGTGCCCGGCTGTGCCCAGCCCAACGGACGATGTTGGCCCACCCTCCTGTGGACCCACCTTAGGGGTCCACAGGAGGGTTGGCGCACCCTCCTGTGGACCCTACAGAGGGATCCGTAGGGGTCGTGCAGCTTGTGCGGTGGCAGAGGCAGAGTTTGGAGAGGCCATGGAGGACTATCGGTCAGCCGCGAAAGTATTTTGGCAAACTGTCCGCTGCCTTAGGAGGTGAAGCAGGACTTTACCAACACTGTTTACAGTGGGGGTGGGGAGTCACTGACCTTAACTGGGGATGCTGTCGGGCATTGGAAGGAGTACTTCGAGGATCTCCTCTATCCCGTTGTCACGTCTTCCGAGGAGGAGGCAGAATTTGGGGACTTAGAGAGAAACTCGCCCAACAACCAAGCTGAATTCACCGAGGTAGTTGGAGAGCTTCTCGGTGGCAAGGCTCTGGGGTGGATGAGATTCGTCTTGAGTACCTTTGTCCCGGTTGTGGCACACTTGACCAGCTCTATACCCTTCATCGGGTGCTCGAGGGTTCATGGGACTTCGTCCAACCAGTCCACTTGTGTGTTGTGGATCTGGAGAAGGCGTTCGACCGTGTTCCTCAGGGTGACCTTTGGGGGGTGCTCCGGGAGTATGGGGGGTGGGGCCCTCTGTTAAGGGCTTTCCGTTCTCTGTATGACCACAGCAGAAGCTTGGTTTGCATTGCCGACAGTAAGTCAGACCTGTTCCCGGTGCATTTTGGCCTCTGCCCGGGCAGCCCTTTGTCAACGGTTCTGTTCTTTACATTTAAGGACATGTTTCCAGACACAGCCAGGGATCAGAGTGTGTCAAGTTTAGGAACCTCAGGATATTGCCTCTGCTGTTTGCAGATGACGTTGTCCTGTTGGCCTCATCAAACCAGGAACTTTGTTGTGCACTGCAGTGGTTTGCAGCAGAGGGGGAAGTGTGAAAGTTGGCCCAGCTACCAGAAAAGATCCTCTCTGTGACAGGTAGCTCAAGGGAGGTGTGTTGTCAGTGCTTGTGAAAAAAGATGGTGTCATCCCAAACATGTTACTGTAAAGATTTCACTTATTGATCTAACACACAGCCAATACGGCGTGTGTTAGATCAATAAGTGAAATAATATCTGATTAAATTAGATATTTACCACCCCTACCGAGGAGGGCAATAAACATCTTAAAGTATCAGAAATATAAATTCCCAGCTGGCCGGGAATTGAATATAACAGTTATTCACAACATAAATATGCCATCCAACCTGGATTAGCATTGAATATAAATCCACAACACTAAAATCACACTAAAAGTCTTTTAAAACAAGTCTGTTTGTTAGCTTTTAGCTCCATTGTCCCTATTAACCAAACCTAACTAAATAAGCTAAAAGGGTCACAATCCGAATTATACCCCAAGGAACAATCTCAAAAGATTAAGAATAAATTGTCTAAACAGCTGATTTACAACTAAGCTAATCATTTAATAAAATATTAAATTACCAAATAATCTTTTTCACCTCTTGGATTTGAATTGTGTATTGGTTTGAACACATTCTGATATATCTAAATTAGTTATAAGCTAATATGACCTAATTCCAAACTTCTCAAGATAAGCTTTGATTCTTAAACATAATACTTATGCTGAATTGTGATATTGCTCCTTCATTTGAGTCATTATGGTTTTTAGCCTATGTACATAGTAGCTTATTAGCTTAGCTGAGTTCCTCTTGTTTAATTAATATTATTTACCTGAAACATGTCTGACCTGGATGAATGATATATGTTCATAAATTATTATATTTTAAGTAAAGGCTGTTGTGAATTTATTCCATATGTTTGTGTAGTGTTAACTGTTTGACCATCATTTGAGCTCGAATCACACTTTTATTTGTCATCCTAACACACAGCTAGTTGGGAGACTGGCCACTGAACAACACATGATAATCCTAAGATTTGATTGAATAACATAAAGTCACAACACCATATAATTGCATAACATGTAATGGCGCTCTCCAATGATCATTGTGCAAATGAGAATATAACTGAGATCATATTATTGATAAACTATGCGATACCATTAACACCGGTTATCACCACTAAATAATGAGACTCCCTAGGAGTTGTCAGAAGTCAAGCTGATTTCCGCGGAGCCGTACAACCATCCTCTGCAGTAAACTGACACATTGCAAAAAGAACATCGATCTCTAGAACAGGTGGTTCAAACTGGAGCAATGACCAGCCATCCTGCTTCTGGTCTGACTAATTGTCACTCCTTGGGGAAAAATGAGAGTCATTCAATTAAATCATGATCAATCTCCCTACATCATCAAAGGTTAGTTCAAATGTTATGAACATGACCTACTCAAGCTCCAATATGACCCTGCTCCACCATGTGAGTACAGCATCCAAAACAAACAAACTCAGTCCTTTGCTTAGGACATAGAGCTATTTGATCCAGATAGTCAGGCCTCAAAAATCAATACTTATCTGCAGGAAGTAGATCAGAGTCTCGTTTCTCTAAAAATCAAAGATAGTTATTCAGCTCTTTGTGAAACTTTAAGTGAAAAATATTTTACAGAGATATTTTCAGCTTGTTTGGGAAACCCGTGTCCTATCACACAGATAAAAGCAAGCTTAGAGTATTAAACATTCAAATAGAGAACATGTCCAGCATGAGACACAGATTTGGTTGTCCAATAGTTAAACCAAGGCAAAGGAGTAAAAGATAAAAGACAGGCAACTTACAAATATGCAAATACCAAAGGTTAACCCCTTCAAAGAGGTAATCACAAAGGAATGTGTACATAGTAGGTTACTAATTTAGTTGTGTTTCACTAGTTTTAAGATATTTTAACTTAGTTATATGTTTTACTTGGAACTGAATAATTTTTGCTAAGAAGTTCTTATATTTTGAATGCATATGAATTTATTCCATATGTGTGCAGGGTTAACAGTTTGACCATGATTTGAGATCAAATCTAGCTTTTATTTTTGGCCTAACAACTTTTTTTGTCCTCAGAACATTACGTCACAACATTAAATTGCAATAAAACAGCTGAGCTTTTGGGGGCGTGCAGATGGTGCAGTGTTTAGTGCGCACGACCCATGTACCAAGGCTTTATGCGGTCCACCTGGGTTCCAATCCCCCTCTCTCATACCCCCTTTCCTGTCAGCCTACTGTCAGAAAAATGGGCCACTAGTGCTGTAAAAACTCAAAAAAAAGAAACACCTGAGCTTTCAGATTGAGTTAATGGACTTTAGTTGTGCTTGAGTTTATTATGAGTATCACAGTCAAGAGGGCTTAATCCAATACTAGGAAATAAAATCCCAATTCAATACATTGTAGTTGCTACATGACAACATATGAGAGCGCTGAATGAAGAGGAATACCCAACACGAGCATTCACGGGCAGCATTTCAGGACCCCTGACAGTTTAGAGCAGCTGCGTCACGACAGGAGCTCCTTTCAGTCACACAATCGGAGGTAAAAACAAACTATCGCCTTTAAAAATAAGACATGGCAAAACTATGGATACTCTTTTGAGTACCTTTATTGGAAAATTTGCTTTAGAACCATGAATATTCATCAGTTGCTGGGAGCAGCTTAGATCTTGTTTGGGTTAGGAGTAAATATCACACTGTAGCCGCTTTGGGACGGCCTTCGAGGTAAGTGCCAGGGATCCCGGCATGTGTGGGCGCTCATGTTGGAGTTATAACAGGCAAAGCAGACAGACGCGGTCATACCAAACAGGCAGAATGCAGCCCCTGCAGACATGAAGACTGAAGAAAGGAGAGTATAGAAGAAAAAAGGACATCCTGAGAGTCTTCTGGGAACCTTTTGGCCTCTGAAGACCACAAGATCACCAAAGACTGAAAAAAGAAAGCTGAAAGCTTTGAAGCATAAAAGCTCATCTGTTGAATATTCTGCAGCATAGTGAGCTTCTCTGAAAACAAAGGGGAGAGGAGATGCCAGGCCCAGGAGGAGCCGAGTGAGTAAACAACTGCATTGTTTTAAAATAGATTAAAAGTCTGATTAACACAGATCTTGATTTGTATTGAAAGTAAATCAAGTATTTCATCATAAACTCCAAAAGAATTTAGATATTTTAGGTTTATTAGGGAAAAAAGTCATTTTTTTTCTGTGGAGAGCCAAAGAGATTCTAAATACAGCTCAGAGTCACATGAAGAAATTAGATCATGGTGTGTAGAGCATGTGCTGCCTGATGTGAGAGTGTCAACGTGTCTGTGTATGGAAGCCCAAAGGGAGAGGATTTCTCCACTGCCATCCTGAAGCAGAAACACAGACCCAATCGACTGATTGTGGACGAAGCGCTCAATGAAGACAGCAGCATTGTCAGCCTATCGCAGGTGCGCCTCTACATAAGTTGACCCGACAACAGATTCATGACAGTGAGTTTGCACTAAGACTGGTCTGTCAACATTAGAACAAGACGGAGGAGCTGCAGCTCTTCCGCGGGGACACCGTGGTGTTGAGAGGACGAAAACGGCGGCAGACTGTGTGCATTGTCCTGACGGATAACACCTGTGGGGATGAGAGGATTCGGATGAACAGGGTGACGCGCAACAACCTGCGTGTCCGTCTTGGTGATGTCATCAGGTAGGTCTGTAGAACAGCTATAGGATGATCACGTACAGTCAAAGCAAACTCCCATTGCCACTCATTGTCACCGTTACCACCTGCTGCATAATGGTTTATTGCCATGTCTAGAAATGGATTTGTAATGGCTGATTTCCCCAAAGAACTTTAGTCATCCGGTGACAACTATATGGCTAAAATAGAATAGACTTTTAGATTTTTGGACTGATGAGATGTTTCTCTGATGTGTAACGGAGAAATTTTGGTCAAATTACACCATTCAATATGAAATAGCTGTCATGTTATCTAAAATTGGCTTCTGATTGGTCGATCAGTCCTTCCTGAGGACTCCTTCTCACTGAAGCTTATCCAATAGTAATATGGTCTATTATTTAAGGGAAAATGTAATGCTCAAACAAAACTAAAAACAACAACAACAAACAAACTGGAAAAAAAACAACACATTTTGATACACAGATTATAGCACAAGCTAATTCATATCTGTGGCGGGTTTTAAAACATTTTTTAAATAAAACAGAACAAATAAAACCCCGAAAAGTCAGTAATTGTGAGCAACTTTTTTCAGCTTTTTTAGACTGGATAAAAAGAAACCTCAGAGCTACAGCTCCTCACATCAGCTAAAAAGTATTTAGCCATGCATACACTTCTTCTGTCTTTTGCCTTATTGTCACCTGTCATGGTTTTGCACTTTTTGATTCTGTTTAAGTTTTTTCTTCGTGAGCTCATTGATTTCATCTTCACTTTGTGCTATTCCAGTTGTTTTCTGGATGTATTTGAGTTCTTCTGTATTTTTGTTTGCCCTCTTGTGTCAGTCTCCTTTCCCTAGCTCCCTTCTAGATCCTCCACTTGTTCCCAATCAGTTGATTACTCCAGTCTTTGTTGTGTTTGCATTAATACTCCTCCTCTGCAGTTACTGATTGCTGGATTATCTCAATCCTTTCATTCCCTCCTTAACCTATATGTTTCCATTTATTCTGGTTCCTGTGTTCCTTGTTCACTTATTTTTGGGGTTTATGCTTCATTGGCCATCATTGGTCATTTAATCTGCAAGAAACCACCTCAGATTCCATCTCTGCATTTAAGTCCTCCAAAAACCTCCACAACCCCTGACAGCACCTAAGTGTTTCAGATGAGCAAAGAAATTGAATTTTAATGATGAATTCATTTATCATTGGAGAAAAAAAATAGTATGCCAGTAATCTGGCCCTATGTGAAATAAAGTCTCCAATCTTGATTTTGTTTCCTCCTTTAATTCTTTCCCTTCCTACTTAGAGCCAAAACTAGAAGTTAGATCAAGGTCAAAAATCCCTCTCTTTGAGGATTTTGACTTTTTCCGGGGTTTTTTTCTCCTTGTTGACCTGTTTAACAAGGAGCTCTACCACTAGGCAACAGTTTAACAGTTGCCTAGTGGTAATTATCTGGGTTATTAACACTTTATTTATTCTGAAGTTAGAGTTAGTGTTGGTTGTTCTGTTTTTTGTATGTTTTAGGTTAGCTCACATTGATAAATAACTGCTAGTTGAAAATTATACATTTGAGTCAGGTTTTTATTTACTAGCTCTCTTTATTTAAAGTGTTATTTATCTATGATGATTACTTGATAAATGTGAATCCTACATTTTTTTAATGAAATCCCACTTTCAGATTGATTTTCTTTTAGAGATAGACAGATGAACAGAGGTATAGTTTTTTTATCCACAGAATAATTTACAGAAATTAATATTACTCAAGATTACTGAAATATATACTTTATTATGTAATAAAAGCTAATGTTTTTGATTTGCCAGCATCCATGCCTGCCCTGATATCAAGTATGGGAAAAAGATCCATGTCCTTCCTATTGATGACACCATAGAGGGTCTGACAGGGAACCTGTTTGACGTTTTCCTCAAGCCATATTTTCTAGAAGCATACCGGCCTGTACACAAAGGTATAAAAACAGGATCGTACAACTAGTTTTCTGATATGAAACAATAAATCACCCTAAATGTTTCTTCTATGTGTTGCTGAGTGAATTGTGATGTCTTTTGTTTGACACCAGGTGACATTTTCTTGGTGAGGGGGGGCATGCGAGCTGTAGAGTTCAAGGTGGTAGAGACGGACCCGAGCCCTCACTGCATTGTTGCCCCAGACACTGTCATCTACTGCGAAGGAGAGGCAATCAAAAGAGAGGTGTGTGTGTTTTACTTAGAAAGAATGAGGTGGGTTTCACTGAAAACATTTCCTCTGAGTCCTTGGTTCTTGTAGAGAAAAAGTAGGAACTTTGCAGACTTGGTTCTGGAGTTATGTACCCAAGTCAGTTGGGTCAGTCCCCACACATGAAATCTTTCGCATTTTTTCATGTTACACCCTAAAATGGTGTTTATAAATCCAGCCTCTAATCAGTGATATCCTGCATGTGCAGCTTTTCTGTAGGTTATAATGTTTTTAGGTTTCTTTTTTTTGCGTCCTGTAGCTGATACCAGGCACATTCAAGTGTAGCGACCATTTGCCTTTAGTGCCCTTTGGTCTGATATCAACTAATGAATTCCTTGGAATCCAATGCTTTTAAAAGTGACCCAACAAATAAATATGATTTCACCTGAACACAGCTGTTCAGTGAAAGGTTTGTTAGAGGTTAATCATGAACAAACACCATGAAGACCAAGAAACAGTGCACAGGCCAGGGAGACAATCAAGGGGAAGTTTCAATATCTCAAAGGTAAATTATGAATACTTTTTCAAGCACAGAATGTAATATTCAGAAGTTAATGAACTGGTTTTAAGCTTGTATTGAAAGCAGAAAGGGGCAACTGGTTTAATCACAATGCTTGAATTTGACGTTTCCCATGAAGTAATATTCCAAAGACACAATTAAAATGTGTCCTGTTTTCACATGTTTGAATATCTTCATCTGATTGTTAGATAATCCTGTTTTTTCCTGCTTTTTATGACAGGATGAAGAGGAGAATCTAAATGATGTCGGGTATGATGACATCGGAGGCTGTCGGAAGCAGCTTGCTCAGATCAAAGAGATGGTGGAGCTTCCTCTCCGACATCCAGGACTCTTCAAGGCAATAGGAGTTAAGGTGTCATGCTCCTAAACTAGTCATTTAAATCCATTTATTAAAAATAATAATATTAATAATAAATCCTAACATTTAGCATGTCTCTTCTCTTGTTATCTGTCTCAGCCCCCCAGAGGTATCCTGCTTTACGGCCCTGCAGGTACTGGGAAAACCCTTGTGGCCCGAGCAGTAGCCAATGAAACTGGTGCCTTCTTCTTCCTAATTAACGGTAAGCCTTTTGCTCAGAATGAAAAAGGTTGCCATATAGATTTCTACTGGTTATGAATCAATTAGCACAGACATGTTTCTGATAAACACTATTTTGGTTAACTAGACCTTGTAAATAAGAAATTAAGTATGGTATCCACATTTTTTCAGTGGCTGAATTCATTTTCACTAGTCACTTCCAGGCTTGTATAATCAAGAAAACACCTAAACAGAGCATGCAGGCTAACAGCTTTCAAAAAGCAATACCCATTTTAAACACACCCAATCTCCCAAAGAAATCCAGGAACAGATAAGAACACAGTTCACTTCCATCAATCAGTCTACCCAGATTTAAAAAGCTGTTTCTAAGACTGTAAGACTCAAGCAAACTACAAGTCTAGACATCACCTGTCAATGAAGAAAACAGTGACTGTCAGAATTTGTTTGTGGATTGAGGACCCAAAAGCAGAGGCAGGCAGGCAGAGGTGAATTATAGTAGATTTAAAGAAGAGTTGAAGAAAAACAAAGTCAAAACAAACATTCAACCAAGAATCCAAAAAAAGGGAAAACAAAGTTCAAAACAAAAAAGAAACCAAGAGTCCAAAAATTCTAAATTCAAAACATGAAAAAATAAGTAAAATTCAAACCAGAAAACCATGGAGACATCAGGGGAATCAAAACTCTAGGAGGAAGGCTCAGAGAGACGAAGTTGAAGCAAGTAACCCTGAAATCCCACATACTCCGTCAGCGCTCCGCTCCGCTCAGCCCCGCTGCGCTCCAGACCGCCTGCGCAAAGCACAGCATACAGCCGCCGCTGTGGTCCCGTCCGCTCGGCTCTGAGTTCCTTGGAGATCGTAGAGAGCATGCGCGAGATGAACCAGGGTTGCCGCGGATCATTAAAAAAATTACAATTCATTCATTTTTTCTTTAAATCAAGGCCTTAATTGGCACAAAAATTATTTAAATATGTTTATCGAAGTATTTATAATTCTTTAATAAAAAATGCTTATAAAAACAATTTCGTCCGATATATTATATCGCTATTAATTTGCGTGAAACTGATCATAAAGCCGTATGTTTGGAAAGAAAGCTCCAGTTGGGGAAAAAGCTAGAGAATATATATATACGTATATATATGTGTGTGTGTGTGTTTACATACATACAAGAGTCATACCAATAGTTTGACCAATAGACCAATAGTTTGGACCCAATCATTTAAATAAACGGTGTTAGATTTTTTTTTTTTATATATATGTAAGAATTGTGCTATAATTTCTAGTCACCGATCTGTTGCTGCTATATTTTAATTTGACGAACCGGAATTTGTCGATGTTCTTTTTCCTGTTTGGTGCTATTGCAATTGCGGATCTTGACCTGGCCGGACCGGAGCGGAGCAAAAAATAGCTCGGCTCCGTAATTTGTCGGTGACGGACGGAGAAGACGTACGTGGACGGAGACGAGCGGAGGAGTAGCGGTGGATGTGGAACAGCTCTCATTGATTTCCATGAAAGACAAGCGCTCCGCACGACGTACGTCAGCGGGGCGGAGCGGAGCGCTGATGGAGTATGTGGAATCTGGGGGTAAGACGAAGTTAGACGAGGACCGGGCAAAGAGGAACTGAACAGAGAGAGCTTTTAAAGGAGACAGAGACAAAGAGGGGGCTAATGAGCAGATAGGAAACAGGTGAGCACAGAAGCAGAAACAAAACAGGAGCTAGGGAAAAAAGAGAACACAAGAGGGCAGCAGAGGGCAACAAATGAAAAACCTGGAAGACTGACAATAACTAGAAAATACAACAAAATAATAATTAAACCACTAAGACTAAAAAGCATGGAGAAAAGTAAAACTGAACACTCAAAAGAAAACATAACAGAACCAAGACTGAAACAGTAACTAGGAATAAACTAGAGGACACAGCAAAATAAAAATAAAACCACTAACACTAGAAAACAACGAGCAAAGCAAAACTGAACACTAAAAAGAAAATATAACAGAACCAAGACTAGGACAGTAACTTAGAAAAAACCAAAGAACACAATAAACTAAGAATTAAACCATAAAAACTAAGAAACAAGGAGAAAAGAAAAACTGGATACTCAAAAGAAAAACATCAAAGAAAACAGAAACCTAACAGTGACTAACCTTTTCAGAGTGGCTGACATACCACATTACTCCAAGTACGAGGTCTGAGCGGAGCCCAGGAAGAAAAAAAACATATTACTATACACTGTTTCAAATCAATTTAGAAAAATCTATCCAAAACATACAAACTTCCTGTCTGTAGCTGTGAAAGTAATTGCCCTAACACCCCTTTCTCAGTTAAATACGCATCCATTCTCAAGTTAACTTTTGCTCATGCTCCCTGCTGATAATCAAACAGATCATCATCTCATCTCTGGACTGGCACTAGCTGTACTTTATGCAAACACAGCACCGCTGTTGACAATCATTCCTATGTCTTACTACAGACCAGACATGCCTGTGTTAGTTCAGAATCAGAATCAGGTTTATTGCCATTATTAGTGAAGGAGTTCACAAACTAGGAATTTTTTGTGGTACAATCGTGCAACATGAAACATATCATATGGAATAGGTAAATAAAATTATATAAATATCTAAAACAAGGCATGCAATAAAATAGACTAATATATACACTTAAGATAAAAATATGGATATAAAATCTAAAAAGTAAAATAGCATCTTACAAGGAGTGCAAATCGAGCAGTGTAAATGACATGGGCAGGTTATAGAGTCTGACATATAGTTCTCAGTCATGTTGGTCAGGGCAACTAAAAAATATGCTTAAATGGAAAGCAACTGGACTCTCTCTCTGTTTTTTTCTGAAGATCTTTCGACACCTATCCAGGAGTCTTCGTTAGTTCTGTTGGCTCGCTATAGTTGGCTGTAGATGGAGAGCTGATGTACTGTATTTATGCAAAATAGAGGTCCATCATCCTCAGCACATTCCAAGTCAGATGCAAATCCAATAACCACCCATTGTCCTTCTGGATTGTCGGATTCTTTTCTTGTGCCAACGACTCTTGGATAGGTGTGAAAACATCTTAAAAAACTTAGCAAAAGTATTGTTGCCTTCAAATTTAAGCCTGTTTTGTGGTTACAAACTAGATATTCCATGTCTATATAAATATTTTCTCTATAAATCTGTTTTGTTTCTGCAAAAATTTTTTATTTCTGTCTTTGAATTGTTTGTGCCTTTTAAGCCAGGAGTCTATGCATAATTGAATTATGCTTTCATAATGCATGGTTGGTTTGAGGGATTGCTGTTGAGTCAGTCAGCTGGTCTTATATATAGAACTTGAACCAATCTAACTATGATTTGATTGAATTCTCTTTGTAAAGGGCCTTGAGATTAAATATGTTGTGAATTGGCTCTATATGGATAAACAGAATTAAATTTAATTAGTAACAGTAAAGATTCTTGATTCTTTAACCACGAGAAAGAGATGTAGTGGAGACAGTGAAAACTGCTGCTGACCAAAAATAACAAAAAGGTTCATTTAAGATTTGCAACTCTTGAGGAAGTCTTTACGACTAAGAGATATGACAGTGGTGTGGGTGAGGGATTTCACAATCATGCTCGTGGTTTGGAAGGCTGAGTGCCAGTGTTTTGGATCTTTTGGACAGTTATGAGTTTCCGTCTCCTCACTAGGTGGGGCCTGTTAGAGAGGAAGTCAATGCTCCAGGAGCAAAGCAGTGCTGATAAACCCAGGCTGTGGCGTTTCACGGCCGGCATGACAGAAAGGAAAGTCAAGTCAACAAAAAGCTTCCTAATATAGGTGTAAGAACACTGCTGAGGAGATTGACTTTAGTACAAGAGACAAGAGCATTACAAGAGCTTCCATCATAAAGCAATTCTCCTTGATATACTGTGCATCCAATTACAATTAAGTGACCTCACCTTAAACATGTTGTTGATGGTTTGAAAACTCAGAACTAGGACAGAAGTAAACTTTCTAAGTAAAGAACCAATAGAAGTGTTTACATGTTTCAGAGACATATTTCACTAAAGTTGATATGATGCAATGGAAACCAAGCTCAAGTTCCTTGTTTTAAACTTGGCCGATAAAGTTGACTTTTCATCCAAAGGCAGCAGTTGCTGCCAAGCAGGAACCAAGCTCTCTAAAACAAACCAAAAAAATCAAAAACTGAAGTCATGTAGCAAAGTGGGTTCTCTTGTTTTTAGCTCAGTGCAAAATATCTTAACATGTTCTGTCACAAGGTCCTGAGATCATGAGCAAGCTGGCAGGGGAGTCTGAAAGCAACCTGAGAAAAGCGTTTGAGGAGGCAGAGAGCAACGCCCCGGCCATCGTCTTCATTGATGAGCTGGATGCCATCGCTCCTAAGCGAGAGAAGGTGGGCAAAGAGGAGGAAGTCTAGGTTTTTTTATTGGAAACTGACATATCTTCTTTTATTTGTTAAATCATTGCATGCACATAGACTCACGGTGAGGTGGAGAGGCGCATTGTATCTCAGCTCCTGACCCTGATGGATGGTTTGAAGCAAAGAGCTCATGTTGTTGTGATGGCAGCAACCAACCGGCCGAACAGCATTGATTCGGCTCTGAGACGCTTCGGTCAGCATGGCCACAGACACACACACGTAGAAAGACACACACCAAAATACAGATGTATTCATGGCAACCCTGCTGCTCTGCAGGCAGGTTTGATCGAGAGATCGACATCGGGATCCCCGATTCCACTGGCAGACTGGAGATCCTGCAGATCCACACCAAAAACATGAAACTAGCAGATGATGTCGATCTGGAGAAGGTGAGCAGCTGCAGTTTAGGTTACATTCAATTCAAGGCACTTAGTAGAGACAATTGTTTTAAAGTTTTCTATCTAAGGAAAACCAGTTGATTGCATCGATTCATTGACTCGACAGCAACCCCTCACACACCAAGCATGCTTGTAGTAACAGTGGAGAGGAAAAACTCCCTTTGAAAAGGTAGAAACCTCCAGCAGAACCAGGTTCAGTGTGAGCGGCCATCTGCCGAGGCCTACTGGGGTTCAAGGAGACAGAAGCAGGCATGTAGCAAAAAGCAGAGATACAAAAGGCAACTGTAAACCAGTTCCACAGGCGCCCCTATCTAGGAAAGACACAGCCAGCCAGATGAGCTCCGAGCCAGCTCACATGTCAGAGGATGAAAGAGAGCACATACAGTTAGTCACAGTCAGAGAAACAGGACTACACTGAAAAACAGGTAGATCTCCAACATTTATAAATAAAATATTCATTAAAACATTTTTTGAAGAACATTTTATTTCTACTTTTCTGCCCCCCATTGCATTGAATTTTTACATAAAATCTAAATAAAAAAGTTTGGCCTTTGGCCTTTGTTTTTTTTATTATGTTGTTTCTTTACAACTAAAAAGCTATAGAGATTACTATTTAAATCACATATTCCTTATGAAATAAAATGTGCTTCTTCCATGCAAATAGCATCGAAGTATGCATGCTGTCACTTGTCTGAAGATTCTGTGTGTCTCAGATCGCCATGGAAACACATGGACACGTTGGCGCCGACCTGGCTGCTTTGTGCTCAGAAGCTGCTTTGCAAGCAATACGCAAGAAGATGACGCTCATCGATCTGGAGGACGAAACCATCGATGCCGACCTGCTCAACTCTCTGGCTGTCACCATGGACGACTTCCAAGTAAATAGTTAAAATCCACTTATGCTGTTTGTTCAAATGCCTTAGATCTGTATAAAAGGCTGTACTTATCCTTATTCCTGCATTTATTTTTTTACCCCCAGTAAGCCAAACTTCTTCCTCTGCCTTCTTGAAATTCTTAATGTAGTTTTAATGCCATTATGATTTATTTTCCAAACAGTACTTGACCAATTTTGTTTAACTAGTGACTTCTTTGTTTGGCAACTTGAGCTGACTGATGAAGCCATTTGGGTTTTGGATCTTTAATGATAATCATCTGTTTTTTTAATAGATATTCTGAAACTTTCAATGCAATATGTCCTCTGTGATTAACCCATCCGTCAGGGAGTAATGTGCTCCCACTGTGTTAGCTGAGGGAGAATTAAGATGTTCTTGCTCAAGGAGCCAGTTTTGCAGGTCTTTAGGACTCAAACCGGGGAAATGGAAGCCTTCTTTGGTCTCAAACACCCTCTGCTCTAACTACTTGGCCAGCAATTCATTTCAGAGAAACAAATCTATAAATCTGGCTCAAACACAACATTTCTCTGCATTTTTTATGGAAATGTCACCAAAGATGATTCATCATAACCTCTTTACCCTCAGTCAGTTAAAATCACTGGTTAGAAAATGGAGGGAAAAAAACAGTCAAAGGCTTATACATACCATTATATACCTGAATACCTGGAATAAACCTCCTGTCAAATTAGGAGATAAAGGGAAAGTTTGATCACAACGTATATAAAAATACAAAACACTCAATGAAGGTTTAACATTTTATGGTATTTTCTTTAATCGTTTTGGTAATAATCCTCATAACCGCTGTTCGTTTAGTGGGCACTGAGTCAAAGCAACCCATCGGCTCTCAGAGAGACAGTTGCAGAGGTTCCTCAGGTCAACTGGGAGGACATCGGTGGTCTCAACGAGGTCAAGCGAGAGCTCCAGGAGCTTGTTCAGGTGGAGGAAACACTGGCCGCATAATCTGTGTGACAACCAAAGCCATATCTCCCTTAAACCATCCATCTATGTTCATATTAATGTCCTCAGTATCCAGTGGAGTACCCTGACAAGTTCCTGAAGTTTGGGATGACGCCGTCTCGTGGGGTTCTGTTCTACGGGCCTCCGGGCTGCGGGAAAACGCTCCTGGCGAAGGCCATTGCCAACGAGTGTCAGGCTAACTTTGTGTCCATCAAAGGGCCTGAGATGCTCACCATGTGGTTTGGAGAATCCGAGGCCAACGTCAGAGATGTGTTTGATAAGGTGAGGAGTTTATAGCAGGAAAATGAATTGATTTATGGTCAGAGCTTTGTTTGTTGCCCTTCTGCCATTTTCCTTCTCTCTGCAGGCCAGACAGGCAGCCCCCTGCATCTTGTTTTTTGATGAATTGGACTCCATTGCCAAGTCCAGAGGAGGGGGGGCGGGGGACGCCGGCGGTGCCGCCGACAGAGTCATCAACCAGATTCTAACTGAGATGGACGGCATGTCAGACAAAAAGAATGTTTTTATCATCGGTGCCACAAACAGGTGCCGCCTTTGTGCATGTCTGCTCTGATTAAATGTAAAGAGATGAAAATCCAGGCTGATTTCCCTCCCCCCAATATACCAGGCCGGACATCATAGACCCAGCCATCCTGCGGCCAGGCCGTCTGGATCAGCTCATCTACATCCCGCTTCCCGACAAACCTTCTCGCACAGCGATTCTTAAAGCCAATCTGCGCAAATCACCTATCGCAAGAGTAAGAAAAGCAGCGGCACATTTCTCAGCTGATTAATCTCCCTCTCAGGTTTCTGCAGTTAAATAAGGGACAAAATGTTAAATAAGTGCAGTTGATGAACATAACACAGTCAATCTTAACTAAAAAATACCCCTCATCATATTATCCTATTTTTTGTATTAGAAGTGTTCACACCCCTCAGACTTTTTACATGTTGTCCTATTAGAACAATGTTTTTAATTGCTAGATCAATCAGTAATGTGCAAAGGAAAACTGTAAGATGTTGACCATATAAGGGATAACTAGGATCCCTGTTACAAAAAAAAAAGAAAGAAAAAAGATTACTAGGATAGACTGCTCAGTGACACAAGAGATAGTACTGCTGCCCTGCAGCAAGAAGGTTCTTTGTTCGATTCCCAGCCCAGGGTCTTTCTGCATGGAGTTTGCATGTTCTCCCTGAGCATGTGTGGGTTCTCTCTGGGTACTCCAGCTTCCTCCCACAGTCCAGAAAACATGACTGTTTGATTAATTGTCTTTCTCTAAATTCTCCTTAGGTGTGAGTGCGTGCGTGAATGATTGTTTGTCCTGTTTGTCTCTGTGTTGCCCTGTGATGGACTGGCCAGGATGTACCCTGCCTCTTGCTCATTGACAGCTAGAGATAGGCACCAGCACCCCTCGCGAACCCACTTGGGATTAAGCGTGTTAGAAGATGGATGGATGGATGTTGTGAGAGGTGCTCTTGGGCATTTTGATTGGATTTCTGAAACTTTTAAGCTTCTTAGTATAAGATAAATATTTTGATGGAGATGATAAATCTGCTTCCTGGTATGTTGAAGTACCGATTGTTTGCATCCAATCATTCAAACAAACGGTCTTAATTTTTGGGAATATATAAGCTCACGAATGAGCCTGGAAGGGCTTGAGAATGGCTTTGTCTCCATTCAAACCCAGATTTAAAGTCTTGTAGTCTTTTATAAAATATGAGAGTCAGGAAATTGTCTATATGCCAGACTGAAAGATTGTTGTTCTCAACTTCAAAAAAACACTTTAGATTTTAAAATGGAAAACTTTTCTATTTTATTTATATATTTCTTTTTAATATAAAAATTCAACGTATAACATGGATGCATACAATGCTAGTTTTAAATAAGTGTTAAATTCTGTTTAAAGTCACAGATCACTAAAAATGTCTCAGGACCTTTACTAGTTGATGATTTTCTTTATTCAGAACCTGCAGATTTTTAAATGGTGACCTCTGGTCTAGTCAAAGTCAACACTAATGTAAAACTGAGAATTTTTGGCACGACCTGAAACTTTGATTTGATTCTGTAAAGAGCGAAGGGCAAAGGTCTTAATGGAGATATACCTGAAAATACCTTAAATAATAAACTGTTTCTTAAAGTAACGGCACAGGACACCTGAATACATGTGTTGTTTTTGATATACATTCAGTGGTGTCAAAAGTACACACAACTGTTACTTAAGTAGAAGTATAGATACTGCAGTTTAAAAACACTCTGGTAAATGTTGAAAAAGTATGTGCTCCAAAAACAACTTAAAGTATAAAAGTATAAAGTAACCTTTAAAAAAACTGCCAGATGCTACTATATGAATTGAAAGCCCGATTTTTCGACTATTTCGATAAAATTCTTTGAAATAGGGCCAAGGATGAGGGAGGTCTTGGTGGTCTCTGTCTCCATCTCCCGATACTCTCTCGCCCGTGTCCGACCTTTCAGACATTTCAACATCTTTTTCTGAATCCCACATTGTAGCATGGCATAGACAATTCACGTTTGCAGTTTGAAGAACACCTGCTTGCTTCTGATGATTTCCTTTAGCTAACCAATGAGTGATTGCGTTATATGACTCATCCAATTACACTAATTTTTACTAGATGTGGATGGCGCCAATGACCTGCATTGGATGGTGCACATGACGTGAAATAAATATTTATAAACATTAAACTGAAGCCAAGAGTAACGAGTGATATTTGTTTTAAAAATGTAAGGAATAGAAAGTTCACATACTTGTGTGAAAATGTAATGAGTAGAAGTCAAAAGTACGGAGAAAAATAAGTAATGGAGTAAAGTATAAATACCTAAAAAGTATACTAAAGTACAGTAACAAAGTTTTTTTACTTTGTTACTTCACACCCCTGCATACATTTCCTTAACATACACATGTGGACAAAATGGTTGGTACCCCTCGTTTACTGAAAGAAAAACCCACAATGTACACAGAAATAACTTGAATCTGACAAAAGTAATAATGAATAAAATTTCTATGAAAGTGAACAAATTAAAGTCAGACATTGTCAACACTGTCCCTACTTTGAAACATGGAGGAAGCTATGTGATGCTCTGGGGCTGCTTAGCTTCATCTGGCAGTGGGTGTCTTGAAACACTGCAGGAAATGTCAAGACTATAAAGGATTCTACAGATAAATGTGCTGCCCAGAGTCTGAAAGCTTGGTCTTAGCTGGAGGTCACAGGGCTTTAACAGGACAATGACCCAAACACATTGCAAAAAAACCGCCAAGAATGACCAAGAGGAAAACACTGGACTATGCAGAATTGGCCTACTATGATCCATGACCTAAATCCTACTTAACATATTTGGAAGCAGCTGAAACATTCAAAAGGCTCCCTTAGTTTGCTCATGAGGAGTGGGCCAAAATACCTGCTGAGAGGAGCACAAATCTCGTTGACAGTTACAGGAATTGTTTGAATGCAGTGATTGCCTATAAATTGTGTTAGTCAAAGTTCAAGTGTCCCATCATTTCAGTCCAAGCCAGTTTATTTAAAAGCATAGTTGGAAAGCAATGTCGGAGTACCATTTGTTCATTTTCATAGAATATTTAATTATTGCTAAATTTTTTTCAGATTCAAGTTATTTCTGTTACAAGTTTGTCAACGCTTGTATTTTATTAATTGTGGCTATAATGTGAAAAGATTGGAAATGGTTCAGGGGGTGTGAACTTAATAGCCTGGTTTGAGTTTCCTGATTCAAAAAGAACAATCCCAGCTACTATTTTTTTTAGATCGTTTTAGTGTAAAACTGCAAAGATAGTAATATTTAATTACTGGTCCAATCCAAGCTCTGCGTACATGTCCTAAGTTAGTGGTCCTTTGAAATGTGTTGTTCCAAAAGCAAACCAAGGTAAAGTTTCAGTCTCTGTGCAGTGCGGTGGATTCTTTTTCCTGCTCTTCATTGTTTTTTGTTTTTTTGGTGGATTTTCTATCTGCAGGATGTGGATCTAGAATTTCTCTCTGGCATCACTGAGGGTTTCTCTGGAGCTGACCTGACAGAGATCTGCCAGCGAGCTTGTAAGCTGGCCATCCGTGAGGCCATCGAAGCTGAGATTAAGGCTGAGCGTCAGAGGCAGAGCAGACCAGGAATCCCCATGGTCAGACATCCCAGCTGCTCTTCTTTTATCTCTACATCACATTTAGTTAAACTCAGTCAGTTAGTATCTTAAACTGCCTTTAATCTTAACAAAGTCACGGCTCTATGCAGGGCTATGCTGTGTGTCCTTGGTGCAGACACAAGCTGTGAAAGATAAGATGAAGGACCTTCAGCCTCTGTACTGTGAACCCACAGGAACACAGCTCTAGCTACCCAATACACATCTGTTTATCCCTTTATAGGACGAGGACTTCGATCCGGTCCCAGAGATCAGGAAAGACCACTTTGAAGAGGCGATGCGTTTTGCCCGCCGCTCCGTCAGTGACAACGACATCCGCAAATATGAGATGTTTGCTCAGACTCTGCAGCAGAGCCGAGGTTTCGGGAACTTCAGGTTAGAAAAAGCAGCCACAGACAACTGACTTTGGTTTTCATTTTGCTCCAGATTTCTAACTCCTACTTGCTTCCTCCAGATTTCCATCTGCTACCGGCACCCGATCTGGGGGTCAGGGGTCAGGTTCTACATCAGAGAGGCCGAGTCTGTACAGAGAGGAAGGGGATGACGATCTCTACCAGTGATGATGATGATGCTTTGGTTCTATTAGTGACAAAACACTAGGGATTAACAATTGTTTGTCTAAACATGTTACTGATAGATAAGACAAACATAAAAGAGAGATATTTTACAAAATACGGTATTTAATTTTCTTTTCTTTTTCTTTTAGTTTAGAATAAATATTGATTTCTTGCCTGTATTGAACTGGACTTCTGTTCAGTCATCAGCTGTTCTGCATTAAGAATAATTTTTCATGCAGGACAAATCTTTAAATAATTTATGTGGAAATAATACAAATGTTGATGCTTACATCAAAACCAAATGTTCTCTGCTGTTTAGTTTTGATGCTTGTTGATGTGGCTCTTTGGTTCTTTTACACAAAATGTTGTATTTGTGATGAGACATTATCACAAGGATGTTATGTTTAAAAGTAATCCAACCAGAAACTGACTCACTAAAAAATTTCAAGTACCCTTTAAAAGACATTTAACAACCTCTTTATAACTGTATGTTTAAAATGTAGCTAGTACTAAATAGTATTTAGTATTTTGATAAATACTTTCTACAACTAAAGACCAGTTTAGCAGCTGGCTCCAAGAAAAAAAAAACTTGAAGCAGGAGCAATTAATTATATTTATTATATATACGTATATTATATTTCATTAAACCTCAAAACCAAAAAGAATAGTAAAAATAGAATTTAAATAAATCATAAATACGTCATTCTTTTCTTTTTCAAAACAGATTGGTTAATTAAATTTTTATTTTTTTTTTAAATACAGAAGAGCTTTTTGGGGCCATGTCTCTTCATTGCAGAAAAGCTCTATCATCTGTTTTGTATGGATGATGTCAAGATGTCCTATTGTAATAAGTATATAAAATACATTTGATAGCATCCGCCTGCTGCTGCCATCAACACCTTTGTATATAGGTGTTCGAAGTCGGCCTGTTTTCCAGTGTAGTCCTGTTTCTCTGACTGTGACTGGCAGGATGTGCTCTCTTCATCTTCTCACATGGGAGCTGGTTCGGAGCTCGTCTCCCTGGCTGTGTGTTTCCTGCAGGGGTTGCCTGTGGAGCTGGTTTACAGTTAACTTTTGTATCGCTGCTTCTTTTTTAATGTCTGCTTCCTGCTTCTGTCTCCTTAAACCCCAGTCAGCCTCAGCAGGTGGCCGCTCACACTGAGCCTTGTTCTGCTGGAAGTTTGTGGAAGTTTTCCTCTCCACTGTCGCTACAAGCATGCTTGGTGCGAGCGATTGCCTTTGTGTCAATGAGTCGATGCAATCAGCTGGTTTTCCTTAGATAGAAAACTTTGAATGAATTTGACTGTATGGTCTGGTTGAATTTCCTCCTTGAAATGATGTGTTGTTAATTGTGTGTATAAATAAAATGACTTGAATGCTGCAAGAGTTTGTTTTTACCATATTTGTTATAATTGGTCCATGATCACAGTAGTAATTAGATGGAAGGAAGTTTGTTTTTCTGTGGAAACTATTTTTATTTTGTGTTTAAGTAGTTGTCTTAAACTTACTTTTTCCTGGACATACCTCAACAAAATAAATAAATAAGTAAATGTAACCAATTTTAAACTATAAATCCAAATACAATTTGAAAGTTGTAAAAAAAATATGAAAACTTCACATGTGCACAGAATTATTTTTAACAAGCTTCTCTGTTACTCTTAAATGACTGATCTAAAGTAAAAATTGCTACAGAGACATCCCAAGATCTATATTTAGATATATATTTTGTTTATTTATTTCTCTAGAATAAATTATTTCCAGTGGAAATTGTTTACCTGTTTCCATGCAATTTTATGATTTAATGAATGAAACCAAGACAGCTCTAATAAAATGTAGGTTATTGATGTTTTATTAGGTAGGGAATTTTATCTAAGAAAAAATTTATTGAAAATAGCTCCTAAAACCATCTACATACTTATTGTTACTTATTTCTTGTAATTTGGTGTTATTCCATTAAATAGCTACCACTGTTTTTACCCATCCATCCATCCATCCATCCATCCATCCATCCATCCATCCATCCATCCATCCATCCATCCATCCATCCATCCATCCATCCATCCATCCATCCATCCATCCATCCATAGTAGGCTGGTGCCTATTTTGTCCAGTTTGCCTCCCTGTCCTGTAGGTGGCGATAAAGCATTTTTAGTTACCTTGATTCGCTCAGGAAACCGGGAGTGGAGGCAGGGGCTTGTGGAGGTGACCGAATGGCAGACAGCAGAATATTTCTGTAAACATTTGAGTTTTTCCTACCAAACAGAAACAGTCAGTGATACGTGCGTTTCACCCTTCAGGGCTGCTAGCATCACCGTTACCATGGGCGCTAACCTGGTCAGGCGATACGTGACCCAAACGGACACCGAGCCGGACCCTGCCAAGAAGTTCGAGTTCGACCCTGATTTCGGCTTCGGGGAGAGGAAAGAGAGAGGTCGGGGTTGAATTTGATCTGGGCTGCAGCCGTTAAGCTGTTGTTTCAGTCTCAGGGCAATTTGACGTAATTTTGTGTGGGTTAGCTTTGGCTAATGTAGGCTCAGAGACCTGAACGAAGCTGGCCTGTGCTAAATGCTAAATGTTAGCATATGACCCAAACACCTGTATTTACCTATTTAATGGGAATATTCTCTGCTTTATAATAGTCCAGCATATATCCAGCTGGAAGTTACATTTAAAGAGCAGTAGGATACTTAAAAGCACAACAAATATTAAAATATAAAGTGTGAGTTAAGCTTACATTAAAATATCCATCATGTTATGATTATTATTTAGATTTTCTTTACAGTCATGTAGTTTAAGTTTGAGAAAATAAAAATTAAATATGTTTATAATAAAAAACATCGAAATGTATTCAGATTTTCAGATAAGTTTTACAGCAGTTATTAGACTTACACAAAATTAAGATTCCACAAAAATTATTTTTTGAAATCCCAAAAGTTTTTTTTTCTTTTTTTGTAATTTTTCAATTCTGGATTATGATTTGAAATGATAGAAAAATGTTTCCGCTCTACGTTGAAATTAAAACATTAAATCTAAACACAGTTTTTCAATTTATTTATATTTTAATAACAATACTTTAGTGTTTTTATCGCATTAATCAACGGATTAACTGCTGACAATTCATTATAATGAATATTTAGTCCATAAACAGATATTTGAAAATCAAGTTAAAGTTCTCATGATTAAGAAGAACCAGATAATTTAGACTTTAGAATTTTCTTTGACATTTTACAGCCATTGCTAAAAAAAAAATCTAAAAATTGACATTCTTAGCATTGGTATGTAAAGAGTTAACCTTACCCCAAACTTTAAAATCATACATTTAGACTTCATGTATAGTTCCTAAAAATTACTTTTTTAAAATGTCTGTCAAAACTACATTAATAAATTTTAGAAGCTTGAATTTGTCAACTAGATAATGAGGGAACCACCATTAGCTCAGTTTAACAGTATGGACGTTTATGAATCATTTTACTTTGTTGACTTGCTGGAAAGAATTTTTAAAGAAAATGCCACTACTTATATTATTTATAACACATAGGCAAGAATGTTACTTTTAATGGTTTGCTCATTAATTTATGTAGTAATTTATGATATTAAAATAAGGGGTAAAAACACAAAAGTAAAGATAAAGCACAGCTGTTCCTTAGGATAATTAATCTTAGTTTAATGAGTTACTCTGCTAAAACTGAGGCCATTATTTGGGATTAGGGCTGGGGAAGTGATTGCATTTGCAAGTGATAAGTGATTGCATTTGCAATATAATCGCAATTACTCACTTAAGCCTCATTACAATTAATAAGAGTAAGACACATTTCTCACTCCAGGCCTTTAGGTGGTGGTAATGAGCTTAAAGTGGGTTTTCTATAGAGAGAGTTGCAGCTGGCATGTAGATCCATGCATAATGTGGAAGCAAGTTTTCAATAAAAACTGGGGTGAAACATCTACAAGCTTTTGGTTAGTGCAAAGGAAACTGATATAAGATCGCATTAAAAAATATCAGAATTTGGATTTTTTTTTTTTTTTTTGGGATGGTGTGTTTTAGTATATTTGGAACCCAAAGCAAAAACAAGTTTAGCATTTTTAGTTCTTTTTTTTCTTCTATTTCTTAAATAATAATAATAATAAAAAACAAAAAAAAAGCATTTTTAGTTCTATAAATAGTTTATAAAAACTTACTTAAAAAAGTCTTTATATTGCTTTTATCATTTCAATAGAATTGTTTATCATAGATTTATGATATGTGACAAATAGATTTCTTTTCATAAAGTTGTTTTTATTGTTAAATACCAAAGTTTAAATATAATGTGTACATATCCTTAACTACAGTCCCTTTTGTTCATTTTTAAAGTAACAAAGCAAACATTTTTAGTAAGACCTTTGTTACATAAACTATTTTTTCAATTCTGACTTCAGTCTCAGATGAAGGCCTAAAGATCAATTCATATAAAAAAAAAATTCAAAAAAGATTCACTGTCCTTACAATCACCTGCTAAAAATTATTATTTTGTTAATCGATTAATCTGTCAATTATTTTTCTGATTAATCGGTTAATCATCGGATAGCAAAAAGTTCCTTAAAGACTTTTTAAAAAGAATTAAACCAGGCAAAACTAAAACTTTGCTTCTCTGGGATCTCTGGTCAGAGCATATTGACAGACAAAAAGGTTTTATTGCTCCAGTTAACTAATCTATTACTAAATTGATAATTATTTAAATTATTCATTAATCTGATTGTTTCAGTCCTACTTATTTTGTTGTTGAATATTGATATAGCTCTATTAAAGTGTGTCACAACTATAAAGTCAATTCAGTCAGGTAAAAAATGTAAAAAAAAAAAATGTTTTAATAACAGCAATTCAACTTGAGATGTGACCAGAGCGGTTCAATGGAAAAGAATCAATTCTATATATTGAAAATTGGTTCTGAATCGATTCTTGACATTTAAGTCAATATCCAGCCATAGTTTTGATGCTATGCTTATTTTTAATTTTATTTTTTTTACCACATCTACATAACTGTCAGTAGAATAGCTCATTTGTTTTGTTTCCAGAAGATACAGTTGTTACAGTAAAATGCATTGTAAAAGAGGAACTAGAGTCAATTAAATAGATACCTATAGCCTAGCATTTAGGTTATTCAATGAACCCAGGATGTTTTAATTGTAAATTTCATTATCCTCTAATAACATTGTGATGAAAACACATAAGTTTTAGGATTAGTTCTCTGTTGGTACCACATCATCATAAGTGGTTTTATTCATCTGCTAAATAAAATTGATCTTATCTATACAGTATTAAACTATTGAAAGTCTTTTACAATAACTGTTTTGCTATGTTGGTATTTAAATTGTCCAACAAGGTCAGCTTAAAGCCTCCCTGGAGGACTGAAAGTTCTGTGCCGTTTTCAGAGATGATTGCGTCCCAGGAACAGATGAACTTGGCCCAGCTGCCTGTTGGCCAGAGAGATTACTGTGCACACCATCTACTGAAGCTCATGAAGTGTAAGAGGGACAACTGGCCCAACTTCCTGGCCTGCAAACATGAGAGGCACGACTGGGACTACTGTGAGCACCAAGAGTAAGTGTTCAGCGGTAGACATTTTATGTGGAACGGATCGCTATGATGCTGTTTTAAACTGCGAGGCAAAAATTCAAGTCACACTAAATAATTAAGATCTCCCCTAAACTACTATAAACTGACCAGCCACCCTGTAACGGTCAATGTTAGGGGGATAGTTACCTCCATTTTATGACCAAACTCTACAATCCTTCCTCCCGTGCTATTCGGAAAGATATTCAGTTGTTGCAGGCCCCTTTTACCGTGGCTTCTTTTTGCTGTAATTTCTATTATGGTCTCTACATTTGTGCTTCCTTTCTCCAGTTATGTGATGCGTATGAAGGAGTACGAGAGGGAGAGGAGGCTCCAGCTGAGGAAGAAGAGGATTGAGGCCAAAGCAGAAGCTGCATGATCAGGAAACCATCTGGTTGTACTTCTTTGTATATACATCTGCTGTTGTCCACATTAAACAATATAGATCAAGCTCTATGTGCCCCATGGCTGTTTTTGTGTGTGTGAATATCTTAAAAGATTGGATCCACAGAATGAGATAAGTATATTCATATAGAACAGTATGAGATCAGACGGCTTGATTTGTTTTGATTTTTTTAATAAATTACCTCAGACAACAAAACATCATTCTGTCAGTTTCAGATTTAAGATTCTTCAGCAATTAAGGGTGAGTTTAAAGAGATTATTAATATCAGCAGATGAAGACAAAAACACCAGAGCTGCAATGAGAGGCAGTAAAAATTGAGCCTTTGCATAATTTACAGCAGATTTTAGTAGATACTTAGGGGGAGAAAAAGAAAACTAAAACCAATCAGAACTGTCTGCAATACAATAACTAAACTAGTGTTTTAGTTTTACTCAACACAGCAGGAAGTTAGAGCAGGGAGAGAAACAGGGAGAGGTCAAGCTTGGAATCTATCAGTCTAAATCCAGCAGTGGGTTTAGAGAAAAGATCAGCTGGAACTGGATCTACAAGATGAAGGGCAGGATGGGCGAGCGGAGAGGTGGGTAGTCTCTAAACTCCTTCAGATAGCTGCGGTGCTTCCCTTTGGCCCAGACCGTCATCTGGATGAAACCCACCATGGTGAAGAAGGCCACCGGCAGACACTGGGTCATCAGGGTGAAGCCGAGCCAGGAGCCCAGCTGCAGAGGGGCGAAAACTCGTCAGATACCAAATGCGTTCAGACCAACAGAAGTTAGCTTGTATTTTCCATGGTGAAAAAAATGTAATTATGTCTGGTAGATATGTCCAGTAAACCTGGGCATTAATTCAAGCTTTTACTTTGACATTTTACTTGAGATGAGATTAGATTATTCAGCAACATTTCTGGATAATTTTGTTTGTTAAAGTCAATAATTAAATGAAACATTTACCATTGGGCTGCTCTTCATTTCATTACACATTTCCAGGAATCTTCTGTCCACACATTTACTTTACAATTGTAAACTATCCAGAGCTATCAATTATATCTATTCAGTAACAATCTGGATTGGAGGTTGGGAGTAATAAAGGACAAATAATTTGTCTCTGTTTCTTATCTTTATGTTCTCATAACTGGCTCATTACTTCTAAATGATAACGTAAAAATACACAAGGAAAAAAAGCCTGGTGTTTGTGACAAAACCGTCAACAGCAACAAAGATGAATGAGCTAGGAAACAACAATGGAAAAGAACAAAACCACCATTCCTTATCTAGTTATTCCTTATCTACTGTATTTTCTTTAAGAACTTTAAGACTCAGTTAAAAAACAAAACAAAAATAAACATCTTACTCCTTGAATTAGTTTTATTTATATATATATATATATATATATATATATAAACTGCTTAGCATCCTTTTTGCCACCACACATGCTAAATTGGATGATAATGCAAAATGAGGGCATGTTTGGACTTAACTGACCACTAGATGGCGTCACAATATTTTAAATAATAAATTAAAAAATGAGCAGTTTGTTGATCTTGCAAAAACTAATCTACGGAGGCTTTTAGGCTCTATGGCTGCCCATGAGCTTTAGGATATTAACCATTAAACTTGAATCATCAAGCAGGTGAATGAAGAGACAATAAAACCTTACCTTACTAAATATTGCACCCTAGCAGTCCTTTAATATCGTCATATACTGATGACTTCTGTGATTTAATTTATTGAACATTTCTACTTATACTATAACCACATTTAGCAGACAGTATGGACTTACTGCAATACTCCATTGACTTTGATTTAAATGATTTAATGCCACATCCTAAAAAGACGATGTTACCTCATAGGTATAGTTGGGACAGGAGACTAGAAGGAAGATCCAGGTGAAGGGGTTCTTGGTTGGATAGGGAATCTTCCTGGTTTTGGAGCCTGTAAGTACAAGGAGAGGAAATTAATAGGACATTTATTTACTGATCCACTTCTTTTTGGGGTGGTTCAAAATTATGTCAGGTTTGCCTCTAAAAGCAAAAAAAAAAACTAGATTTTTTCCCCTAATTTTATTTATTTATTCTTTTTATTGTAGTCAGGTCTAACAGTCTATGAATATTATGTTGCTAATGAATGGCCCAATTATTACAGAATACTTGCTAACAAACTTGCTATAATAAAACAATTGAAAAGATAGGATCATAAAAAAAAACAATTAAGCTAAAGGATCATCATTAAAAAGTTTAAACCAGCTTCATGCTCACTTCTCAAATAAATAAATTTGGTACAAAAAGTATAAAAATTGTTAAACAAAAAACAGATGAACTGAAGATTTTACTATGTTGTTGATTAAATATGTATTTCCAGAGAGAAGTCAATGAGGTAGGATAACTGTATCTGGTTTTATAAATGTACGTCATAGAAATGTAAGCTTTGTATTTGCTCCAGTTGTCATCTAATACATACATGTGACCTCAGATGTTTCATCTCTCAGAGCAGGAGGTTTAAAGTTACACTAGTTACAACTTTGCAGCAATACAAATCCCAAATTTATGTGTAAATCTACACATACAGATATACGCCTTTGAAGCAGTTGTCCCCCCGCTTACCACTTAGGGGCACTCGTCAGTTTGTATTGTTGCAAAGTTGTAATTGTGAAAATGTTTCTCCAGTGAGAACACAAGTTTAGAAGTTATAAGAACACCTAGTGTCACATCTATGAATAAAATGACAAGACACAGGAAATACTTATATTTAATTTCATCATTATTGACTTTCAGGTATCTACGCCAATATTTTTATTGACTGCTGTCTGAAATGTGCTCAGTGTGAGTGACCAATGTGCTGACCTGGAGGGCGGAGGTTCCGCAGGGCGATATGGATGGAGAAGTTCCCGATTTGGCAGAACTGTGGTGGAGAGCATTTAGTTAGAGGCGAGTGGATGTAGAGGTAAAATAGCAGAGATATGCTATAAAGCAGAATGGGAAAAAAAAAACAAACAAACCATAGTATCACCTAAAATAGACCATCCCCTGTTCATCAATTGGCTATTAATTCTGGCCTGGTACTGCAATTTTTAAAAATCTTAATTGTGACCCTCCCCCGCACCAACCAAACATTTCCTTTGCACCAACTAGTATCCTCTTTCTAGTTGCTGGACTTTACTGTTACCTGGTAAAATGCTGTTTTTTAATGGTGTGCATTGATCTGTGCACTAGCTGCACCCTTTCTCTCCTCTTCCGTTTCACTGCAAACCCACTTTAAGCACTACTGCCCCCTAAAGGGCTGGAGTGAGAGTCAATCTCCTCTTCTTAAATGTAATATGATCAAAGACATAGGCTACATTCGCACTGCAGCCTGAAGTGACCCAAATCCTTTTTTTTTTTTGCCCATGTGTCCTGGGTCTGATCTTCTCATGACCGCCTGTGTCTGAACGAGCAGTTCGCATTCATCCGATCTGAACGTCATTAATACTCAACAAGGGTCACCATTCTGCGTCTTGCTTTTTAGGAGCGGGAAGAAAACAACAATCATGGCAAAGAGAGTTTTTAAGGTTGGGAAAGATCGCTAGATGGGCTCCAGCACTACTATCCATGTTTTCTTCCGTAAACACAGAGCATGCTTCGCTTGGTTGTGACGTCATTGTGTCCTCTGCTGCTAAAAAACTGCTAATAAAGGATAAAAAAAAAACTAAAAACAAATACAGGGATTGGTGGTTCATTTTATAGCCTGCAGGTATAACTCTGAAAATTCACACGTTTAATTTTGAGCTGAGGATTTTCATTTTCAGTCCAGCTAGTTAAAGCAAAAATAAATCTATAATATTTGTCATTGCTGTTAAATCTGGGTGAATGTAAACAACGGTTTAGAACTGTACAGACCAGAATAAGTAATTCTACAATGAGGAACAGTAGTTACCAGGAATATGATGAGCGCCAGCCTGATCTGCTGTTCTCCATAAACTGAAAGAGATTAAAAACATTAGAACCAATGAGTGGCCTGCATAAGTAAACAACATGTCTAAATACTCACTGGGTGGTGTATATAGTGGATGGTTGATGTAATAAGCCATCCATGCTGCAAAGCCCCAGTAGTAGGTGCAATTCTGAAACGGAGTGAGAATGTTTTTGCAATGGGAACATAAATGTGTAATAACATCCGGCCGGGTTTATAGAGTATCTCACCTTGAAGATGTTCCGTAACGGCATCGTCCCATGAGAGAAGCGATGGACAAACAGGGTCTCCAGGAGTCTCTTAACGTAATGGAAGGAGTGACACATACAGGCCAGACTGAAAGAGACACATGTTCAATTATTCCCTTCTCTCAAACAATTATCCCTGATTAGAACGCAGTGGGGAGATAATTTCCAGTTTGGCACTGAGATAATCTGGGTTTATTGAGTAAAATCAGAGCCATCTGTTAATGTACACTTCAGCTAAAACCTTCAGGTACTGATTAGTAGTGGGCGATATGGAGTTAAAAAGATTATTTTCCTTATTTTAAAATTTCATGATAAACGATGCAATAAATGCCTCATTTCTATTACAGATGTTCAGAAGAAAGCAGTCCGCCTGGGTAAACCGAAATCTAAATATTAAAATGTTTCAATGAATGTTAGGAAACTAGCAAAGACGTGTGTAGTGAAGGGTTTAGGTCTTGAATGAAAAGCTGATCTTATCAGTCTGCATCGGGTTGCACTTTTACTGCTACCAAAGCTTGGTGTCTGGCCATTTGGACTCACTCCCCGGGTTTTTATAAAAATGCTACACAAGTTTTCTATTAAAACTCCTCCCTTCATGCCTCTTAATTCAAAGGTTTCCTTCTAAATTACTGTCTCAAATAGACATTACTACAGCAGCTTTTTAAAAGTTTTATAAAAAGCTTATTGGTCCCCTTAGTTCTCAGCAAAGACTGCAATGTGACACCCCCAAGTGGCAGCAGTAAGTACTACATCTAGAAGCAAAGGGTAATATTTCTGATTCAATCAGGCTGGTGAAGGAATACTGGAGACACTCACTGTACAACCCAGTGTTTACTGGTGGTGAAGTCATATTTAGGAGCGTAGATGAAAGGAACTCTGAAGTAGAACAGCAGATAGATGACCAGAGGGCCAGTGTATTCTGTCAGAAAAACCTGAAAAACACAGAAGGACCACACAGGTTTGTCTATGGAAACTTTTTTTTCTCTACAGGAAAGGTGATTTATTCTCTCAAGCGTTCATCTTCTCCTATGTAGATCATACATTTAAAAAAATCCCTACAAACTCACAGAATTCATAGTTTATGGTTTCATTGCAAACAGAAATCAATACACCAAGGGACCGACTCCTTTAGAGGACTACTTAACCAATTCCTACACTGAAAATCCCGGTTAGTGCTCCAAAACAGCAGATTATGGTGAATTCTGGCTCTGTGTGATCACGGGAAGCAGATGAAGTTGGAATCCAAGGACTAATCATGTTTAGCAGCTGGCAGGAAATACAAATCTATTGGACTGTTCAGTTCCAGCATCAGTATCTTATGAATACCACAGCCTGACATTACAGCAAAACTAGGCCTGATTTTTATTGTTGACCTTAATTTCAGATGCAACCTAAAAGCTTTCAAAATGTTTTAAGGATAAATTTTAAACATTATATGATTCAGATGGATATCAAATAAAAATGAAATAAAGCTATAAATTAAATATAAAGTGTTTTTTAACCAGTCAGTCAAATCAAACAGATTAGGCACCAGCCATCAGAGCTAATGTTAGACACGCACACACTGATGGTGGTGGTAAGCTACATTGAAGCGAGGCTGCTGTACACTGGCGCTAAAAGGCCCTCTGACCATCATCAGCTGGCAAGGTGAGTGAGGTGTATTGCCAAAGGGTACAAAAACACTGAAAGCTGGAGCTCGAACAGACAACCCTTCAATTGCTGTGCAAACTCCTGCATCTTACATCACTGTCGCCAAAAAAAAAAAAAAAAATTGAAAGGTTAGTCGGTTTAAACCCAAGCCCAGTAAGACATCTCACCCATATTGCCTACTGTTGGTGGTCAGGTGGCCAGTGGAACCTGTGTGCTGCAGCCTTGCTAGAGTCCTGCACATGTCTAATTTTTCATAACTGGACCCGTCCACACCAGTAGAGTACAGAACAAAGAACCGACCCGTTACCCGCAACTATCCCCATTTAAAACCTGAGACTGCACGGACCCATAAATAATAAAGTGCGACCCGACCCATGATCAAAAGTGTACACGCAGCCGTTTATAATAATAAAGGCAAGAACATTGCCTCACGCTGACCTCAGTGCACGCTGCACCCACAGATTAACAGCTGTAAACTGGCCAAAGGTTTGCCTCTTTGCTTAAAAAAATGCTATCTGGACATTCTTGAATCAATTTATATTTTAAGATGTAGAGTCAATGTAGTGAAGGATGCTTTGGCTTGACAAGATACTATATAAATTCTCTCCACTTATTATTTAAAGAATAATAAATCTATTTTGTTTACATCCCCACATGTAGGGGTGTAAAAACAAACAATGATGTCCAGTCTTTGCAATGTATTGTTTTAGTTGGGTTTTATGTATCTGCAATAAATTTTTTTCTTTGAAAATAGAAATAAATTATTACCACTCATGTTCACTTAAACATCCTTGAAGTAGATCCATATAAAGTTCACACAGACTTTTCAGTCAGAAACATTTCCTGCACAGTAGGAACTCGGTGTTAATAACCCTGTTGGATCCCACTTGCTCAGTCATGTTTTCAAGCTGATTGTTGTTTGGACTTACTGTGACCCAGCTGATCTGAGCTCCCAGATCTCTGAAGTAGAAGGTTGCCGTGGTTCCCACAGGAAGATGCTGCAGAACGTCCTCATCCTTCAGAGACTTCCCCTCTAGAACACAGCCATTACTGAACACTTAGATTTACTCAGAGGAAAACCTGCACAAGCTCAGCTGTAATTGGATCAAATGGAAAGACATACTGGGGTCGAGGCGAATAGACTGTCTGGCTGGGTACCACTGAGGGTCTGAAACAGAGAGATAAATAGCTCTGACTCATATAAAGGCAGAAAATAAAGCGTCAAACATATGAGACGCAGTAAAAACAGTACTTACGGCTCTTGTGGAACATAGACTTGATCTCCCCAATGGTGGCATTTGGCTCAACCTGCAAATACCATGGCAGTAAATAAACAAGGGGACACCCACTCATACACAAAGGAGCAGATCATAATCCTGTTTCCAATTATGATGGGGGTTAGTGGTAAATTTAGCTCTGACTGCTTAAACACCTCTTGGATGTGGGCTATCTAACAGCTGTTTCAGAAACAGCAGTTGGCTTGAATATATCAACACAAACAAAAACAAAAAGACACGGGGAGTAAACAAAGGCAATAAGTGCTGCTGTGTTCAGGAAAGCTGCACAAGAGTGAGTGTTTAGCATCGACTAAAGCGGTCATCTTTGCTGTAAGCAAAGTAGTTTAGGTCTTTTTTTAGGGTTTGGTTAATCCTGCAAACCTCAATGATGCAGCACCTTAATAGAACCCCCCCCCATAAACATTTCAACCATCCCCTAAAACTTCTGTCTGTGACCTGTCCAGGACCTCCAAGTATTTTCAGCAGGATGACGTCGCTGCAGTTGGAGCTCAGAAACCACCAGTAGGGTTCCACTGCCGGTCTGGAGCCGATGACCAACTTAGATCCTGCTGTGTTATGACTGCCAAAGCTGGGGGCTGGCTAGAGACAATGCTAACTTTTAAACATATTTTACCAACTTTTCTAAATGATAACATTTGATATATTCCTTTTTTTTAAATTTACAATCATGTTAACATAAACACATTTTCATATTCCTTGTTTCTGTAAAATGTACTAATAAAATGTATTTTTTTTATTCATCACTCATCTCTTTTGACCCCAAGACATATATTCCCATATTGAGAGAAAAAGATTATATATACCGTATATATATATATATATATATATATATATATATATATATATATATATATATATAATTACAAAAGTCTAAGAGCTGATTTACCTCAACCTCCGTATTGAACATTTGCAAAAAAAGGGAATTGTTCTTCTGACTTTACATTCTGATAGATGAGTTCGACCAGCGAAATCTCTCAACTGGGCTCAGTCTGATGTCTAGATTCTGGTCATAGAGAGTGAGCACTTAGATTGCATCAGAGGCGGATCTTGGATTGGATCTGATTGTGTTGATTGTGGATGAATCATGAGAGGCATTTAAATATTTAACCAAGATCACTTTAGCTATATTGGTCAAATTTGTCTTCTGCTTAAAAATCATCCATGGAAAGCATTCTCACTATGATAAGCATGATTATCTTAATACTAACAGATCACTTTATGTCATCGACCAATTAACTCAACATTGTTGAGATTTTTCTGTTTATTAATGTGTTGCAACAGATATTAAACTGTTACAATGGGCACAGCTGTGCATGGTGGTATTTGCACAGCTGTAATTATTAACATGCCAGTGAAAAATCCTCGTGATGCCCTTTACGTTAAAGTAAATTATGTAATCATCGTTGACTGTACTAGAATAGTTGGTTAAAGTGAATCTATATCCACAGCAATGTTCTCACAAAACGTCTGAAGATAGATTTTTAAATTGACTTGATAACGCTGCTCTGTGGTGGTCTGACTGAAAACTCTGTCATTTTAGCTCTAACCTAGTAAACGGGTCCTGCAGGGACCTTTCTGTCTACATCCAAATCTGAATCGGTCGCATCTTTGACTCTCTGGAGGTGATAAGACTGTGACCGTTATCACCATAGAAACTCTGCTAACTCGACAACCGGGTTTAATCTGTTCAGGATAGCGCCTTACACTTTGTATCCTGAGGAGCAGCCTTTAATAAGCAGGGTTTACTTTGGCCGATGGCACTAGGAGTGTGGCTAATGAAACTCTATACACATACTATCAACACACTAAATCTCCCTGAGCACCAGCGGTGACAAAAATTAATCCATCTGACACATACACAACTAACTTTGGGCCAGGCACTGAAGAGTGTAAATAAACCTATAAAAGCTACTGCTCTCCAATTAAAATGGAATAATGTAAATGTGTTATCCTTTCATCCATCAGCAGACATCTCACAAAGCTAGAGGAGATGGAAGACTTTATACCTATTTAAAGTGATTTAAAGGAGTCCAATCAGAACATGATGACTTGATGAGATGACTGCAGTCTGGTGTGCTATTGCTTGGTTGGAAAGAAAACCTGCAGCCACACGGCCCTTTCTGGAACCTCTTTGACACCCCTGCTTTAACCAAAGGAGGAGAGAGCAAGCTTGTCACCCCCGATAGGGAGCCTATGACATTACTACGACAAACTGTGATGCAACACGTAGTCAAACCACCACAGCCTGTGAACATTTTCATGCAAGTTGAAGTCTTGGAGTAAACCTGATCCTGTCATTTCGAGATAGATTTCATGAATCTAAAGCATTTCGGTCCTCAAAATTTAAAATTTTTGTCAAAGCCGATACTGGTTGTAATAAAGGTTTGAGTGGCACTAGGAAGCATCAAGTTCCCTGTGCCCAGGTAAAACAAAAAAAGGGGGGGAGGGGGGCTAGGATCAGTTTTATTTTACTGAAGAAAATAAAAACAACTTAAAGGGATTATTTATAAAAAAGAAAAACTAATAGAGTACTGCTTATAGTATCAAAGGTTTATCAAAGGCCAGTTGCTTTGGAACCGAGTGGGTTCCTGTATTTTCAGAGCTAGTTATGAGTTGTTTTGCTAATGTATTATAGTCATTTGTGAACATAATTTTTCAGGCTTAATTGTGTTTGTGTTCTGGAACATCTAAAATTTTTTCTGCAAAATAAATGAATAAAGGAGGCAATAACCGAGAATTTGAAAGAGGCAAGAAACCTTGCACTGGAAAAACAATCTAGTAAAAATTTCATAAATTAAGAGTTTTTACACTTAATTGGAATAGGTTAATAAGAGGATCTGCCAATGTTATGAGTATTTTTACTCTTAAAATGAGATATTTAGATAAAACGCACTTGGAATATGACAATGTAATTGTGTTTACTTATTTACTTATTTGCAAAATGTCTATTTTACCTCCTCAATTCAAGAACAAATGCAGTTATTTTAAGAAAAAATTACTTGATTTTTTCCAGTGTGGACTGAAACGTAAAGAGAAAGAGAAAATCACGATAAATGCATATTTCATTCATTTAGCTTATAGCTCTATAAAGTTTAAACACATAGATTATTATTTTGAGTGAATTTGCACATATCTTATAGAAAAAAACTCAATGTCTTTTCAGAGCTTTTTACATCTTAGGATGGAATTTTATGTCTATTTTTATTTGTGAAACAATTTAGGCTCAGCAGGAATTGAGGGTTAGAAAGAAATTAGAACATAATCCTTACATATTCCCCAAAGCTAAGACCATTTAATTAAATGATTTGATGCAAATTATTGGTACCAGGAAGCTTTTTCCTTATCACGATCAAAATATTTTATACCGAGAGGCTTAAAAGTTTAATCAAATCCAGTCAAACAACCTTCAAAAGTTACAACTTTTATCGCAGGCATAGATGGAGAGACGCTGAGTTTGGAGGTAGAGAACAAACCAATTCTGTATGATTATTCCTATTACAAAGACCCACAAAAAAATAATGTTTGGGCAGAAACGTGCGTGATTGATGCTGATAGTGAGATTTAATTATGTCATATTAAATTAAGCGTTCATTACTGCATGTTTTTCTCCCATGAATTGAATAATAATATAGCGCACGCTCGCCTCGAGCTCAAAGGAAGTCGGAGCGGAGCAAGATGGGAGGAACCTTGGAGGATGTAGGCTTTGCTTTGCACAGGTGGTCTGGAACGGAGCAGGGCGGTTATGGAGGATGTGGAATTTGGGGGTAAGTCATCCCACATGGAGTAGTTTCTTGTGATTGGCTTATACAAGGGAGCTTTGTGATTGGAGGCAAGCCATTCTCTGTTTAAAAAAATGCATTTGTGCATCGAGCAAGGTCAGGGGAGTCACAAAAATCCACACACAAATGCAGTGAATTTAAGGCGACTGGTACTTCTTCATTTAATTCATAGTTGTTTATGGACCAGAAATATTTTGTTGAATCTTGTTCTGTGTGTGTGTGTGGATCTTGTCCTGTGCATGTATGAATCATATTTGTGTATTTGTAAAAATTGAGACCGATCCAAAGGGCTTTGTCTGGTCCATTCTAACCTGAATATTCTTTGATCTAAACCTTAAGATTGCTGGCTGTATCACAGAGATGTTGGAAGGTAAACCTCCACCCCAGTCTAAACTCTGATAGGTTTACAGACTTCTTTGAAGATTTCTTCCCCATTTTAAATCCATTCATCTTTGAATCAACTATTTCTTTCTTCCTACTTAAAAAAAAAGCATTATCCTGACAGCATGGTGCCTCCACTAAAGGTGGACAGGATTTTCCACATGTGCATCAAGTTTTTGCATGTATGCAAGACAACTTTATGTTATCCTTCACTAAATCATTTGAATATATTAAACCTAAAGTTGTGTAAATAGTGTGGAGAATCAGCTAATGAAACTGAATATCTAATTTATCATAATAAATACTCTTTATGACTATTCTAAATAAAATTAAGCAGCAGTCGATGCAAAACCACAAACCTAAATATACATAAACAGGAGTTCCATCTAAATATGACAATTAACAGCAAAATGAAAAGTCTACATTATGAAATCTTCACTCTGTCTCTTTGAACGTCATCAGGAGAACTAAGCCAGGTCTGCAGCAGCGTCGCATGAACGAAAGGCACTCCAGAGGTCGTCCCTTTTACACTCAGGGATAAATGCCCACTGACTGACAGTGACCACAGCTTCATCAGCCCTGCCATGTTCTAGAAAACACCCATCTTCCACACAGAGAGCCTTTATAGTAATAGATGAGCTCATAGGTGCATGCGCTGCAGTGAGCATATGGATCGTTAGACAATTAAGGGTGTTAAAAGTTTGAGGTGACTTGAAGTGTAATTTCAAGATGAAATCAAATGCACCAAATCAGAGTTAGAAGAGAAACTTCTTACCTTGTCCAGGAAGCAGAGCTTGTCCTTGGTCTTGGCGTCCAGTATCTCCACCTCAAAAAAAACAACAGCCTTTTTAGTTTTTTTAGCAGGTTTACGTTTTGCAGGGGCTTGACCTGTTGGCACAACAGCTGCTGCCACTGCGGCGTTATTCGTCTTTTTCCCACTGGCCTCTAACGCCAAGGCATCCATGTCTCCTTTGCTCCTCCTGCTCACAGTGAATCCCCCCTTGTTCCACTCAGTTCTGCAGCGACCTCTCCAGAACCACGCAGAGAGACGGAGAAGAGCGAGGTGACGCTCAGCTGTGGAAATAAATCTGTCGCTTGCCTCCTCCTCCTCGACCCCACCCTCTTCATTCAGTTCTCTCTGCCCACCTCTCACTTCTGCTCTGCTGCTTAATTTAACAGCCGCCCAACGCCTTGCAGAACAAACATACTCCACAACAGTTGCAAGAAAAGTATGCCAAGCATCTCCAACGCTGAACTGAAGAGAATAAACCTATTCCCAAATAATTGTGTCTGGAAATGAAACTTCCCTAAAAACAGACCACTTTGACCCCTGACACCTCAACCTCCAGCTCAGAGAGAGGAAAGCAGAGAGTTATAACGACAAGCGGCACTTTCCTTAACCAGCCTGCGCCCGTCTTCTTCTCCACAGCTAAATATAAACATCTCATAGCAGCTCTGTCCATGAAGCCTTTTCCCATCTGACCCCACACAGATCTGTGCAGTGATGTCATGCTTGACTTTCACCACAATATGTCGGCTTTAATCGGAGACCGCTCACGTACCACAGGTCTGTCACAGAAGGCCAAAACACTTCATGGGTTAGTGAGCTGGACTTTAAAACTCAACCAAACCTTTAAATCCAACACTCACAAAGAATAAAATGTAACCTTTACCACCAAGAAGCACTGAAAAAAAAAATATATCTTAATTTTCTGTAGTTTATAGGAAAAAACAAAACAAAAAAAACCCCCTCCTAAAATAACGCTTTTTCTCGGTTTTAAGAATTGCAGCATGCTTTTAACTACTCAATTTTGAATTTTGAATGTTTCAGACGGATTACCTAAAGAAGCTTAGGTATTTTTTTAACATCCACGTTAGAGAGGGACATTTTTCTTAAGGTTTAGGACTTATAAATTGTTTTGCTGTGTTACAGCCAATGAAAACATGGAGTCATCAATATCTAAACAATAGTTTCCTTTTTTTTTTATCTGAATTTTTAGACATGTTTTTTTAAATCAAGAAATTTATTTTATTAATGTATAAATTAAAGTTAGCCCCACATAAAGCGGGCAGGATACATTACACCACAGCTGTGACTTCAGGGAAACAACCCCATTCCATTCTTCAGGCCAGCTCCGCTGTACCACCCCTACCCCTGCCTGCCAGATAAAACCGTCCACACGACAGTTAGAGGCTGTAATTCACTCTGTGGCGAGGACGAAGCAAGAAGGACTGTTTTAATCACTACGGTGAGCGGACCACAACTTTTCAGCTACCAGATTTACAGCTTTCCTGCTCTGATGTGTGCGTTGGGTTAGAGGTAAAACTTGATGTTTTTTTTTTCAAACTGATGAAGTGTAAAGATAATGTGCTGAATACAAACATAGACAAACTGAATATATTGGTGAGGAAGGGCGCTGCAGCGCTGCATTTCTCTTTGCTCTCTGATATAATTTATATCGAGCTGATTTTTGGAGTAATAACATAAGCAAACAGATACTTGAATGGAGTTCAAAGCAATCTCAACTTTAATTAATTCTTCTCATTTGATGAATTAATATATAAAAATATAATTCAAACAGACATGTTTTACATCCTGAATGATAATGTCTTTATTTAAATGATCAAATAGAGAAAAAAAACGAACCGCTTTGCCTGGTGATCAATTCCTCCATCTTGAAAATTCCATAATCAAATCAGCAATCAGACTAATTATGCTCTTTAAATCTTTCCTAATTCCCTTTTACTGTGTTGCAGGGGAAAATTAACCTGCAGGACAAGGACGCGACCATCAGATAACGCAGCCTTCTTCCAGACCAGCGTGGGGGTGTGCAGCAAACTGTGATGCAACAAGTAGTCAAACCACTGCAGCCTGAGAACATTTTCATGCAAGGTGAAGTCTTGGAGTCAACCTGATCCTGTCATTTAGAGACAGATTTCTTGAATCTAAAGCACTTCGGTCCTCAAAATTTTATGATCAAAATGTCTCCTCTGCAGTTAAAAAAAAAATGTCCCACCCACTAACAGGTGGACAAATCAGTGGTGTTCACTTTCCCCTTTATAATCCCATAACTCAGTGCTTGATGGGTGCCTGTGCAATTAATATGGATAACATAAAGCTGTGGAGCATATCTTGTTATACTTATATTTTACTGCAACAGTCAATATTCAAAGAATGAAATATACTGCTTACCAGAGGTGTGAAAAGTAAAAACATTTGTTACTTAAGTAGAAGTATAGATACTACCGTTTAAAAACACTATAGTAAAGGTTGAGGTATCAAGTTGACTTCTTTACTCACGTAAAAGTGAAAAGTATGTGCTCCAAAAACAACTTAAAAGTATAAAGTAACCTTTAAAAAAACAGCCAGATGCCACTATATGAATTGAAAAATTCTTTGATATAGAGCCAAGGATGAGGGAGGTCTTATTGGTCTCTATCTCCTGGTACGCTCTCGCCTGTGTCCAACCTTTCAGACATTTCAACATCTTTTTCTGAATCAGACATTGTAGCATGGCATAGACAATTCACGTTTGTAGTTTGAAGAACACCTGCTTGCTTCTGATGATTTCCTTTAGCTAACCATTGAGTGTTTGCATTATATGACTGGTTAGGGTTAATATATATATATATATATATATATATATATATATATATTAAACCGAAGCCAAGAGTAACGAGTAACGTTTGTTTTACAAATGTAAGGAATAGGAAGTACAGATACTTGTGTGAAAATGTAATGAGTAGAAGAAAAATAAGTAATGGAGTAAAGTATAGATACCTAAAAAGTGTACTTAAGTACAGTAACGAAGTATTTGTAATTTGTTACTTGACACCTCTGCTGCTTACATATAGGAGTAAACAGTGTTATCACCACATATGACCACTGTTTTTTCTTACAGGTGCCAGAAATCCTTATTTGCCCTGTGAAGGAAAATGGGAGCAGACCCGCCAGTGGTTGAGTCAGTTTCTGCCAGACTACTTCAGATCCTGTCTGGTGGGTTTAGGGTGTTGGTGTAACTGTGAACTGATGTAAATCTGTACGCCCTCAAAAGTTTATCTGCTCCTTATCACACAGTTATTGTCATTTTAGTGATGAAATAAGTCTGATCTACATTTTAATCCGGCTGAATGTGTGTGTTTTTTTGTTTGTTTTTTAGGAACACCACCAATCCATAGGTTCACCTGACATCTCAAGCTCGTTTGACTGAATAGGTTTGTGACATTAAACCATGTGGATTCGTTTAAAAAAAGAGCTGAGCACGCGATCATGACATTTCACCTGCATACTTGGATAAGCTTGAGCAAGATAAGGAGAGCCATGGATCATTCCAGCCAGAGATGGCGATGCTGTCGAGCATGTTTCCTGCAGCACGAGTTCCTCTAATAAGCTCAATTAAAATACAGATATTAAATTAAAGGTCCGCTGTGTTTTTGGGACGATTTGTGCTGTGAAATTCACCAAAACAGGCCAAAATTTGTTCAGATATCAGTCCATTATATGGTGCTAACCGGGCTAAGCTGTTCACTGCTAAAAATCTAATTTCTGAACCCAATTAATAGGACCTATAAACACAGAGACATCCCAAACACACCGACAAGGTTTAATTTATTGAATTTAACCCAAAAGAGGTCTGGTTTAACAATGTATGAACACCACTCACCTCGTAGTGCTTCATCTTGGCAGTTGGTACCTCTTCCTTATTAAACCCGGATGAATGACGGGTCATCGACCAATCAGCGTATCGACATTAGGCGGATGAAGACATGGTGGGTGGGAACCTAACGTTCATACCAGCCAATCAAGTCCAGTAGAAGTCAGGCGACCACGCCCACGTCACTGAATGTAGCCAATGAAATTTTCGCAAAAGATAAAAGATGGATAATAGGATTTACTTTGGCACTGTAGTTTACAATAAGACATATGTATAGTGCTTCGTATGTATACATTTCAAAATGGTCAATTTCATTCTTGAAATATTGCTTATTACTGACCAGTTAATTGCCTGTTCTTATTGGCTCAATTTTCTGGTTGATTTATTAATAAAACAGAATTATTTTTATTTATTAATAAAACTCCCCTTTGAGAGGGGCTTTGCTGGAATAGTGGTTATAGCAGTGTGAGTTAAATGCAGAGGTACATTTCTCCAGTGTGAGATCAATAAAGTTAAATTATTATTATTATTATTATTATAGAGAATAAAGCAGTTCCCTAAATATTGGTTGAAGTGAACCTTCAGGAAATATCCTGGGATGGTTCTCTGAAGCATCATAGCAACACCTTGTGATTTACATATAATGTTTTACTTAAAAATCAATTTGCGTAAATATTTGACATTTTAGGGATTTCTTTTAAATGATTTTCCAGTCATTTAAAACAAAATGCCTGGAAATGAGTGAGTCTGATGCAGTTTCCTAGAGATTACTCTCGCATACATAACAGGCCCTTAATCTGAAAAGTGTCTATACTGTCGTTTACCTTTTGTTGAGATGCTAAAACAGTGCTTTGAGTGCCTATATGTTATTTTACTAATAAATAAGTAAAGAATTACACAGACTACACAGTAGTTGGCATGTGTTATTGCACAGTGAGAGAAAAGAACATTACCTATTATCTAATATTCTTCTCTCTGGCTGTGCAATAACACATGCCAACTACTGTGAGTCTGTGTAATTATATACTTATTTATAAGGTCAGTACATTTCTGCAGTGCAGGTGCAATAATCCAAGTCAACTCCTCTGTAGTCTTTCCTTAGCTCTCTACTGTGCAGATATTTTAATATCTAAAGGAAACAAATTACAGGACATCGCAACTTTTTAAAAATCTTTTGTACTATATACACACTCTTTTTAAATTGTCTGTTGTATTTTTATCTTTAATGGCATCTTGTTTAACTCTTTGTATTCTATATAAGCGACTGGAACCAGAGATTTTCATCCATCCATCCATTTTCCTTCATGCTTATCCCAATTGGGGTCATGAGGGGTGCTGATTCCTCAAGCTGTCTACAGGCAAGGGGCGGGGTACACCCTGGACAGGTCGCCAGTCTATTGCAACCAAAGATTACCCTGAAGGAGTAATCCCAAGGGACAAATAAAGTTGAGTCTAAGTTTTCAATGTTTAAACAAAACTCCTTCTGTGTCAGCTCATTAGCTTCCAAGTGAGTTTGCTATTACATTCACCTTAATGTCACCTCTATTACATGAGAAGTAGAAGCTACTGCAGCTTTTCCTTCCCATGAGTCCTCATCGGATAGTTTACTGATTTTACTGTATTAGAAAATACACTGATATGAAAGTAAACGTTGGCCCAATATGATGACACTGTATCTGGGACATGTTAGTGAGACTTCAGACATGCTTCAGCAGAGTTTGCTATGGTATGAGCCACACCCAAAGAAGTGAAAATCTACCTGTTAAATGCCTAAAAGGCAATTCTGTTCTCTAAATAAGCCCTCACTGTATCTTTAAAAAAAGGTTTGCTGTTTTTCAGTGTGACAGTGGCCTGGCTTTCTTGGGACTGTAATATATTTTTTCAATGCTGAGGCTTATTTATGACATCAGATCAACCGAATAAACCACATTTGGATCACAAATATAGTCCGGTTTCATGCATTTGACGATGTACAAAGAAATAAGTGTTTACAAGACTTAGATGTAAGGTTCTGAACTTTGTTATAAGGGCCACTGCTTGGATTCGGTGCTAGTAGGGATATTACAGCCCACAACAGGAACAAGGGCCAATAGATTTTTGTTTATTTCCATTTAACTTAATTTGAGAAATAAAAGCAATGTTTAAAAACTGTGGGATCAGCTTATTTAAACATTCAGGCCTCAGGCTTACATTCATTAGCAGTACAAGATCACTACAGTGTATTATTCAATGTATTTTTTCACACTTTTACTGTGATACCCCTAAGTTTTAAACGAAAGGATGTTTGAATTTTTAATACTAAGGTTTTTCATGTTTAATATAACAAGTTAGAATAGTTTAAGTCGCTTAAAAGGGTCTCTTTTTTTCTATTGTACAACAATTGTTGCTTTAAATGAAAGAACCATGAGGTTAACGGATCCAGGTGGGCGTGGCTTGGTGTGTGACGTTACAGAGGAGCTGGTTCTGGCTGCGTGTGGAAGAGTCTGGACGTTTCCACGCTGTTTATAAAGAATACAGTTGGAGTGCGAGCCGCACACGTTCAGGCAGGACACGGACTGCTAAAGAGCACCAAAACTTTATTAGAATATATAAAACTAAAAAATAGGGCAAGGGCCGCTGGACGGGCAAGATGGGCAAGGACTACTATGACATTTTGGGAATCAAGAAAGGAGCATCAGAGGACGACATAAAGAAAGCTTATCGTAAGCAGGCTTTGCGTTTCCACCCCGACAAGAACAAATCACCAGGAGCGGAGGAGAAATTTAAAGAAATCGCTGAAGCTTACGATGTTTTGAGCGACCCAAAGAAGAAGGACATTTATGATCGTTTTGGAGAGGAAGGTAAGCATCATCTGAAACTAGTATGTGGATGGGCTAGTTAATAGGGGTTAGCTGGGTTAGGATATATTAGCAACCACTGTCGATATTTTAGGTCAAATGGTCGTTAACGATAATCTGTTTGTGTCATGGCGCTTTGTCCGTCCTTCATGGTGAGCTTTACCATAAAAGGCTCCATCGGACAGGACACACTTAATGATGATTTGGGACTATAACGGTCATTTAACATGAGTAACGTTATCTGCGCTGCTTAAAGGTTATGTGTTTGGCAGGAGAGGCAGGGTTGGCTTCATGTGTTTGTAGAGATGCTACTGGTACTAGCCTGCTGTGTGCTTGCTTTAATTTCAGCAACAGAATAATACGGAAGACGATTAGGGCCACTGAAAAAACAAACAAAGTTAACAGGTTTGTAAATTTTACTTCTGTATAATAGGAGAAAAAAAGTCGGAATTCTGACTTTAATGTCAGAATTTTTACTTTTTCTTTCAGAATTTTTACTTTTTCTTTCAGAATTTTGACTTTTTCTTTCAGAATTTTGACTTTATTATGATAATTCTGGATCTTAATGTAGATTAGCACCATGAAGGAAGACAAAAGTCAGAATTCTGGGGGGGAAAAGGTCAGAATTCTAACCTTTGTTTCCCCATATTAAACTGAAATAATTTTTAAAAATCAGATAACTTATTTTTATTTTTCCAGTGGCCCTAATCCTGAGATCAAAGTGAGAATTCTGTGAATAAAATGAGAATTCTGATATTAATGTCAGAATTCTAACTTTTTTCCCCAGATTAAACTGAAATATTATCTAAAAATCAGTTAACTTTTTTAATTTTTTCAGTGGCCCTAATCCTCTTCCGTAGACTAAAGAAGAGCTGAAACTGAGTTGAAATTGTTTCGCTTAAGTGACAGAATGCCCCACTACTTCTAATTTAAGATAATTAAAATGATTAAGAGTGGGATCCCTGTGTGCAGGCTATTTTGATGCGTTGCCATGGTTGAATTTATCATAGGAATTGTGTTCATTTTTAGAGCCCATTTTTATTTTGAAAGAGGTGAGAGGGGTTAAAAGTAGGCAGATCATAAAAAGGGTTATTGCTTTTAGTTACTCTGTGATCATAGACATCTGTCTGCATAGGATGAGTCAGAGTATATCTATAGATAAGTATTTTATACAACTCTGTTACAGACTAACTGCTAGTTGAGAAACATTAAATGATTATTATGCAACTGGCATTACATGTAGGCTTGATATTTAAATAAGAGGGTTGGGTGGGGAAAAATAACGTATGTATGTTCATAAATATGAACATAATGGAAGCTTTAGAAATGAATAGAAAACAAAAAAGAATCCAGATTTAGTTCAGGTAAAGAGCAGAGTCTCAGCTGCTCTCTGGTTTTTAGCCGAGGGTGTTTTGAATGAATATGAACCATGGCATGATGTAAAGATTTTACTCCAAATATCAATAGAAGACTGAGATTTGTTGGGCAAAAGGAGCTAACATGCAGAACAGGCCAGATACCTTTAAAATTAAACAATAAAGGAAGCGCTAACACCCAGCAGTATTCAGTACATAGCATATAAATCAGTGTCATAAAAAATAGCTTTTTAATCTTTGCAAATCTAGTGTCTTTTTTTTTTAGCACTGTTGACAATGAAAATAGCTATGTTCAGTTGTATTTGATAACCTATAATATGTGTAAACATATGCTTAATTACTGTTTATGAGCTTTATTTTCATTAGAATTAAATCAGATCTCCCTTTTTTAAAGTCTTTGAAAACAAAACAGTCTAGTTTGAATCAATGATTACTCTTAAGTGACATTTATTGTTTTCATCTTAAATGCATTGTTTTCTTATTTTCTTTATTTAGGGTTGAAAGGTGGCGGAGGACCAACAGGGGGCAGTGGACCTGGCACCTTCAGCTACACCTTTCAAGGGGATCCTCATGCCATCTTTGCAGAGTTCTTTGGTGGGCGTAAACCTTTTGAGCAGTTTTTTGGTGCTCGCAATGGAGGTATGGAGGAGGACATGGACACTGATGACCCGTTTTCTCGATTTGGGATGGGCGGCGGCGGCGGAATGGGTCCCGGTGGAATGGGTGGCTTCTCACGCTCCTTCGGCCCTGGGATGGGAGGGATGGGAGGAATGGGGGGTCACACTAGCGTTGTAAAGAAGCAACAAGACCCACCAGTGGTTCATGATCTCAGGGTGTCACTAGAAGAAGTGTTGAATGGTTGCACAAAAAAAATGAAGATCTCCCGAAAAAGACTCAACCCTGACGGCAGAACAACAAGGTCAGAGGAGAAAATCCTGGAGGTGCAGATCAAGAAAGGGTGGAAGGAGGGCACCAAGATCACTTTTGCCAAAGAAGGGGACGAGACGCCGAGGAACATTCCAGCAGACGTAGTCTTCGTGTTGAAGGACAAACCTCACCCGGTGTTCAAACGGGACGGCTCTGACATTGTTTACACTGCCAAGGTCACGCTACGTGATGTAAGTCAGGATTACTGCAAACCAGAGATATATTTTGACACATAACCATTACATGTAGAGGATTTAAATCAGTGTTTCTTTTAATGTCATTTCTAATTGTTCTCTACTGTCTTCTCGTCCCATCAGGCCTTATGTGGTTGTACAGTCCATGCACCCACGCTGGAAGGCAGGACAGTGACCGTGACGTCCACGGACATCATACAGCCTGGAATGAAGTGGCGGGTTAGCGGAGAGGGGCTGCCTTATCCCAAGCGACCCGATCGTCGAGGGGACTTGATAGTTGAGTATGAGGTGAAGTTCCCAGAAAGGCTTACTCAGAGCGCCCGGGACACCATCGCCCAGGTTCTGCCTCGATCCTAAACAGGACAAACTCGCTGGACTTATACTTGGCTGCCTTTTTTTTACTTGTGAATTGTCATGTGGGCGTCTACAAGTTAGACTTGCATTAGACGCAAAGAGCGACACTCCCAGGGTCAGCTCAGCCCTGGATGTCTTTCCATGGTCCTCTGTAGTGTAAATATGAGCTTTTGGAGGCTTTGCCTATAATAAATGAGTGCTGCTTTTCTGAGTCTTGTTTGTAAATTTGATGAGTGATATTTTGGAGTGTTTGGTTTACGGAGTTTATATTTTTCATGAAACCTGTACAATAGATAAGAGAACACTTGTGCCACTATTCTACTAAATCTTTTGTTTAGAACAATTTTCACTGAGGAACTTTCTTTTTTTGTGAATAAAGTTGAGCATCCAGATTTGCAGTGTATGGTTCACGGTTATGAGATATTTGACCGTGGAAGAACAGATTATTTTACTAAGAATGAAAGCTCACACAGAGGAATGACGCTCGGATAAATGATTGCTCTGTGAGTTCTTTGACATTGATGAACAATAAAGAAGGAAACGGTGCTGTTTACATTTGATGTCTCCTTTATTTTTCTATGATTTATTTTTTGTATTAAATTATTTCCCTCTAAGGATAAAAATGACTTCCTTACATCTTTATCTTATATGAAGTTACATACAATCACATTCAGTGATTTACAATAGTTTTGAGAGTTTCCTTTGATTCAGTAACAATATTCTTTAAATAAAACACGGTAAAGATTGCTGTATTTTCAGCTTTTATGTTACAATGTACTCAGAACAAACATTTCATATTCACAGCAATAAGAAACATTTTAATACAGAAATGTGGACTTTACGTTTTAATACCTGCCAGGAGGATGTTATGAAATCCTTTTAATTGGACAAATAAGCCTCCCTCTGAACGCATTTTCTGTTTGTTTTTTTTGTTGTTGCACAAAATCGCTTGATTTGCAAGAATAAACTAATTTAAATAGATTACCCAAGTGTTCTGTTTCTGAAATCACAAAAACAACTGTCTGTTACTAGGCTCAGCTTATTTAATCAATATATAGGAATTAGCTTGAAATTATAACCTTTGAATGAAAGATCAATAAATCAGATTTTCTTTTTATAACTACTTACCATCTTTGAAGAAAGTATAACTATAAGAAAGCTTTTAAGGCTCACACTGTTTTGCCTAAATAAACTTTTATATTGTGCATTTAAGCCTGCTGCTTTTAAACAAGGTTCCACCTTAGAAAATACCCCCCTTATACTGATATTGCTTATGTGTGTACAAACCTGACTTTTTCAGACAAAATAAGTAATGCCTTTATTGTCCTCCAGTGAAAGAAACAGGCATGTTCAAGTTTAATACGCACACAAAAAATAAAAAGCAGGCAGTTATAACACAAAAACATGCAAATGAACATGATTTTAGAGCCGAATGGTTCTAGATCATGTGAAAGGTTTTTGCTATTTCTATTTAACATAATATATAAATATATCGAGCAGATTACAAAAAGTGCAAATAATGCTTAGATCAGATCTAGAAGCTGTGCGACCAGGAGCATGTTTGTAAATACCTGTAGGGAGCAGCTGGGATGATAAAGTCTAACACAGACAGGAAGGAATGATCCAGCATCCCTTTATGAAGGATATCACAGTTTAAAGCAACAGTATTTTATTTACCTCTCTGGCTTCCTCTGGATGTGCTTCTACCAATTTACCCTTCAGTACCATGAATGTTTTAAAGTTCGCTGAGAACGTTGAGGCATTACACACTTCCTACATGAAAACCCAGCAGGAATTTCTTGTTATTGTTTTTCCCTCTTAGCTGCAGGTCCTATTAACCCCCTTATAAATTTTGTTTAAAAAAAATAAATCTGACTTTGATTTCATATTTAGTGACTTTTTAATTAAAAGAGGACATATACATAAACATATGTCAGTTTGACTCCAGGCTGTCAAGCTTTTAAAGATATACAGGAAATATCAACATTTTACATCTTTCTTCAAAGACTTCCAGGGCTCTATCTCTACATAGCAATAACCATAGCAGTGTGAGAACCACTAATAGTTAGAACAGCATGAAGAAGGAGAAACAAAGAGTTTGATATTTACCATGCCTGTGGTACGTCACTAAAGTCAGGCCAGGGGTGGAGCCTCTTAAGCCGTTTCTCTTCTCCCTGACAAATTTACAGGTGCTGGTCATAAAATTAGAATATCATGAAAAAGTAGATTGATTTCAGTAATTCCATTTAAAAAGTGAAACTTGTATATTATATTCATACATTACATACAAACTCATATATTTCAGATGTTTATTTTGTTTAATTTTGATGATTACAAATGACAACAAATGAAAATCTCAAATTCATCATATCAGAAAATTAGAATATTACTGAAGACCAATAAAAAAAAAGGATTTATAGAAATGTTGGCCAACTGAAAAGTATGAACATGAAAAGTATGAGCATGTACAGCACTCAGTATTTAGTTGGGCCTCCTTTGGCCTGTATTACTGCAGCAATGCGGCGTGGCATGGAGTCGATCAGTCTGTGGCACTGCTCAGGTGTTATGATAGCCCAGGTTGCTCTAATAGTGGCTTTTAGCTCTTCTGAATTGTTGGGTCTGGTGTATTGCATCTTCTTCTTCACAATACCCCATAGATTTTCTATGGGGTTAAGGTCAGGAGAGTTTGCTGGCCAATTAAGAACAGGGATACCATGGTCCTTCAACCAGGTACTGGTAGCTTTGGCACTGTGTGCAGGTGCCAAGTCCTGTTGGAAAATGAAATCTGCATCTCCAAAAAGTTGGTCAGCTGCAGGAAGCATGAAGTGCTCTAAAACTTCCTGGTATGTGGCTGCGTTGACCCTGGACCTCAGAAAACACAATGGACCAACACCAGCAGATGACATGGCACCCCAAACCATCACTGACTGTGGAAACTTTACACTGGACTTCAAGCAACGTGGATGAAGTGCCTCTCTTCTTTTCCTCCAGACTCTGGGACCTTGATTTCCAAAGGAAATGCAAAATTTACTTTCATCAGAGAACATGACTTTGGACCACTCACCAGCAGTCCAGTCCTGTTTCTCTTTAGCCCAGGCAAGACGCTTCTGACGCTGTCTGTGGTTCAAGAGTGGCTTGACACAAGGAATGCGACAGCAGAAACCCATGTCTTTCATACGTCTGTGTGTGGTGGTTCTTGAAGCACTCACTCCAGCTGCAGTCCACTCTTTGTGAATCTCCCCCACATTTTTGAATGGGTTTTGTTTCACAATCCTCTCCAGGGTGCGGTTATCTCTCTTGCTTGTACACTTTTTTCGACCACATCTTTTCCTTCCCTTCGCCTCTCTATTAATGTGCTTGGACACTGAGCTCTGTGAACAGCCAGCCTCTTTAGCGATGACCTTTTGTGTCTTGCCCTCCTTGTGCAAGGTGTCGATGGTCGTCTTTTGGACAACTGTCAAGTCAGCAGTCTTCCCCATGATTGTGTAGCCTATAGAACTAGACTGAAAGACCATTTAAAGGCTTTTGCAGGTGGTTTGAGTTAATTAGCTGATTAGAGTGTGGCACCACGGGCCATCAATTTTGAACCTTTTCACAATATTCTAATTTTCTGATATGATGAATTTGAGATTTTCATTTGTTGTCATTTGTAATCATCAAAATTAAACAAAATAAACATCTGAAATATATGAGTTTGTATGTAATGTATGAATATAATATACAAGTTTCACTTTTTAAATGGAATTACTGAAATCAATCTACTTTTTCATGATATTCTAATTTTATGACCAGCACCTGTAGAGGGGAAGTGTGTTTATAAGGATACTTGGAAAGAAGCGGATAGAGCTCACTGGCAAGCTTTCATTGGGTTACTCATTTTGGCAGGAGTGTACAAATCAAAAGGCAAAGCAAGAGCAAGCCTTTGGGCTGCTGAAGCTGGAAGGAAAATCCTGTCTCCATGTGTCATAAGCTGTTATGATAGGGAAACAAGTTCTCTTAAAACTCTTCTAAACTTAATGCTTCCCAGTTTTTTATCAGTTTCCAAAGACAGTTTCAGACTCTTCTCTGTTCCCAGTTTTCCATTCACATGGAGGGCTGCTTGGCTTGCAAACAGTTTGTACAGCAGCAATTTACTTCTTTAATAAATACCAAAAAGTAAATAGTTATTTTTCATCAGTAGCAGAGAATCAGGTAATGAAACTACCCCCCCCCGGTAGAGAGTGGAGGTAATTAGAGTTGAGGATATATTTGCAGTTTAAGAAGTAAAACACATATTAAGTGGATAGTTTTTAATGGGCAAGCTTTGGATAAAATGAGATGAGATCATAAAAGTGATTACCCTAAAATAACAGTAGACTATTCAATCTCTTAAGATGTGGAAACTTTTTTAAATATATTTTAACATATGTTAAATTGTTTGAACAAGATAAACATCTGTAGTTCCTGACAGCAATGTCAGTAAAAAAAAAAGCAAAAAAAAAAAAAAAAAAAGCTATGTGCTGTTCAAAGGAAAACTTAAGGCCCAATTGCACAGATGCTGCAGTATATTAACGAGAGCTTAACGAGTTGGAAACCCTTTTCCAAAACATACTAGGGCAGAAAAAGATCCTGTTAGTGTCTAATAGAATGAATCCAAAGAATAATCTCTAAACTGATGGAAAGGCTAGTGCACGATTTGCTCATGACCACAAGCACAGAAACATCTCAGTGAAACTAATAATGAATACTGTAACCTCTTCTCAACTCAATGATCTAAAGAACCTTTTTGTTTTTCAGTTAAAGCTGATTAATGTCATAACAACCGGATAACATGACTGCCTAAACAACCAAGGATTTCATCTGATCAATAAAAGAGAAAAGGATTTGATTGGCTGGTTCCAGATAAGATCCCAATGGCATGCCTTTTATCTGATACTCTTAAAGTACTGTAAACAATCAAAAATGTGGGGGCAAAAAAAAATGTCTGAGGCTAATGGCTTTAGGATGAAGTTATAGAGAGAAAAATATTGGTAAAAATAAACTTACCGGCCAGATAGACAGCAAATTATCCAGTCACATGGCTGCAGTCCTTCATGTTTAGGTGCCTGGAAAAGAGGAAGAGGACTGGGACGAGTTCTTCCTGCCTTGGACCATTGATTCAGACTGCTGCCGATGGTATGATCATTGCATGTCCTTAACGGATAATTACATCCCTCTACACCGATGTTGGCACACTGATAAACACACAATGCTTCTGCCTAACATTTATGAAACCACTTGGTTAATAATAATTTTAGAGTTAGACAGACTTATTGTCATTTATTATACACAGAGTGTATACAAAACAAATTATGTTGTTTAAAGCTTACAACAGTTAAATGAACATTACCATTTAAAGTGCAGCACTGGTCAGAATATGTAAACAGTGTAGGAGAGAAAGAACACCAGCTTAAAAAATAATGGTGCAAAAGGGTATTGATACGGAAATATGGTTCGGTGCAGTGCAAAATAAATATGGTGCAAAAATGCAATAGAATATTGCATTTTTGCAAAATAATGTTGCAAGTGTGAAATAATGTTGCAAGTGTGATGCAGGGTCCAGTTTAGAGTTCAACAGTCTGATGGCAGAGGGGAAGATGCTGTTGCTGGACCTGCAGCAAATGCTGCGAAGCCTCTTCCCAGAGGGCAGCAGGGAGAACAGTCCATGGTGGGGGGGGTGGGGGGTCACTGATGATGTTACGGGCTCGGGACATGCAGTGCTGGGACGAAATGTCCTTAATGGGTCAGTTGTTCTCATACCTGTTGTTCTCAGTTGGGTCAGTTGTTTACTGTTGTTCTCTGTGTAATTAAACATTTTCTAACACCTCACACTACAAAATAAGCGTTAAAAGCATTTATGATTTGTGCTGATGTTGTATCGGGTCAAAATTTATATTAGTCAGTTCTCAAAGGTGCAATATCGTTATCATATCAGAAATGAAGAAGTTATTTCAGGACAGCCCTACTTCAAGCAACAATTAATAACCCCTAGTACAGGAAACAGTTGATAACTGCTTGTTCCTTGTGGTATTGCTTCTTACCATCTCCTTTCCCTTATGATCACAGCCATATTTTCCTGTTGCCTTCCAGCAGGACATCACACCACATAAAAAAATAAAATAAAAATTAAATCATGGTTCCTGGACATGGTAAGGACCTCCCTGTGTCCCAGCACTCTGTCTATATAGTTATCACTCTTAATCATTATAAATAGAAAAACAACCAATTTGAAGCAACAGTATAACGATAAATGCCAATCTAGACCAAAATATCTGTCTATGTCATGAAGAAGAGTACATGTTCTGGAGGCAGTTTCCTAATAATGTGGCCTGTGGGTGTATAATTATTTTTTTTCGAGAAAACTTCACAAAATACATAATATCATTCACAGTTTATCAGATCTGAAAGTATTGTTTCATTTTTTAGAGCATCCTACATAAAAACAGCTGTAACTTATAAAACTTATATTGATTTATTCCAGAGTTGCTAAAAGGTAATATAAACAATAGCAAAGAAGCAGTGTCTTTCACTAAAGCAGTGACATTACTTTTTGCAGCAGTCATTTTCCCTTTAGTCTTTTCGGACTTTTTGATGAAGAGCCTGATCTCCCAGAGATTTTATGTGGTTTAACGGGGCCTTCATTATTGAAACAAATAGTCCTTAGGTTGCCCTCAGATACCCGTGACCTGATCTGCAGACAGACCACTTATTGAGTCTGATGGCCTCCAGCATAATGGGATCTAGACTTTTGGAGGCACACGAATGACTGGGGGAGGTAGACATGAACACTGAGGACTTTATAGCCCATCACAGTCATGAGCTGGTTCCTCAATGCTGAGTGGAAGAGATAGGAAAAACTAGCATATGCAGTAGGTTGGCTGTAGAGGATAAATAGAGGCATGGTACACCAGACCCGCTCCCTTTTCATGCAGAGGAAGACTGAACAAGAGCTGCTGCAAGTTTTTTTTTTTTCTTTTGCCAAAGAATCGTTTCAGGGGAGTGTTGCTTTTGTCTATGAGGCGTTCCTGTTTAATGGCAGTAAATCAGATTACTAGTTCAAGCTGAAAGTTTCTTCCACACTCTTTTTTCACTTGGAATCGAGCAATGAGGTCTCTTCTCCTCACCGTTTGTTGCTTTTCAGGTACGTTTCTTCATTTTAGCCTGGGCTGCTGTGTTTTAAATCTTTTATGATATAAATTACACTTATATCACTTTTGCATGGGATTAAGTTAATGTTTTTGAGTAAGAAAAAAAAGGATAATCTATTTAATACCACAGACTAATATAAGTTTAAATTTGCCTTAAATCTGTGTCTTTTTCCTCTTTGAAATCTCAGGTTGCATAACAACAATTCTGCATTTTTTAGGACAACAAACAGCAACAGTTTATTCAGGCAGATCAGATAAGATTTGATAAAGGGCAACCCAGAGGGGGCAGCATTAGATAGATAAGTGGAAGAAGAATGACGTCTAAGATGTACTGTTCTGCATTAAATGTTTTTCCCAGATATTGCCACTCTATCGTGGTTCTGGAAATGCAAAAGAAACTATCATGTTTTCATTATATAATAGTCTGTTCTTTCCAGATGGAGATGTTTTTGCTCTTTGCACATTCTCTAAAATTACGGTAATACAGGAACTGTTTTGGTTGAAAATTTAGGCTGTAAAAGGAGATGGAAAATAACTTGTATAACTCTATACACAACTTTTTTTCCCCTTAATTTTTATGTTCATGGATGAAACAGTCTAGTGAATCTCCAAATCTTCACCTTCTCTCTTAAAAGCTTGCAAGTCAGTACTTAGTTTATGCAGCAACACTTGAGCTTTGTTGCAAAGTTAGCTTTCTTGAAAGTTGAAAGTGCTGGAATTTTCTTTTTCCTAAATTAAATAAATGTATATTTTTGGTGGAAATGTTACATAGAAATAAAAAGCTACCTTCCCAGTACTAGAAAATTATTGTTCAAATAAAAAAATGGATAAAGGTAATATTTTCCTCTTTTAGCCAAAATTGAAATTCAAATCTAAATTATATAAAGCTTAAAATATACATATTTTCTTATAAAGCACATTTAAAACTAGCTGACCTAAGTGCTGTGTGTTCAAATTATACAGAGTTAAAGGCACACTATGCAACATTTTTCAGTTAATTAATGTGTTCCATAACGTTATGCATGATTAAATGATTCATTTCAGGTTGAACAAAGGTATTCTCGGCCGCCCTGGTGGTCTGTGGGGGAAATACTGCACTTGCAATTGCAGGAGCACCTACCTGCACCCACAGGCTCAGAAGTCTCGTGAGAGTCAGTCTTGCTTTACGGCGAGAACTGCTACACGCCCCCAGTTAAAAGCATTCTCGTTGCTAGCACAGTGGCGATCTTTGTGCAGTTATGCTACGTTCACATCGGACGCAGCAAAATCGCGTCTGCTGCTTCATTTTTGCTGCTTGTACCAGTTAGTTCTGACGCGCGGCTGAAGCAGCTTTGCTGCTCTGGCTGCGCGGTGCAAAAGTGTGTCTGACGCGCTTTGGGCGGAGCTTCACTATCCTTTGTCTGCCTTGCAGCTATATTTGCTGTGATCAGTGGGAATAAAGTAGTTTTAATATGTGTTTAAGTGAGAAAATACACCTGAAAACGTAATCAGTGCCGTCAGTTCATTCAGATTATTATCCTGCCTTCAATATTTTTTCTGTCGGAGCCGCTCAGACCCCCACATACCAGCGGTGCGCCGACAGTAGGGATCCCTTCATCAGCAGCCTCTGGCCGGGTTGCCTCCTCGCGGTTCACCACGGCAGCTGGTAGGTGTTTTTCATCTAAATAATCCAAACTGCATATTCTGCCGGCAGATTTCTGTATTTTAAGTTAATTTAGGCGTCAATAAACTGTTTAAGAGGAGTGATCATCAGCGCTGTGTCTCTCTCCCTGCGTCAGATGCTTAAACGCGCCCGATGCGCTGCTTCAGCTGCTCAGACGTGCTGCGCCTGCTGCTCAAAACGCGCCGCGGGACCTTTTGCTGCGCCTTGACGTTACGTTGCATGTAAACTTGCTGCTTCTGTCGCGCCAGCTGCGGTGTGAACGCAGTATTAGTCATTCGTTGCGTTCGCCTGTCTGCTAAGCTCAAAACAACCGCGCCTGGCTTGACGGAGAAACCAGGAGAACAGCTGTGCATATTTACGACAGTGCACTTTTACTTTCGCCCTCTGGGGGGAGCCTCGCTGGAAAATCAACACCGGTTGCATAGTGTACCTTTAAATACAAATTTTAATTATAAAAGACAGTAAAGGAGCCTGCCTAACATGGTGAGTTAATGTATCCCACAAGTGTAAAAGCAAGTTAGTGATAAGCTTCAGCATTGACCTTAGAACCGCCAGTAGCAGTTGACCAGCTGACATTTGTCGAATACAACGAGGGAATCAAATCCTAAAGATAATGGAGGAGCAAAAGCTTTCAGGCATTTTAGAACAAAATAGTTTAAAAATCAGCCCTTATCCACACATAGATTCATTGTGGAACAGCCATAACAGCAGTGCTGTGCTGTGACCTGTGTGATCAGGGCAATGGGCAGCATTGTGACACCCAGCATGAACAAGCTGGGTGTCACAAGGACCACTTGGGAGGAATAGTATGACCTCAGCCTTGGTTGCATCTAGACATTCATCAAAAGATTCATGGAATTAGCATCTTGCTTTTTCAAATGTAGACTTGAGAGTCATTGACATAACAATAAAAGGACACATCCGACTTCTGAAAAACGGAACCCAAGAATTAGATATACGGAGTAAAGAGAAAGGGTCTTAGCGTAGACCCCTGAGTAACCTATTGAGGACAGGAAATCCCTCATGGCGACACTAAAAGTTATGAAGGCCAGATAAAACTTAAACCACTCCAAAGCAGCACCTCTAATACAAACACAATGAGCACCAGGGCAACATAGTTATCAGCTTCCGCAGCTAAAGATATATCATTAAAAACCCAAAAAAGAGCAGATTCTGTCCTGGGAAACATTTAAAATCTTGATATTGAAAACATCAAACAAACAGAAGAGCCAAGAATTTTATAGATTGTTCTGATCTTGAAAAAATTATACATGTTTGTATTAGAACTAGAATCATCTACTGTTAATCTTTTTGCAAATATTTCTTACTCAAGCCTCATCAAGGCCCCCATTGTATCCTCCTTTCACTGCCTCATTTCTACAATAGATTTAAAACTTTATTTTCTTTTTCTTTTTCTTTTTAAAGCTTTTAATGGTTTGGCCCCAACTAATTTTCTGAAATGTGGCCGGTGTTTGCACCTACCGGCCACCGTAGTTTCTGCTTAAAAGGCAGATCCCCAAAGTCTTTGTCCCAGTTCGTCTGCCAAATGGGTCTTGTCGGTCGCAGACCTGACCTGGGCCTTTTTAGATCCAGACTTTTAATGATCTCTGCGGATTTTTCCCTCATATTTCTAACAATTTCTTTGATTTTTTTTAATGTATGTGTACTTTAGTTGTTTTATATATTTTTGCATATTTTTTGTTTTTTGTTGAGTTCTTTGTGGTTGGCTTTTTAAGAGCCATATAATTAAAAAACTGAAATGAATGAATAAAACAGCAACAGAAGTTGTTCTAGCCTTGGACAATCCCATTCACATAATTTCAAATCAAAATTAAATAAGAAATAAAAGCTGTTTTACATCGAATCTGTCCTGAATTTGAATAACATGTAGCTATTCAACAGAACATGAATCACTGTAGTTTATTTTTTCAAATATACACCTATATTAAAAAAAATGTTGAAAATAAAAAAATGTAACAATATATACTTTTGGTTTGAAATTGAAATATTAAGCACAGCAGTGGTTAGTTATATAAAAGCATTAGAACCTGTTAATTGCTTTATTCAGGGTTAGATCATCTGGTTTTAGATAAACAAATATGAAAGGAGAGTCTCCCTCGGTATGGAACTGAAGTGGTTTGCGTGATGCTAATGGCAATAACAACTTATCAAATTCCTAAAAATACCCATCCCACATAGGCTGACAATTCCAGAATTCACTCTGGTTTAATATGCGAAATTAGTGGCTCAGGAAGCATGAAATACTATTTTCATGCCTAGATAAAGCTACAGAGTCGAGCTCTTTGCCCAACAGAGGATCCTTGATATGTCTTTATGTTCTGTTCTCTGTTTCCCATCTTAGCAAATAATAAATACATGAATAAATGAATGAATAAATTTATTCACTCTAGATGAAAAGATAATTCATAAAAGGATCAAACGCCATCACTGCCACCTTGAGTTGGGTAGGAGTAGCTGAGCAGCTTAAGGTTCAAGGAGGTAATCAAAGCAATCCAACTATAAAAAGGTTGAGCTAATATGAACAAATATTACATTAAGTAGTACATCAATGTGGTGCACTGAAAAAAATAATGCAACTGCTTTTGGTATTTACTTAATCATATTAAGTTACTTTAACACAATTGTTTCATGTTTGCAGGGTAGGAAATAAAACAACTAAATATGATTAAGTAAATGCCAAAAGCGGTTACATCATTCTTTCAATGTGTGGTTTTAGGATTCACACACTGCAATGACAAGAACATTTTGCATCTCCATGAGGTTTGTCATCAAAGAGAAGCATGAAGTAATTAGCTGGTAGCTGGCTTTGCTTAGTTTGGACCTGATAAATCACATCGGACCAACAGCAGCAGAGGACATGGTTCCCTAAATCAATACCTCAACCAATGTGGATTCTCTCTTAGAGCTGTTTGGGCTGTTAAAGAACAGTCCAGTTGTATTTCTCCTTGATACCCAGGTCCTGGTGTCTTTTGAAATTATGACTCCAACCGCAGGCAGTGACTGTTCATGACTTCCCCATGGCTATTACAAAGCATTTCTTTATCACATATCAATTTTCATTGGTCTTATGTAATATTTTAATCTGAATATAAATTTTCCATTAGCTGTTAGACATAAAACACTTTTTTTTTTTAATTTCATTTTAGTTTTTCCATTAGATGTTGATTGTTGAACAACTTTCCAGGCATATCTGAATAATAAGTGCATTTAAATATACATATTGTATATATCCTTTACTTTTTACTGCACATTTTGTGCTCAAACTAAAGAAGAGATTTACCCATCATCTTCAAGACATTTTTTGTTTCCTCTCTGCAGTTTTCCACCTGGATGCATCCCAGGTTCTCGAAGTGAACGGCCAGGTTGGAGGAAATGTCTCCATCCACTGTTTTGATAGCTGGTCTGCAGTCAACATTTCAGAGCTGGACAGTGTGCATTTCTGCAATGGTATCTGCTCTGCTGAAAACACCATCATTCAGATGGAGATGATGAGCTCTTCTGTAAAATGGGATGGGAGATACAGCATGGAGTTGGATGGAGAAGACGGGGTCTTTACTGTGACAATAAACAAGCTAAAGAGAACTGATACTGGCAGTTATCTTTGTGCAATGAGTAGAAGCCTAAAACTAATGTTCCAAGAAGTTAGTCTAAAAGTGGTTGATGGTAAGTTTTTAGGTGGATGAATAATCTTCTTGGTGTTAAAATAGAAGTAACTTCATTATTACATACCAAAAATCCTAATAGAACAACATACTTCCTTATTAGGATGTTACATGATTTATAAATATTAGCAAAATATAAATTTCAATATTATTAAACAATATACATATTTTGATAATTTCACAATTATGAATGTATGCATTATAATTATTTGATTTGATATTCTTAATATATCTTTATTATCGATTAACGTAATTATTGAATTTCCTTTTGGAATTATTAAAGTATTTTTGAAATGAGTTTAATAGACACAGGTCTTTTCCTCTAGCCTCAGAGGTTTGTTCAAGAACATCAGCGAACAAAAAGCCTGTTAAAGACCAGGAAGGGATGAAAACATAGAGAAATTTAAAGCAGGATTATGTTAAAACCAGGTAAAAACTCCAGTCTAAATATTTCCCATTTATATACTTTTCCACTTTTTGTTATGTTTCAACCAAAAAATGAAAAGTGTTGGGAAAACTTCTTTGTGAAACTGTATGAAGGAGCGGATTGTTTAGATAATTATCCTCTCAAAAGTGCTACGAGCTCAAAACAACAAAGCTCAGAAAAGTTGGCGCTGACCTACTTGATACTGACAGCCTAGGGTCATTTTGAAGAACAGTCAACCTTGTGATGCCTTCCTGATGGACAGATAGTAAAACCCTGATCTCTGCCAGAATTTTAAAACATCTACCTCTCAAATTGTTTTTACTTAAGTCACCCAGGATGTGATTATTTAATCATTTTTACCACCAAAATCAACTTGAGATGGCTTTAGTATAAACTAAAGGCAACAGATATTTCCTAACTTTAACCATTTTTTATTTTAAATGCTTTTTATTCCACATAAAAGTCTGTTGATTAAATGGGACTGGTTGCTTTTAATAGACAAAGGATGGAACATCATTTGAAAAATGAATTTGAAAGTTTTAGAATATATTTAAACATAAAAAGTACAATGAAAATGATTGATCTCTCTCTTCATAATCAGTTGTCCTATGAAATGACATGCATTACATGGATCTATTATTGCTGAACAGTTTTTTACATGAAGAACCTAAAATCTTTTAATCTGAAAGTCCGCTTCGCTATAACCATAATCTTTAGGTCCATTGATTCTCTATCTAATCTAAGATAGGACTCTAATTTAAAGCATATAATGGTATTACTTAAATAAAAAAACAAAAAACCAAAAGGGAAAGATTAACTGAAACATGTTGTTTTTTTTTAAAGGGAATTAAAAACTTTGTGTCCAAGTATTTGGTAATATTTTTTCTGCTAGCAAAACTGATTACACAATATCTCTCTTTTAAAATATCCTGTTTTGGATTTATCCAACTTATAAATCTACATTTCAACTGACTTGGAGTTATTTAATAGTCCAATCCGTATTCTGTGAATGTGAGAAGCTTTATCTTGTGATTACTTGGTAATGTGTTTTTTTTTTATCTTAGCTATATGTTAAAACGTCACATGAGCCTAGACATATTTATCCTCACTGACCAGCCATTTGTCTTGGCCTCTCAAAGTTTCCACTGTTCCTGCTGGATCCCCTGAAGCCCCCAATACCACCCAGCAGGCAGGGCTACGCTCTCCCAGAGGCAGCTTTCCATCAAACGATGAAGCATCTCACGTTACAATCATGCCACCATCTTCAGACAGGAAGAGAAGACAGAAAGAAGCAAACCACCTAACAGGTATCACACCTTTTCAAGACAAAACCTTAAAATATTATAGAGCAAGTCTTGAAATACATTGATTAGGTTTAAAATGTATTTATGTTTATTTCTAATCAAAATTATTGCCTCAAGTTATGGTTGATGTTCCCCAAATGAAATTCAGGAAACAACAGGATAAGATCAATGTCCTAAATATGAGTAATTAACTGCACATGAAAATATTACTACTAGTATTATATAACGTAAGAATAGGTAAGTTCAAAGGGATAGATAATATTTCAGCAGCATGAAGAGATTAAAATAAAATAAGAACAAACATAACATTAATTAAAGGGTCAGGTAATTGTTTCTCTTTATTTTTTGTTTCTTTTCTGTACATGGTATTAACACTACAGGATTAATTCACTAAGCCTGTCCTTTTCAGACATTTTTTACAACACAAACAATTCAACTTCCTGGAACGTAGACCCTCTATTAAGTCTCAAACTGGTCCAGTTATTTTATTTATATTGCATTATGTAAAAGAAACTATAGCTTTAAATTTTTGAATGCATTAAACGGAAAATAAATTCATGATTAAAATAAAAAGTACATAATGTATCATTGTTATATATATAATACATATAAAATATTTTAGATTTCTTGCTTTATTCATATCTGGTAAGTAGTAAAATGTTACTAAAACCAAATTTAGGAAAAATTAAGACAACTATGTCTTAATTTAACTATATCAATATGATCACAGAATTAAAAGAAGTATAAAACTTTTTTTTTAGAAAATATGATTTAAAGGTGTTAAACCATTGATAAGTCATAATAATCTCCTCAAGCATAGAAAACACCATAAAGCATTGTTCTCAGTCGAGTCTGTAGTACAGGAACTGAGGACTTCAGGATTTGGCCATATGGTGTTAGAAGATCTGAAATATAATCATGTCTAACACAAGATTTAAACTCCAAATAACCTCAATAACGTCTCAAAATTAACATGTAGCCAAAGAAAATATGTATAAAAAAAAACTATTTTTTGTTCTCTTGGTTTTAGAGAGAACTCCAGCTGCAGCATTTTAAACCAAGCCTAGTTTATGTAAGCTCTGCTGGCCAAAACAAATTTATAATGAGTTCCAATAACTGAGTCTAGTGGACATAATGAATCATGAATGACTTTCTCTTTTGGGTAAAAGTGAACTGACCTCACTGATATTCTGTTTGACTGCATGTCTGTATAATCTAAATTGACATGTTTATTTAAGATGAGGATCATTTGACAGTGTTACTGTGTGTTATTGAGGTTAACAGAAACCACATGTCATCACTACAAGGTATATCTGGAAAGCAAAGATGAAAAATAGAAAACTAAGAAATCACATAAATGTAAGTATTCACATCTTTTGCCGTGAAGTCTGTATTAAGCTGAGGTTCATGCTTTTTCTACTGATCATCTTGAGATGTTGCTGCAGCTTTTTTGAAGTCGGCCTTTGGTAGATTTAGTTAAAGGTAAAAGATTAGGAGAGGAACCCACTGGTCCATATAAGGTCCTACAGTGTGTAACCACCAAGCATGAAGTCGAAGAATTTGTCTGTAGACCTCTGAGAGCGCAAATCTGGGTAAGAATTCAGAAAAAAATGGATGCTGCTTTAAAAGCCCCAATGAGCAATGGACATTTTGAGCCCACAGGATTCTCCCCAGAGCTGCTGCACTGTCTACACTAAGAAGGTCACTCTGTCAGAGCTCTAGGAAGATCTTCAAGAGAGACAACTATCTGTACAGCATGTTTTGTAGATTAGCCAGATGAAAATCATTTGGGAAAAGACGCTGGCAACCCATCTGATGTTTCCCAAAAGACACTAGAAGAACTCTAAGCTCATGAGATACACAATTCTCTGGTCTGACGAGACAAATTGTAAAATCTTAAAGCCTGAGCTCCTGGCCATACTTAGTGATTGGCCGTTCCCCCAAATGAATATACACGTTTGATATTCAGAGCTGAAGAGTCAATGGCGTAACTAAGCAGAGACTGCAGTTGCTTAGGGGCCCTCGACCTCTTGGAGGCCCCGTCACTGACATCTGGTTCGCCCCCTACGCAATTGTGGACTAGGATTTCTCTTTGCAGATGTGATGGTGCGAAAAATTCCTCTTAAATCCACCTGATACTAGATAGTCTGACCACACCTTATTTATACCCCAACACATGGCAGATTTCAACAGGATGGTGAGCCGTTTAAATGGGACACCAATAGCAAAGCAGACAGTGGTACTTTTAATTACTATGTTAATAACGTTGTTAATAATGTTGTGTCGTTACGCCATTGTGAAGAGGTATAGGCCCAATAAAATACAAGGAAAAAAAAGAAGTATAAAATTAAAGTAACATTACTACTTTGATAAAATACACCCACAAGATCTTCAAGTTTCTCTTCTAAAAAAGCGCAATAACAAAACATATAAATAAAGACACAAAACTGGCTTATATTGGAAAGAGAACTGGACTTTCGGCTCACAAGCTGACTGTTGGGCCGGGCCTAGGCCCTGTGGGCTCATGGATAGTATCTGAGCGTCCCTTTGTCCCTTTGCCTTCTAATTTAAGCCTGTTTTGTGGTTGCAATTACATCCGGCATGTCTGCATAGACTTTGGATTTTACATTTTCAGCTTACGAAAACAAACAAAAAGATCAACCAGCTACCAACGCTTTAGTGATTTTAATGTGAAATCTTTTTTATGAGAGGATGTTTTAAACAATGTAATAACCATCAGCCTTTGTTGTCTGCAGACACAATGGTTGTCATAATCATCTCTGGAAGCCTGGCTTTTCTGGTTTGTGCCATTATCCCTCTTATATTCTACAGACGGTGGCGAAATATAGCAGGTAAGTTTATACAAGAGGAGAATTCTGAAATCTTGCTGCATAAAATACTTAGATGTACTCCTTATGCTATTCATTTTCTTTAGGTCAAAACAAACAGGCAGAAAACATAAATGCGGTAAGTTTTTTTTTGCCTTTTTAATGTGCTTCATAGTTATAAAAAGGTAAATTTTAATGTTTAAATTCTTTACAGAATGACTGCTGTCAGGAAAATGTAAATACAGCTTCCACTCAAATAGCAGTGGGCGTTCAGACTTCAGAAGAGGATCCTCCAAAATCTGAGGCAGAGGACAACCTCCAGTACGCTGAGGTCTATGAGGGGCTGGATCCCAAAACCCTCGAATGAGCAGGAATTATTCAGTTTCTTTGCTGTTTTTTATTGTGAAACTAACACACTCTATTCTATGTGAAATCATAACATCTCTTTGAATATCTCTCCGTACTATCTGTTGCTAAAGTTGTAGCGTTTCCAGAGTGATAGCTGAGCTTAAACAAATTCTAAGAACAACACAAAGAAGCATGCAGCTGCATGGGCCTCATCCAAACATGCATATATTAACAGCGTGCAAAGTCGAACTATTAACTGGATGCACACACAGAAATGCTTTTGTAAAATTACCAAAATAAATACACAGCTAAGCTTGTTTGACCTTCAGGAATATGCAGAACATATTGATAATCAGGGCATGCAAAATTGAGAAGCATGTGCTAAAAATTGAAATTACTTAGAACAAGCAACGTGATTCGGAAACCATGAAAGAGATGGTGGGTGTAATGTCTGCTTCTACAGTTTTTTTAGTCCTTTGACCGTCAGGTAAAACTTACACGCAAAAATGTCTGTTGTCATCAGGAGAAGGAGACATAAGTGCAACCACAGACAATGGAAAGAAAATGTGACATATGTATATTAATTTATTTGGAGTATTATTATTATGAGACTAGTAATGAACTGATACTGTTCCTACAGATACTTTATATACTCAAAATGCACTGATGTCCCCTGGCTGTATACTTCCTAAAATGTGCAGACATTAAACAACATTCCCTATGAACGCCTCACAATCAGAAACAGTCTTTAACAATTATCTAATAAAGGCAGATATGCTGTCTGGAAAAGGTTCCCTTCAAACCGGACACAACCGGAGCAGTTTGCTCATGAGGAGTTGAGCAAAATACCTGCTGAGAGGAGCAGAAATCTCATTGACACCTACAGGAATTGTTTGATTGCCTCAAAAGGTTGTGCAACAAAATATTAAGTTAAGGGTACCATCATTTTTACACAGGCCTGCTTCGGGAGTTTATTTTCTAAAATGTTTCCTTGAAAAGGAACGTCTGAAGTTTATTATTTTTTTTTTTTTATTTTAACGGGATTTTTTATTTCTTATTACTTTTGTCAGATTCAAGTAATTTCTGTGACCATTGTCCACGTGTGTAGTAGTTGTCCTGTTATTCAGTTCTGAGGCATCAGATGAATTGCCTTTATTTGCATACTTTAAATCACAGTTAGATCAAGCATAAAAAGGGCTTAAAACAAATCGGCCTTTTACTAATGAATAGGAAGTTGTTTTTTTCCCAATGAGTGGAAATTTGTGTTGATCAGAGGTGAAAAAGGTTATCATATTTTATTACACATTTTTTTAACTTTAAAGCCACTTAGGGTTAAGGCACTTTTACTGCCTTCTGGGATTTTGTTCTGGATTAGTGGAGCATAAAAGCAAATGCTAACTTTCTATGTTTGGTTTTGGTTCTGCGGTTGCAGAGTAGATCTTTGGCTGGTTGATGTGTTAACAACAAGTCTGTAATCTTTTTTGGTGATAACTTTAATATCTAATCTCTGAGATACAGGTAACCAGTGATGTGCCTTTCTTTCTAATTTTTGTTGAGGATGCAGGCAGCAGCATTCAGCTGCAGCAGATCTGTGAAGACATTGTTGCAATAGTCAATTCTGTTAAAAACGAACACATGAATAGGTTTTTAAAGTCCTGTCAAGACGTGAGTCCTCTAATCCTGGAGATGTTCTTTAGGTGATTGAAGATCAACTTTGTTGCTGTCTTTATGTGCCCCTGAAGGTTCAGTATTGAGTTAATCACGGCATCAAGATAGTGAGCCTGATAAGTGGTTTCTACTCTCTCAATGAATTAATTGAAGCTGGCTTGTAACTTGTTTTTTTTCTCCTTGGGTCCAAAAATGATTACCTCAAATGATCTGATGGCTTCCAGGACAAAAGGTGCAGTAATGGTCACTTCAAGTTTTCCTACAGATGATAGGTCCTAATTTTATTTATCAATTAAACAGAAAGGTCTCTTCTATTCTCCACCATATGGATCTTTCCCACATAGAGGTTCCCATTTGCAAAAATATGGCTGCCTTTGTTATTCACAAAATAAAACCACTCACCGACTTCTTATGATGAAAACCAGAAGCAGAACCACAATTCTGATTCAAATAGAGTTGTCATGGCCACTTTCATCACTTTCAACCTCTACATCTGCACACAGTGTTGATACAGTACATCCCTGGAAACACACCCACTTTTTGCACATGAAACTCTCTGTTTGCACAAGCAATTAGCGTTAAGTAGATCATGTTCAGTACATACATATTGCCTGACATGGCAGACCACCATTAAACACATGATTAAAGAAAGACAATAAAAAGGACCAGCAGAGGGCACCACATGTGTGATGTTATTAGGCACTGAACGTGATCAAGACAAAAAGGCAGTTTATCCCAGAAGAACATAAAAAAAACAGTTACAAGGGAGTAAAATCCAATACAGTGGAAAGGGAGTTGAGAAGGAAAGATGGTATAGAAACTAAAGAGAGAGAGAAATAGATAGAGACAGGAAACAGCTCATGAAGAGAAGGAAAATAAAACAAAACAGCAAAAATAGACAACAAAGAGGATATACAGCAACTCCTTGAAGTCTTCTTCCTGTGTTAGATGAGAGGGAAAGAAAACAGAGAACATAACAACAGCAAAAGAGGACAACAGACAACCAGAGTAAACGTCAATAAAAAGCTCCAAGAACAGCGGTATCCCTTACATATCCATATGTATGGAAGGCAAACTCTATGGTAAATACACAATATTAATCAGGGTGGTATATACCCGTAGCTGCAGCTTAGTATTTACTAATACTGAATATCAGTGAGCACCTGGAAGCAAAAGCTCTTGGTATATATGAGTGGGCATGCTTGTTCATAAAGGATTAACAAAGCTTCTTCAGAAATAAAATATGCTCAAAACAGGTGTGGGTGGTTCCAGACTCTCACTACAGGTCAGAGGAATCCATAAAGATGCAATCCTTGCCCTATATATCCAGGGGCATCCCAGATCACTTGGAAACAAGAGGGGCAAACATAGGGATGGCTGAACCCACTAAAGAAGGGCAAAAGAGAGCACCCTGAGCCCCAAGGTGCCAAACCCGAAAGTGGCTCAGTCCCTGTGGGGCCTCACTCCAGAGGCCATAGTGCCAAGGTCCCATAGGGCAGTGGCAGCAAGCCCATGGTCTCCGCTGCAAGCTGGATCCGGATGGGAGCCCAGGAGTCTGAGGCCGGGGCACACCACTACCCTAGTGGAGACAGGGCCAGGAGGCCTAGGCCTGGCCCGGCAGCCACCTGGAATGAGAGAGTGCGGACAAAAGTATCTTACAAAGTCCTCTTTGAAACAGTAATTGGTGTCTAAACCTAATACCTGAAGCCGTAGTAGTTGTTAGGTTTTATTATTTATACATCATGTGCACTGTTAATTTGTTAGTCAGATTAGACAGAGCAGAAGGCCTTCCTTCACATTGTGGATGTCGTGGTGTGTACGGAGGTCATCTAATCAAGACAGCCTTCGTGTCTCTAGGAGTACACAGAATATGGGCACATCTTGGAGCCGGTCTGATAGGAGAGCTGCTGTATCTGTAACCCTGAGACAGAGAGGCAACCTGCATGGAGTTCAAGACATTTATGGCGTGTCAGTTTCTGATACGGACAGCTAAGCATCCACATGATGCAACACAGACTCAGAAGGTATAAGAAGCAGGTGATGACGTTGTTCGGGGCTCAAACTTTGCCGGACGCTTGCGGACGTGATTTTTGAGACCACAGCTGTGCATAGCTCGAAGCATTTTTCTCTGTCCTGTAATGACCTGATCTGTAATAAACTCTGTTACTTTTTTACTCCTGTTTTTATAGTCCTTTTTATATGGTTTTGACGAGTTTGAGTTAAGAGTAGTAACTAACTTGCTCCCAGGAAAAGAACCGTGTGAGGAGGCCCCGGGGCGCTACAGCCTTTACTTCCAAGGGGACAAATCCTTCTCACTTTAACATAGTAGAATACACTTTTTGATTTGTTGCCCTTTTCTGGCGGATTTTCCAATTGAGTGATAATTTTTCCATCATGCTTAATCATGCAAAGAAGGAATATTCTTCTGATTCTTCCTCTCAGGCGAAAACATAAAAGCATGGCGAGGCTGCGAGTGAAATGGAGTTGTTTCTGTAAAATTGACAGACCGTAGTAGCCACGTTTGCTCAGCCATGTCTTTGTCCAAATACGTCGTCGCATTTGTACTTTTTAGGGCTTTCAGCACACAAAATTGCACAAATTGCCAAGGCAGCGTTTCTCTCTAGTGAGCTTCATATTCCTCTTCTGCTCGTTTGGCTTCTGAATAGACAAGTCCGACTAGCGCCATCTCACTGCAGAGCTGAGTCCGATGTGGTTTTTAGACCTACAGAGTGAGCAGGTCGTCCCAAACGCACAGAGTGAGAACATACATTGTGAGCTGTGAACTTTTAAACCATGCGGTTTTGATGCACAGTTTAGGCCTTTCTTGATTTTATTTGAGCCTTGTTTCTATGAAGTTCCATGATTCTGTCTAATTGATCTATTCCTCATTTCTTGTTTCATTTTACAGAAATCCAACACATACTTTTAGTTTCTGTCAGAACAGGCCTCATGTTCTTGAATACCAATAACAGTATGCAGTTCCGTATTTTTTTTTCAGAATGTTGCCACTTAGCCCACGCTGTCCTTATTTTTAACCGGAAACCCCAAATGAAAATGACCTGGGGATTTCTATATGACTGATAAATGCAGCTAGTTATCAACCAATCAAAAAGCTGGATTTTGTGTCTGGGTAAAGCTAATATTTAATGTGTCTGCTGTTAGTCTGCTATTTAGATAAATAACAAAATAAAGTTACTCTTTGTGCAAAGTTTTAAATCTTCACTTGATTAATTGTTTATGTGTAAGATCTTTTAATGAAAAACCTATTGTGATGCCTAGGTTTTATCAAGAATTAAGGAACTTTATTGTCATTATGTCACCATAATGAAATTTCCTTAAGACTTCTGACTCGGTAGGGCTTTAGACAATAGGTTCATAACAGAAAAGCACCACACAGGACTTCTATTATAATTTTATTCCATTTCAGATGTCTTGTTAAGGTAGGTATTCCGACATAATTTGTTTTCCGTGCATCAAGAAGACAGATTCAGCAGAAAGAGCTGAGACTTTGTCTTTTTACACCTTCGTTGTTTTCCTATCTGCTTCTTTATTGAAAGAAAATCATTTTAATTTGCTAGAGTTGTAAATAAATTGTAACTTTAGCAGTATTTGATTTATTGCATACTAAATGTGCTTCATATGGAACCAACAAACTGAACGATGGAGAATATTTATCTTTTACTTTTTAACAAATCCACATCTAGTAAATTGGAATTGAGGAGCAGTCAATGAAGCATAGAAACAAGCTCTGCATTGGATGAAGCTTGCTTATTCGGATGAATAAAGCATATTATGGAAGGATATTATATAAAGGATATTATGTCAATATGCTCTAAAATGTGTTTAAGTAAGCTAACATCAGCACATATTCACTTCAGGCAAGATGAAGTCCATAATAAACACTGCAGCTTTACTATTCTCCATGGTTCTGCTCCATATGTTACAGACTTTATTCTGTGAATAATGTAGCTTACTTACAGGTTTGGGTAGTAAATTAAGTTACAAATACAGTTATACAGCTACCCTGCCTGCTACGGTAGATAAAAAAAAAAAAAAAAATCCAGATAATATTAAGTCTGTCATGCAGTTAATATCTGGTTAAAAGATTGTGCTGTGTGTGTACACCATCACCATATTGTCTGTGGTTAGCAGCAGGTTCAGGAGGGGATTAATTTGTTTTGTGAGGATTCAGGTTTTCATTCATGAGTTGTTGCTTTTACATGTAAGGACTGAAACCTATAAAGTATAATTCAAAATTTTGCTAAAACATGTGATGACACATTGAAATCTCAAATCCTGTTTGTTACAAAAAGCCCCCTCATTGGAAAAGCATGCTTGTGTACGTGCATTCTGCAGGAACTGTAGGCCTCTCATATTTATTGGGTTGCTAACGCCCACAGCTTCCATCCTCTGCTATCATACAGTTAAAACCACAGGAAGCTGTTACGGAGTTGAGTGCTTGTTTACATGTGATTTCATTTGAACGAGCCAAGCGGCGGTGACGCTTGCCTTTAGGTTTTCTAACAATCTGTACTGATTTTGGGACGACCACCGAACCACAATGACGACCATTTTTGCCTTCTTCTGTCTTTTGAAAGGTATGTAGTAGTGAGTAGTAGTAGTGACACGTGTTAATGACTCATAATTAATTTGATAATAAATAATTTCCAAATGTGTAAATGAAGACCAATGTAATAGCATATTATTTTCACAGTAACGTTGGCACTTGCTGCTGAGGTCAACATTGAGGGAATTGAAGGAGGAGATGTTTCATTCAAATGCTCTCACAAACTGGCAAACAACAACAAAAAGTACTTCTGCAAGGATCCATGTAACAGTAAAGACATACTGGTTACTGTTTCACCTGGTGAGAAGGCAGAGTCTGGAAGGATAAATCTGGTGGATCATGAGGACGGTTCCTTCAAGGTTACCATCAAACATCTTCAGGTGTCCGACTCACACGTGTACTGGTGCGCAGTGATTAGGTCCATGCGCAACACGTTCACATCTGTAAACCTTACAGTACATAAAGGTACATATGTTACTTCTTCAGTTATAGCCAAAAACATTGATGTTATGTCTGTATCTGTTACTGCTTGTTGTTGTTAGTGGAGGATTTGAATGCCTATGTCTACGAGTATTTTCCTTTTAGCAAATAAATCACATATTAAGTAGAAAATAGTCACCTTTATAGTATTTGATAGTATATTTACACAACTGTGTACTATAATATCCACTGGGGTGCCCCTCAGTTTTATTAAATTATTTCCAGATAACTTAGATAAACTTATATTTTAAAAAGTCATCAACTCTTTGTGGCAGAGTTTGGTTGCTCCTTTAAACTCTTTCATGATCAACCAGTCAGCTGTAAATATGTTAAAAAAATCAGTTCTGATGGAAATAATCTTTTTCAATCTATGGGAACAATTCAATCCATTGTTTAAAATTATGATTTATTTCGTCAATCAAATTTATTACTTCAAATATATTATTTTACTATTGATCTCACTGTGGTTTATTATATAATCTTACAAATAGGTGAAATACACATTTCACTACTACAATCAAGAGGAAAGAGGTTCTTAATAAGAAATTATTGTCCAAAAATAATACTTGAAAAGTAGATGAAACAATGTGCTCAGCAGTCTAAACTTTATTTATTTAAAGATATATGTGGGTGTTTGTTTAGTTTTTCCCAGATTCTGAATGGAAAATTTATTTTGTGATTTTGTATCTCTGCTTCTTTTTGTATCTCTGCTTCCGTCTCCTTGAACCCCAGTCGGCTTCGGCAGATGGCCGCTCACACTGAGCCTGGTTCTGCTGGAGGTTTCTTCCTGTTAAAAGGGAGTTTTTTCTCCCCACTGTCGCTACAAGCATGCTTAGTGTGAGGGATTGCCTTTGAGTCAATGAGTCGATGCAATCAACTGGTCTTTAAAGTGTTCTCAAATTAAGCTATGGGGTCACCTGTCCGTCAGAACCCACTTTGGACCACTTTAGATTTGGTTCACCCACAGTAAAAGGAGAACATCTTGACGTATCACCTTCAGTCCTGTCACTTTGAATCAGTCTGAAACAGAATTTCTAAAAAAATAAACAGATCTGGCAGGGCAATATGATGCATGTTTCCCCAATGGAATAAAAAAAAAAACAAACAAAAAAAACAAACAGACGCAAATTATTACAACTGGATTGAACTGGCTGATCAAGCAATCCTGGTTCAGTCTGGCCAGCACAACTTATTTATAGATTCTTTTGTCTGTCTTCTGTCTTTACTCTAAAAAAAACTATGTCGTTCTTTTCAGCAGTGTTAAAGACAACTGTTCCACCAACTGTTTCTTCCCCCTGGTTTCCAGACTCAACCACCTCAACACAGATGACAAACAGTGTGGGGACAACTACAACCAGAAACATCTCAAATGGTAGGAATGCCTTTCCTGTCCTATGTAAGTCCTTTAAGGTCAAAACATACATCACCTTATTCTTCATCTATTCCTACAGAGATAAACAGCACCGGCAGTGTAAATAGCCTTAGCAGCAACCTTGGTGAGTATCTGTTTAGACAGTTATCATACAACATGTGCATGAGCAGAATCAGATAACTTATTCTTTATCTTGCATCTGATCAGGCCCCATGCTGGGTGCTGGGGCCGTGACCGCTGCTACTCTCATAATCTTCATACTGGCTGCATGCATCAGGAAACGCAGAGAAATGTCAAAACCTCAGCTTCAAGTTTGCTCCAACCACAAAGACCCCGGGAGTAAGGTAAGGATGTTTCCTTACAGCATCTTTGTCTTGGGTCAGCCAGAGATTAATTCTATACAGCAGATTAATCTGTATTGACACAACGCTACTTTCTTTTCCTGGTTTCAGAGGTGGAACATTTGAAATGGGTTTTTCCAACAGCAACATTGCTTTCTGTTTCTCTCTGTCTTTGTTCAATATGTGAGAGTTTTCGCGTAGGGGTTCTTTACTGTCACATCTCCTGCCTGTGTCAGGTTGTTAAACCTGGAGGAACAGTTTGACATTTAAGAAAACAAATGTGCTAATTTACCCCGCGTCTAACGCTGTGAACATACATTTCTCTTACACAGGTGTTATACTTGAGGGACAGTTTGACTGTTTAGAGAAACAATCTCTGTTTCAATCAGTCTTGGCCTTGCAGAGCAGTCTATAATTAGCCTAAAGGGAATATATAATTTATTTGTGAAAATCTTTATTCAATTTTGGTCAGGAATAAGGCTATTTGATAGTTAAATAAATACGTCTGAGTACGAAACAAAGAGGTGCAGTAAGCCTTGATAACAAAAGATTATCTCTAAACAAAATCAAAGATAGGAGTGGAATGTAGGGATGAGTCAGCAGTTCTATTGTGAAGGCACTAGTGGCCTTTGGTTGACATTTTGCTCACAGTAATGGGGTTGTGGGGGTAATGTAGTGAGGGTCCATAAGCTGGGATTTGAATCCAGGACAGTTGTGTAAAAACAGAGGACATACATTAGGTGGTGCTCTATCCCCGCACACTGCTGCAACCTCTTACAGTCAGCAGTTGTACGAACTCTTAAGGGAAAGATATTTTTGGCAACTGATGGACAACAACACTTTCCAGCAGAAGGTGAGAGCATGTATATATATAGATATATATAGATGCTCCCACCTTATGGTGGAAAGTATACATACATATATATATGTATACTTGTATATATATATGATCTTGCCATTTTCCTATTTCCATGCAAAACTAATGTACCACCTGCAGAAAATAACATTAACTTCTCTCATTTTGGATTTTTCATTTGATTAGGTAGATTATAACTGTAATACAAAAACAGGTGTGTGGTCCATAGCTTCATCACACCATTGTGTTTTTAATGGCAAAGCCGTCTTTCCTTATAGGCATGATGGAGTTTTCTAATGATATTACCACTTGTGGCCAAAATCCAGAACTGCAGCACGATTCTGCTCGTTCTCATAGTACTTGCTCGTACATTATTGTCTGAGGTGAGCTGGATGCTGGTCGCTTCTTTGTATCCACAAAATCTATATTGAATATTACACTTTGATTTTTGTTGATTGGACCCATTTAACATGGACGTGCCTAACATCAAATTCGCAGAAACAGCGTGTGAACTTCTGACCTGCAGAACAAAAAAAGGCAACAGGCTTATAGATGCATCGGCACTGAACTACTGAGTTATTAAACAATGTTCTAGTTATAAAGGGTCAAATGAAAAGGCTATTCTAAAGATATTTTTCAGTAAAAATGAACACAATGTAAAAATGGAGAAGCTAAAGTAAGAGAGGTTAAAGACAAATGTGGAGTTCAGCTCTACTTCCCTAATGTAAAAAAAGAATTAAAAAATTAAAGCGTTCTAAAAGATTTTCAAAACTTCAACATTGCTCTGACTTATAACAGCTAGACAAAAATTGATGGCACCTGCATGGGAGTTTTACACCTCCACCATCAAAATGTAAGACCAATACGGATCAGTTGGTTTGCATGATTTCCTCCTCAGTGTGTGGGTTCTCACCGGGTACTTAGGCTTTTTTCCAGCAGTCCAAAAGCATGAGTGATTGGTGTCTCTAACTTGTGCACATGGTTGTTGGCCTTGTGGGCCTCTCTTGATGAGACGGCGACCCGTCCACAATGAAGCCCACCTTTAGCCCATGGATTACTGAACATAGACCCCAGCCTCCCTGATGGAAACGTGGTTATAGAAAAGAGACAGATGGATGGGAATCCCCCATGGTGTAGTGGTTTACATTTTTTGACTGCCATGCTGGAGACCCAGGTTTGAAATCCAGGGATCTGGCGTCAAAACTTGGCCAAGTCTGTGACAGAGGAACTGAGAGTACAAAAGGCTCGATGAATGATGGCCTTTCTTTTATTTTTTCTACTACTTTCCTACTTGGACTACCAGTGTGAGGTAACAGCAAAACTCTCAAGGTAGACAGAGAATCAGCAGCCAGCCTGACTTGTAACAGTTGTCTCTGTCTGAATCAGACTCCTCTGCATTGCTTTATTAGCCAGAAATCTTCAACTCCAACATCTTCATTTCCCTCTACTCCTTCCCTTCCCTGAGAACATCTGTGAACCTCTGAATGTGCAGCTGGTTGATGATCGTTTAATCGTACTATAAAAGACAATGGCCTTCAAGACATTGCTTCATAGACTTAGTTTGCACACACTCACATGCATGATGGGATAGTGACATCAGTGAATGAACATAGATATAAACATATATCACCACCCATACCGCTTTAACTCTTCTTGCACACTGCTTTCCTCTTTGTCTCATGTCTGTTTTTGGTCTTTTCTTGAATGGTACTGAAACTCAGTTTCACCCTACTGGAGAGCTACTGGGTGACACATATAGATATTTGGATCCTGCATTGGAGGATTCTGCGAGAAATCCATAGTCCATATGTTGGTTGCTCAGTTGTCACAGAGGCTGCTGCTGAAATAAGCTTTGCTAAGCTCAAACTTACCAGACATCAAATCTTCTGTGGACTTTCATGTATATTAGTCAGCCCTGAAGTGTAGTAGAAGTGTAGAAGAATTCGCTGAAAGAAATGCTAGGAAAGTACAGCTTAAGCAGGAAAGGTTAAATTGTGGCATAGTTTCTCTTCGTTGTGGTTGTAGTAATAGAAATTCCCACTAGAGGTCTGCAAAAGCATTAACAGTTTTGCATATATTATATTTGCATAGATATTTCAAATGTCTTTGTTAATGTTTGTTTATGATTATTTCAAACACTAAATGTAGTTTAAGTATAAAGTTACTGAGTGTTGTTATCAGTTATATATGTAAGACTAATTACCATGGTTATTTTATACCCATTTAATTCAAGGCTTCTTTAGTTTGTAGTAAGGTAAGCTATTGTTATTGATTTCAAATTTATATGTATTTTGGTACGCATCTAACATGGATTATTTTTTTATCTTACAAATTAAAGGCAGTAGTAGAAACAATGCTATTATTTTTCTTTAAATTGCCAATTGCTCATTGAGTACAAGTCTGGCTCTGTTTGATGGAAACAAAAATATGCCCACATCATAGTATAAGCTTTCTATGCATTGTAGAGTGTAACCTACAATGCATACCAAATTATCATCTGGAACATTGCTTTGGGTATGAGCAAAAAATTCACAAATGCAACATAATAAAAAAAAAGTGATATTTGTTCAAAGTTTTAAAACTTACTGTCTGCTAATTTTGTTTTGTTCATTTTAGGTGACTGAGATTAAATGTTGCGGCAAGGGAGGAAAGAGTGATAAACATTCATCGGAGGGAATAGCTGTCACCATTGACCACCTACGGCCGACTTCCACTCAAGGACTTTTTCCTCCGATTTATGAAAACCTTTCTAATTCCACTGGTGCTAGTGGAACAAGACATTTACCTTTAGATCAGCAGAACATTGAAGATATTAACGAAAGGATCTACATCACACCTTTACCTTTTGCAGCATCCGAAACTACAGACAGAAAAGACAGAATTAACCCAACAAGAAGAGAGACAAGGAACCATATAAACACTGTATCTGAGTCTGTCCCCTCTGAACCACCTTCCAGATCGCTATGGTTTGGTTTAGATGTAACTCAAATAAATTTAAGGCCATAATATATTTGTTTTTATCACAGAAATATTAGCAAGACACTTTTTAACAACACTTTGGTTAGTTTACACACTATACTGAAGCTTTAAAAGTAGATACCTACAAAATAAAATATATACTAAGAGTTGTAATGCAATTAAGAAAGCAGGAAAAAAAGTGAGTGATGAAACTTTGCTTCATTAACTGTTTGGAAATTTCATGGTATAATAAAATGGTTATGCAAACAGTTTTAAAGATTTTATGGTAAGAAAAGCAATTTAAGAATCAAATAACACTTAATTGAAGCACTCCCTATACATAATTCACAAAGATTTAATAGTGAAATGTTTCTTGTCATCTTAGTTTAGCAAAAGAGTTGAATTTCTATAAGTTTTATAAGTTGCTTCAGGATTTCTAACAACTTTTGCGACTGTTTATATATAAATGTAATGTATATACCTGAGGTGAAGTGTCAGAATGTGTACATATGTTATGATGATTGTGATTGTTTATTATCATCATTGAGTGAATTATTGTTTTTCACATTAAAAGTGTTCAAAATATTAACTTTCTACATAATTGTAATTTTTTGTACTTCAAGCAAATATATTTGGAATTGTCCCCTGGTTTATAACTCTGACTTAAATATTAACTTTATTGTTCAGCCATATAGCTAACATGCTTTAGTGAAATTATTTCCTCTTTTGATCTTGGGCTTTCCCTTCACTATCAGCAATAAAGCTTGAAATGTACTCATATGAAATGAAAACAAATAATTGTTTTTTTTTTGTTTTCTTTAAACATCAATAGTCTCTGTGACATACACGGCACACCTTAACGTGCAGATCCCACAAATTGCTGCAAAGCTGTGCCTGAGCATGTAAATTAGATTTAGATCTCTAGACTTTTACTAGGTCAATATAAAACCTCTTTTTTCCCTTGAGTCACTCAGAGTGTCAGGATTTGGTGTTGGATTGAGGACCCAAAAGTAGAGGCAAGTAGGCAGAGGTGAATTTAGGTGGGTTTAATGAGGTTCACAGGAACAGGCAGGAATAAAAAAAATCCAACAAAATAACAAACAAACCAGAACCAAGGAGACATCAGGGGAAACCAAACTCTAGGAGCCAGGGAGAGACGAGGTAAGCAGACAGACGTTAGACGAGGAACAGGAACTGAAGAGGGAGGGCTTTTAAAGTGGACAGAGACAGAGAGAGGGCTAACGAGAGGATTGGAAACAGGTGAGGACAGAGCAGAAAACAGAGCTAGGGATAGAGGACACAAGAGGGCAGCAGAGGACAACAAATGGAAAACCTGGAAGACAGGAACTAACAAGAAAACAACAAAATAATAATTAAACACCAAAACAAGGAGCAAAGTGGGAATACTCTAAATAAACATAACAGCTGATCTGCTTTGGATCGTTACCATGCTTTAACAGTTTTTTTAAACAGGCCTATTTGGTTTAGATTTTTTCAATTTATAAAATAATTTCCACTGAAACTCATTTTTATTTGTTTTTTTCATCAATAAAGAATAACAAAATTAGTGATGACTTCATACAGCTTTACAGACTTGCAATACATAGCTTTTTAAGGATAAGAAAAGATGGGTATTCCTTACTGAACAACACAAAGCAGGCATTAAAAAATGAGTATATGGGAATTAATGGAGCCCCACAGACAGTGGTACATAATTGGTGCGTCCAAATGAGCAAATTCAAAACCAACATAATGCAAAAATCAAAAATTATGCAAAAAATCAAGGTCAGGTGTTATTTTAAAGAAATGTATACTTTCCACGTTGGTTAATGTTATTATAGATAGAGCTTAAAAACATTATAACATGATGTGACATCAAGGTAATTTTAAACAAAAGAGAACCACTAATATCTCTCCTTGTGGACAATATGTTAAAGTGCCTTCATTCTACGTTTGGGCCAAGATGAATAAAAAAAAGTTATCTAATTTAAGAAACAGACAATCTAAACACCTAAAACTTTACCAACATACATAGAATATTTTTTTATATTATTATTCTACAAATTTGTCCAGCAGATGGTGCCCCAGGCAGCCACCTGTTTAGCGTTGGGTCCGAGTGGAACTCATTTCCAGTGCTGAAGTTTCACACCTCAGATAGGCCCACATAAGATAATGACCTAATATTATTAATAAAAAAACATGTAATTGTAAGCTTACATGTTAAATAGACAATATCACATTGTCCTGTAAGGCTTTAAATTAAGTGTACTTTTCTAAAATACTACAGTCTGTGTTCTGGTGATCCCCCACCCCCACTGCCGGTCACACATGTTACTAGCCTAGAGCTTGTTTTACTAAAAAAGTTGCCAATCTTTGTACATTTAGCTAGCCTGACGTAGTCCTACTCAATTCTAGTCAGAATATGAGTCTGATACTGCTCCATTGAGCTGTGATTATGGGGCGTGTTTTGAACGAACCAGGAAAAAAAATGCCTCTGCACTCAATTGGATAGACCTACAACCAATAAGAGCAATGGAGTGTGTGACGTATGTTAAGCGATGCATAGTTGTTGTCAACAAAAATCAAAGCGTGCAGTTGCACGCCTAGAATAAGAAGATGAGCCTTGATCGCGTTTCTCTGTTCCTCTTTTAAAATTAATTTGCTGTCGATATCTTCTAGAACAGACCTAATAGCAGAATCTACTCACCTCAACTGTCCGGCGGCAGCCATTGTTGTTGTCACCAAAGCGCCCTTTGGTCACGTAGTTGATTACGTTACTGTTGATCATCTCTCCATCATCGTATAAAGTCCGCCCTGACAATTTGATTGGATCGCCAGAGGGTGGGCGATCATACTCGCGCTACTATGGAGCAGAGCCAGACCGAACTTCCCGACCTCAAACCTTGTGGGCGGGACTAAGTTCGGAATGGCACCCAGGCTAACATTTAGCAGCGTCTGGTTCCAGAAAGTTTCTCTTTCATTTTGGTTTTCTCCACTGTACCCTTGCTCCTTTTAGTATCCAACTTTTAGACACCATTTGCCGACTGAGTGCCCTGACGTGTTATATCAGGGTGCTCATAGGGAAAAAAAGCTGCCAGTGCAGGCAGGTGTGCTAACATTGCAAGTAAGCCATTCATGGCTGAAAACAGCATAAAAAAAACAAAAAACATAAATAAATCAACTGCCCTTGGGGCCCAAAATAAAACCGGCTTACTCTGAATTGTCCAGGTCCTCCCTATTAGCCACTCCGGGCCTGGTGTCAATCTTAAAAGAGGAAATGTCATCTTCCAGCCGGCCCTGGAAGATAGACCCCAGTTGTAGCTTATCAAGTACGAGCATGTTTTAAAAAGTCTCTTCAGTGTTTTCAAAGCAGCAGAGCTTCTCTGCCATGCTATGGCAAATTAATGTTTGCCACGTGGTCCTAGTGTTGTTCCCCTGGGCCGTGCATCTTTAGCTGTCATTTTTTACTACCTTCTAGCTATTTGTGGCAGTTGAAAGTGAGCTATAAAGCATTCTACTGTATCGTGTTAATATCTGCATGTACCAGATATACCAGAAAAAAATGTATTCTTTTGCTGCAAAATCTTGTCTAACAGATTCAAATTACAGTAAATGTCCATATAGAGAGTTTATTGTATGTCTGCTTTGGTCTTCTTGAATCCGAGTCAGCCTCAGCAGATGGCTGCTCAGACTGAGCCTGGATCAGTTTCTTGTTATTAAAAGGGAGTTTTTCCTCTCCACTGTTGTTACGTGCATGCTTGTTGTGAGGGATTGCTCCAAGGTCAACTATACCATTTAATTAAATGTCTAATGTTGTCACTTATTCCTCCAGGAGGAGCAGTTACTGCAAAGTTGATGACTCAGAGCTATCAGCTGGTTTTCCTGAAATAGAAAACTGTTACCCTTTCTGTATGATTATATTTGAATTGAATTGAGTTGAATTGCAAACACATGTCCACTGGTGCTATATATAAATAACCTGAACTGAATTATCCTATAAGCTCAGCAGTAACAGTTTATAAAACCTTTCCCTCAGTTTTTTCCCCCCGAAAGAAAGAAAACAAATATTTTGATACAGCACTAATGACTTTCCCATCTCAAAGCCTACCAGAAACACAAGCCGACTAAGCCATTTTTACCAAAAACCCTCAATTAAATCCTTATGCAGAATCCTCCAAAAAAAGATACTCATAGTTTATAAAGGTATTTCCCAATTTTTTTTTTTTATCAACAAACACAAAGGACCCAAAGGTGGTAGAGAATGACTGAGCCAAGATTCTGTTGACTTCCAGATACAGACGGACCGAATGGTAATGCCAAACCAACCAGACATTGTGGTTTATGGACAAAAAGCAGAGGAAAGCCATTGTGGCAGACATAGAAATACCAAGTGACTGCAACATCAGGAAAAGGGAACACGAGAAACTAGAGAAAACCAGGGGCTCAGAGAAGAGCTGGAGAAAACCTGGAAGGTCAAGGCGTCAGTGGTACCTGTGGTCATTGGGGCCCTCGGGGCAGTGACCCCCAAACTGGAGGAGTGGTTACAGCAGATCCCTGGAAATACATCAGATATCTCAGTCCAGAATAGTGCAGTTCTAGGAAAAGCAAAGATACTGTGCAGAACCCTCAATCTCCCAGGACTCTGGTAGAGGACCTGAAAAAGGGAGACCTCCCACGCGGGTGAGGAAGAGTTCTCTTTAAGAGTTCTCTATAATTTTCTATATTTATATATATATTTGATGGATCTAATGCTGAGATTAAGGAGGTTTAATTAGCTAGGTGTTTAGTTGCTTAAAGAACTGCTGTCATCCAGTACCAATGTTTTTGCAGAATTTCTATTGTTTCTTTTTTTTTTTTTTTTTTTGCTAGTTTATTGTGTTTATTTCAGAAAGTGTGTTAAAGGAATAGTACACCCAAAACATGATTATCCTTCATATTCTACTCACCCCCATGCTGAACAAAACTCTGGAGTACTTTTTTGATATCTCAAATGCATCTGGAGATCGGGGAGGCTTCTTGCTGTCTGCTGACATTCAAATAATGGAGGTCTATGGCGCCCCAGACAGAAAGGTCCACAAAAGTCCACAAAAACGTTTCAATATTCCTCCATACTGCTCGTCCAATGTAATCCAAGTGTCCTGAGTGGGTAGCATCCAGAATTTACTCGAAACGAAGTCATTTAGAATGTTTTTAGAGCATAAACAGTAGTGTATAGGATTTCCTAATAGCGCCCCCATGCGCGCTCACGATTCTACGGAAGCCGGCAGACCAAACCAGCGCATTCAGCTCGGCAAAGAACTCATGCTCTTCCTCATCACTGAAGTCCTCAGACATTTTTCTTTCGTTGTTTCTTTCTTTGCACAGGTAAACAGCACATTTCTTCTTCTACGCTTGCATTATCGGCAGAGCAGACGCTGAATGCGCACTTTCTTCCGGTTTGGTCTGCCGGCTTCCGTAGAATCGTGAGCGGGGGGCGCTATTAGGAAATCCTATACACTACTGTTTATGCTCTAAAAACATTCTAAATGACTTCGTTTCGAGTAAATTCTGGATGCTACCCACTCAGGACACTTGGATTACATTGGACGAGCAGTATGGAGGAATATTGACACGTTTTTGTGGACTTTTGTGGACCTTTCTGTCTCGGGCGCCATGGACCTCCATTATTTGAATGTCAGCAGACAGCAAGAAGCCTCCCAGATCTCCAGATGCATTTGAGATATCAAAAAAGTACTCCAGAGTGTTGTTCAGCATGGGGGTGAGTAGAAAATGAAGGCTAATCATGTTTTGGGTGTACTATTCCTTTAAACAACAGCCATGTAACATTTAAAATTTCATTTGGCACCCTAAATACAAAGAATGAAAATAAATATAGTTAAGTTAACAATCCAATGTCACCACTGAAATCCCCAAATTCAACTAAGTTCAGTTAATTGTATAGCACCAATTCCCAGCACATATCAGCTTACTTCAGCTAGGCCCTACAGACAGACTGATTAAAAGTATTCTTTACAATTAGACCCAATACATTTTCATTAACTCATTTATTTGCAGAATCTGCTCCTCCATGATGACCATGAGGCCTCAGCAGACATTTGCTTGATTTGTGTTGTTTATTCTGCAGCAATCCCTTATATAAAAGCCACACAAGTTTCCATTTGATTGGTAAAGTTTAACATGTAAAGAAAGAGGAAGAACAAAACACACAGGAACAGAGAAGCACCTGACTCAAGCTACTGAAGGTTTTACCTCCTGGTCGGTGTGAATGTGCAGAAGTGACAGAATTGATGGAAACATGGAACTGTTGGCAGAAATGGGGATATCTTGGAGAACATCTTTAGCTGTTCTCCTAACTTTCTTACAAATCCAAGGTGAGAGCTTTCGTTTGTATTTAGGTGTTTTAGCCAAGGAATTCAGAAACTGAATAAATGAATAGTCATAAGATTCCTTTACTTAGAAACTAAGAACGCTGTGATTAGCTAATTTCAGCTATTCATTAAAACGTTTTTTTTTTCAGGTCTAAAGTGTGATCAACCCACATTTGTTTCTGGCACCGAGGGTCAGATGTTCGACTTTAGGTGTGAATATCAAAATGACATGAAGAACCACTCAAAGTACTTCTGCTGTATTACCTCTGATAAGTCCGATCACCTCGTCCGAACTTCAAAACACAACCAGTGGACAAAAGAAGGACGTGTCTCCCTGTATGACAACATGACAGCAGACTTTTTCCTCATCAGGGTGGATAATCTCTATCTGAACGACAGCGGGATGTACTGGTGCGGTGCCGGCGGTGATGACAGCAATGTTCGCATGAGCAAGATATATCTGAATGTCTCCCAAGGTACAGTTCAAAGGACAGAACCAGAACAGAACATTTAAGCTCATATAAGCCTTAGTTCAGATTGACACTACATAGTTCCTTTTTTGTCAGAAATGATAGTTACACAACATGCTATAGCTACATCTCAAATATAAAGCTTTTTTACTTGCAATTTCGATGGCTATGGCTTACTGATGGTGAAACCCTAAAATATTGTATCTCAAATCATCTGAATAGTCTTTAAATGTACTCTGGGTCAGTAGGCAACACAATCTAAGGGAAAAGTATTGACTGAACATGACTTACTAACGCTCATTACTAAAGAGGCTGGATATTTTAGGAGTTTCCAAGCATACTCTTAGATGGTTGAGTGAAAGGAAAAAGTGTGGTAATAAAAAATGCACCAGCAATGGGAATAAATGCAACCTTGGATATTCCCAAACAAAATGCATTCAGACTGAGCTTGGAGTGAGCTTTGTAAGATCCACTACACACTAAGGCTGAATGTAAAATTGTGACTTTTTTTTATACCATAATTGTGATTCATTTGTTTATTTCTTTTTTCCCTTTGCACTAACAACAAGCATGTTGATGTTTTACTCCAGATTTTCACATTTGAAGATCTTGAAAGCTTGCTTTTGTGTAGTCCATTGTCGCAGGACTTTACTGTTACTGTTGCATTGAAAAGTTCCTAATTCTACTCGCATGCATAGATCTGTATGTTAGGTGCAACTTCCTCTTCCCTTATTACTGCCACTTAAAAGGCTGGTGTAACTTAGTCAGTGTCTTACTTGTTAAATGTTGCCATTATAAGTATATTGCAATTGTTGTTTATTGTCTGCACCTAGAACCACTATTCGTGCACGTGGACTTCAAATGTTGCTTTCCTAAACTAGAGACAATGACAGAAGAGGCTCAACTGGGCTAAGAAGCAGGAGTGGAGGACTTTTGCTGTATGGTCCACACTTAAATTTTCAGATTAAAGTAAACTTTGAATTTTATTTGGAAAACTGAGGACCCAGTTTAAGGAAGACGCACAATAAATCTCAGAATTTATGTTGCTTAAGGTTCAGTGTTAATTTCCACAGTCAGTGATGTCATGTCATCTGCTGGTGTTTGTCCATTTAATTTCTGAAGTCAGGATTGAGCACAGCCATCTTTCAGGAACATTTAGAGGCCTTCATGCTTCTCTCTGCTGACAAGCTTTGTGGAGATGATGATGTTATTTTCCAGCAGAACCTTGCATCTGCCCACACTGCCAAAGGTTTCTAAAGGTTGCTAAAGGTGGTCCAATGACTTGAAATACCTGCAAACTCCTCGACCTGAACTCCAGAATTTGGACTGAGTCATTGTTTTGCAAATTTAGTCTTTATCCTTAAGTACTGAATCAAGTCGTAAGCATAATCAGTCAAGTCCCTTGAATCGCAAGTTAAGACAGTCGGACACTTTGTAGTTCAAGTGCTTTTGGGTCTTTTATCTAAACAAAGTTAAATTATATGTTGAATAGTTTACCATATGTGCTTATTTTCAAATCTGTATTTAACTCAACACTACAAACCACCATAACTGATCATTAACAAGAGAAAGCTTAGAAGATCTAGAAAAAGCAAAGTAGCACCTCCCATTCTTTGTGCGACTTTAAATGTTAAAGCTATGAGTTGCTTCTTCTCCACATGTTATTCTGTTCTTGAACACAAAGACATTCTACTTTTATTGATATGGAAAGAGGACAATAGATTAACAGTGTGCACTTCTTCAATGTTTAAGAATTGGATAAAATAGTAAGTCTTTTTAAGTTAACAGATTCAGGGCAGGAGTTACAGGTGTAAAAGTAAAAGTCACAAGTTAATGCGCATGTTTTCAAGTCAATACTAAAGTCATGAAATTAGTGACCTTAACTTAGTTGACACGAGTCCCCACTTCTGCTAAATCCCCATAGAGAAGTATTACCATGAGAAAGATAAGAGACGCCAAACCTAACAGTGCAGAGGACCTAAAGGGGCTATCAAGGTAGCCTGGGCTACCATGCTATGCTGCACACATGCAGTAATTAACACAAAATAAATTAATTACATTTTCAGATGATTTAAATTTCTGTTTTAAATATCCTTTTTTCAATTGATTTCATGTTATGTTCTAAGATTACAAACTGAATTCTGTTTTCATTGTCTTCACTGTCACTTTTTGTGTATATAATTGTTTTAGATGTACATGTTTGAATAAAATCTGCTACTCATCCTATTTTTAGTTATGTTCAAACTAACATGGGAAACGATTACTGTGAATCCAATGTGGTCTATAAATAAAGCTCCACCCATACCATAAACGAGAACAAGGTATACTTAGTTTCCCATCACATCTTCTGCTTTTTGGAAGTTTCAGTATCTTTGACTTAGTTGCTGTAAAGAATAATGCGCACATTTAGAGACTATTTCAACAATTTTTTATTTTTTTTTACTCTTTCCCAACTGCCTATATCTTTGCATATTTTGCTGTGTAGAGGGTTCAGCATCCACACTGTCTCTGTGGAGTATGGGGACAGTGAGGGGTGCACCTGTGTATTAAAAAAACACAATGCTATTTGGAATAATGAGAGGAAGGAAAATGATAGATGACTTTCAAAATTTCATTACAACTTATTAATTCACAACCAATCAACAAAGTAGAAGCTCAGTTTGCTCTTTGTTAAAGTTGTAATTTTGTTTTTTTGCATAAAATTCCATCAACGTTCATTAAAAAAATATAACAGAAAAAGTAGTGGTGTAGCTATGTACTGTAGATAAGAAGGAAATCATGCTATTCTGATAAATACAAATTTAGATTTTTAAAATATTTGATTTGTCAACATGACACATCGCTGTTTAATAAAGCTTCTGAGACTGCTGAAAAACAGCAGTTTTACAATGAAATAACTGATTAAAACCTTTAGAGATTTTCTCTTAAAACCTTTTTTTATTTAAATATAACAACTAAACAGAACAAATATTAAACATGAATCTTAAATCACAATTAGCTATTTTAAGTAGAGTAATGCATTAGCTGCTTGGTATTTATCTAATGCATTGTTGCATTTTTCAGATAATAAAATACCTGCCTCCTCCCTTGAAACCCCAGTTCACAGTGAGTATTGGCTCTCAGACCACCATAACAGTTTATGTTTTCACTATCATATTATCTAGTCTTGGTCTTATGTGAATGTCTGTTTTTTTTTTTCATTATTTTGTCTGCATTTTACAATTTTACTCTCTCTTTACCTTCGCTTGGGTATTTTCTGTTGTTCTGCAAACAGACATGATTTTAGCGTGGTTGAGTCGCCCCCTTTAGGTAAACTGAGCTTTCATTCTTACAGGTCTGCAGCTCCTCTTGATCATGATGTGCATCGGAGCAATGTTTTTTGTGTGTATATTCACAATATGTCTGTTACTGCTGGTGAAGCAAAGAAGGTCTACACATTGCCAGGAAGCAGAGGTCAGTGTTAATTCATGTTTTTTTTAAACTCACCCCTATTTAGGGATCATGTTTGAAAAATTAGGAATCGTTCAATTCAAGCTTAACAAATACGGTTATGTTTACACTTCTATCCTTTAACCCCTAGAACCCTACGGACCCACCGGTGGGTCCAGCTGCTACGTGACCTCATAATTTTAACAAACCCCCAGTATTGATGTAAAAAACACATTTGGCACAGTTTGGTGACATTTTTGGATAAATGTGCCAAAATGGCCTCTCCGCCTAAGAAATTTCTCACTAATACCATTCTAAAATAAATATGATTCATCTGATTGAGTCCAAATTTGGTATATTTTTACACAACATTTAGATTTAAAAGTCTGTACTTCTTTTTTGTGCTATAAATAATATTTTGGTAGTGTTTTGCAATGTTTATTTCAAAGAAAATTTTGGCGAGGTTAAAAAAATGCAAAATATTTTGTATTTGGTCCCTAATATTTCAGGCAGGGTCAAAGCTACAATGGTGCTGACACCAGAAAACCATTCTATGACATCTTACCTTTACAGAGGTACCAAAAGTTTCTTCTTAAATCTAATAGCTGTGAGGCTATAAGTGATTTACTTTTGTGTGTTTTTGTCAGGCAGAAATTTATTTATTCCCCCTTAGGGTGTAAGAGGTTAACGTCTTTATTAATCTGAATCTTTTAAACATGTTACAAAAATATGCCCTTAGAAAAACAGAAGAAAAATAAATTCTAAAATAAAATAACAGTAAACTACAGAATATTCAAATTGATGGGAGAACAAAAAACATCTCCCACCACTTTCCCACCATTAGTTCAATCATTTACTAGTCTTTTAGATATTAACTCATATTTCATCTTCTGCTTGCATTAGATTTAATATATGCATACAAGATTTTTCAGATTTGAAAAAGCAACCCCACTCAAAATCATCTAATGTGAGTTAATGTACAATAATAATGATAACAAATAATGTAAATGACTAATAACAGCAATAAACTGCACAGCAATAATGGCAAATAAACAATTTTTAATATTTATTTTGTGATGTCCCTAAATCATGACTTTAAGGGTCACCTTATGAAATTCCAAATTTTAGATTTAGAGAACTGGACTAAAAACATGTTTAGACCAGATGATTGTAGAACATCGTTGATCTTTGAGTGATGTTTCCTTCCTGACTCCAAAATATAACCCATTCAGGCTTATCTACAATAGCAGGCTTTATTCAGTGTGTGCTGCAGCAACACACTCCCAAACCCTCTTTTACATGAACAAATTTTGGGTTTAGACTATAAAACAATAAAGCAATCCACTCTCATCCTATGAATAAAACCAGACAAGATTAAAAGGATGAAATCATTATCTGATGTGTGGGTGAATATAAGATCCTTAAACTTGAAGCTGAAACTGAAGCATATTTAAACCATATTTATGTTTATTAATAAGTCTATTTGTTATGTTACAGCTTGAGGCAGTTTAGTGTTGGTTCCACTTTTAACATGAAAATGACTAAGGAACATGATATCCAGAACAAATTTTGAAAATCAATTTGATCTATAATCCACAAGGGGATGCTGCTAAACCTTCCTGCCCTGTTTACCATTGTCTTGAACCTGGTGATAATGCATTCAAGTTCTGTTTGTTTCATTTTGTTTTTTATCAAAAGGAACAAAACAAAACACTTTTTTACTTCAGATAATTGAGACAGAAATGCATCATTTTATTACAGTTTTTGTTGATTTGCTGTTTGCTGTCCTAAATGTGTGCAGTTGGTCGGGTTGCCAGAACTGTAGAAATGATTGCTGTCTTTAAGTGATACAACTGAACTAGAGCATGTCTTACTTACTGTTCATATCCTTTTTAGCGACCAGTTCTCTACCCTAATCATTTTTTAGGTAAAGTCTCCTCATAGTTTTGCTCTGTTTAAAACACATATAAATTACAGCAATATTCTTTAAGATCAGATATTTTTGGTTGTTTCATATATTATTGTTTTTATATATCTTATATTGTTGTTTTTATATATCCGAATTTAAATATTTATAGTTATAGAGCTTTTTGAATTGATTACAGAGCTTTGTGATTTGATTAAATCCAGCTGCAGGATGCACCGGCTCTGTCAGAGTATTATTGAACTGCAGAGATGGGAAGTAACGAAGTACAAATACTTCATTACTGTACTCAAGTAGATTTTTCTGATATTTTTACTTTACTTTACTACTTATTTTTATGGCGACTTTTTACTTCTACTCCTTACATTTTTACACAAATATCTGTACTTTCTACTCCTTACATTTAAAAAAATTGGCTCGTTACTTTAGTTTTGAATCATTTCAATGGAGTTACCGTTATAATTTTTCACGTCATCAATACCAAATTCAATCTAATTGGATGGGAATCTACGTTGCATTTGACGCACCACTACAAGATGAATCGACAGATTCGGCGGTATTCATTGGCGGCAAATCATTGCAGCTTGGTGGCGGTGGCATTAGCATAGTAGTATGGATGACGAGATGATTGAAAATGAACACAACGAAGATCTAGTCTTATTTGCAGACATCCATTTAAAATGTAGGCAACGGCATGAAAAAAGTGGTTTCTACTTTTACTTTTATACTTTAAGTAAATTTACAAGCCTGTACTTTGTTACTTTTACTTGAGTAAAGAAGTTTAATCAGTACTTCCACTTTTACCAGAGTATTTTTTAACACAAGTATCTGTACTTTTACTCAAGTACGGAAAGTGAGTACTTTTGCCATCTCTGTTGAACTGCTAATAACACATGGATCTTAAAATGTTAAAGACTGATCTATCTCCATAAATTGTTCATTGACACCCATAATTTGTGGTCCGTACAGAGAGCTTCTGACTATGAGACAATGACTCCTGCTGTAAGAGCTGCACCAGTGCCCCGCTGCAGATGTTCCCATCCAGAGTGCATCGATCTCGCCACTTTACCGCAGCCACCTTCTGACGTCTGCCCCTGCTTCACAGAGGAGCATCGCAAGTCCGCCATCTCTTGCAATGTTGGCGAATATGTTGATGTAGACGTACCTGGACACTTATGCCCATACCAGCATTTGGAGCAGAGTCAGCTGGAAGAGCATGTTTATCACAGTCTTCATGGCAGCAGCAGCCCCAAAACAAGGAGCTGCAAGAAAACTGATCTTCCTCAGATATCACTCATTCCAGGAACAGTTTGATCCAACGTGAGCTCGATCTGGTATTAATTTATACCAAGTTGTAAATTTGTTTTTACTCTTAGTAGTTTAATGGTTTAAAGTTCCTTCATTAAGGCAAATGAGTTTTTTTTCTCTGCCCCATTTATCTGGGTACTGCTGGTCATCTGGTTTAAAAAAAGAGACTATAATTTAAACTATTTTGATTTGTACAAAAACCGTGGTACTATCCAAGCTATTGCTGCACATTGCTAGTCAGCTGGCTGATATATTACCAAAAACCAAAAATGTTTCAAAGATATTTTCCAAATTGAGTTAAAAATTCTTAAGCAAGCCACTGTTTTTATTTGTGTTTTTGTATGGATGGCAGAAGCTCAAATAATTTGAATGAGTGTGTATTTCATATTTTTGTCAAAAAAAGAAGGTACAGAACTATAAATCCAACTTCCTGAAGCAGCAGTTAGTGCCGTGTTTCTGTTAATAAAAGCAGTTGGATCATGACATATTCTTGTTTAAATGTAAATGTTGTAAAAATGTTTTTTCAGGCATAGCCAGAATCTTATACCAGCCAGAGTGTTAATGCAGCAAAGGGGTGATTATCAACTGTTACTATTTTCTTCTTTCAAAAAATAAAAAAGGAAAAATTCATAGCTGTCATCACCATTGTGTAGTCTTTGTCATCCAGGGCATGATAATCTGAGGTGGGAACCTGGCCTTCTCTTGTTTCTTAAGGAGTTTGGACCTCTCTTCCAAAACGATTATTATTAAGTTATGAACATGGATAAAACTTATTTATATCTATCTAAATAACATTGATTGATAATGAATTTCACATGCTGTTGTGTAAATGGAATAGACACCAGGTGAAAATGATTGGCATTTAGAAAGCTACTCAATAAAGGAGTGGTTCTGCAGGTGGGGACCACAGACAATACTGACCCTTACTATAACTTGCATAATCAAAGGTCTATAAGCCTGTAGTGTCTTTTAATTTTTAATTTTGTGTGTGACTTCAAATTCAGGCCTGCAGTGGTTAATAAATTGGATTTCCATGAACAATTCTTATGTGATTTTATTAGCACATTCAACTTTGTACAGATCAAAGTTATATTGTACCGCATCTTGCAGCGGCATGCTATTCCATCCGGTGTTTAGTTGGATCTTCATTTATTTTTCAACACAACAATGACCCCAAACACACCTCCAGGCTGTGTAAGGGCTATTAGACCAAGAAGGAGAGTGATAGGGTGCTGCAGATGACCTGACCTCCACAATCACTGAACCTGAACCTGTCCTCGACAATCACCGGACCTATATATATATATATATATATATATATATATATATATATCTATATATGTATCTCTATATATATATAGAGATACATATACAGATATATAGGTATATTAGTTTCTCTCTGTCCTGCTCTGTGCTGCTAGGGGCCCAGTAGACAACAGCATAGAGAAGGGCTGATGCCACCACAGTATGAAGGACCAACTCTGCCATATTTAAAAATAAATACAGAAATAAATAAATGCTCAATAAATGTATAAGCATACAATTAATTGCCAACAAAAAAGTGAGACATAAATGTATATAACTCTTAATTAGCTTCTTTATTTATTTGCCTTTGTAATATTTACCTTATTTATTTTTCTGTCCTTTATAATCTTCAACTTTATTTTTTAATTACTTATATTTTTAAGTATTTATTTATGTGCATGTTATAATATTTTTGTCTGTTTTATTCTTCCTTTGTATTTTTTTACCTTAGTTATTTCTTCGCCGCTGTTTATTTCTCTCTGCCCTTTTTACATTTCTCTATGCCCTTTTTCCATTTCTGCATTTCTGTCTCATTATGCAAATGAGGAGGGGGTGTGTCCTAGAGAGTCAGCTTCTGCTCATTGGTTGGCTTGGCGGTCCATCTTCTTAACTCACAGAGCTCAGAGTACTAAGTTAAATGTTCTCTTTTCTGTTGCTGTTGTTCAATAAAAGTACGTTTTAAGATCATTTGAGGCGAGAACCTTATACTTTTAAGCATCACCATATGGCCCATTCACAGATTTAATGCGTAATTTAAAAGAAAATGTGACGAACTTGAGAGGACCGTGGCAACCAGCAAAGCTCTGAAGCTGACGGCAGCCAGGTCTAACCACAGCCCATCTGCAGCGGCCCTCTCTCGGCATAACCGTGTGTGAAGCGTGTTGGTTAGCATTTTACTACATCGGTCGAATCTACAGGAGGAGAGTCTGATGTCGAGTCTGAAGTCATTAGAACTTGAGTAGGGACTTTGCCAAACTTTGCCAAATACAACAAAAAATCGCCATCATAGCCTGGCTATAGACCTGGCTGCCGTCAGCTTCGGAGCTCCGCTGGTTGCCACGGTCCTCTCAAGTTCGTCACATTTTCTTTTAAATTACGCATTAAATCTGTGAATGGGCCATATGGTGATGCTTAAAAGTATAAGGTTCTCGCCTCAAATGATCTTAAAACGTACTTTTATTGAACAACAGCAACAGAAAAGAGAACATTTAACTTAGTACTCTGAGCTCTGTGAGTTAAGAAGATGGACCGCCAAGCCAACCAATGAGCAGAAGTTGACTCTCTAGGACACACCCCCTCCTCATTTGCATAATGAGGCATAAATGCATAGAGAAATGTAAAAACGGCATAGAGAAATGTGAAAAGGGCAGAGAGAAATAAACAGCGGCGAAGAAATAACTAAGGTAAAAAAATACAAAGGAAGAATAAAACAGACAAAAATATTATAACATGCACATAAATAAATACTGAAAAAATATAAGTAATTAAAAAATAAAGTTGAAGATTATAAAGGACAGAAAAATAAATAAGGTAAATATTACAAAGGCATATAAATAAAGAAGCTAATTAAGAGTTATATACATTTATGTCTCACTTTTTTGTTCGCAATTAATTGTATGCTTATACATTTAATGAGCATTTATTTATTTCTGTATTTATTTTTAAATATGGCAGAGTTGGTCCTTCATACCACAGAGTCATAGAAGGTTTTAAGCAGGGGCCTGCTCACTGCAAAGGATCTCAGCTTCCTCAGGAGGTGGAGGGGCTTTGGCCCTTCTTATACAGGGCTTTGGTTTTATGAGTCCTGTCCAGTTTGTTATTGACATGAACAACCAGGTATTTGAAACTCCCCACAGTTTCTATGCTACTGGGTGTTCACGGGGGAGTGAGGTGGGGGTCTTCTCCTGAAGTTGATCACCATCTCTTTAGTCTTACTGGTGTTAAGAAAAAAACAGTTCACAAAGTTCATGATGACCGATCGATATTCCAGCTTATTCCCCTCAGAAACACAGCCTACGAGAACAAGAACTTCAGGAGAGGACAGCTGTCCGTGTTGTAGGTGAAGTCTGAGGTGTAAAGGGTGATGAAGAAGGGAGACAGAACAGTGCCCTGCTTGCCTTGAACCTGGAGATGCAGCAGTAAAGTTCTGTTTGTCTCATTTTGTCTTTTGTCAAAAAAATCCACTAAATGTGAGCAGTGAGGCTGCCGCAACCATGGAAATGAGTACTGTCTTTAACTGATACAACTGAGCTAGAACACGTTTTACTTACTATTCATATCCTCTTTAGTGACCAGTTCTCTATCCTTCTCAGTTTTGTGGTAAAGTCTTCTCATAGTTTCTCCTCAGAGTTTTCCTCAGAGTTTTCCTCACTTCAGCTATGTCAAGGTTTAGTGCCTCCTCCCCCTCATGTGGAACAGCTCTCCCTGCTGGAGTGCTGTTTAGTACCTCAAACCTTCCATGAAGTTGTTTAGTTAATTTAGGAAGTCAGTGTTTGCAATGTGTCTACCAGGGACGAGGGTGTGTTGTAGTCTGTGATCGCCCGTATGCCTTGTCATATCCTACAGGTGTTGCTGGCATCGAGGAAAAGATCCTGGATTTTCTGGCTGTGGTTCTGCTTCGCTGCTCTGATGGCTTAAGTTTAAGTTTAACTTTAAGTTTCCACGAAACTGAGTTCCGTGATTTTAGTGATTTCAGAACCTCCCCATTTATCCAAAGTCGTTGGCTTACTCAAATGGGGATGTTCTTTGTGATGGTGCATTTGTTCAGCAAGTGGAGGAAAGATGTGAACAAGGTATTAAAATAAAGTTGATGACTGCAGCAGCAACAGTGTCTCAAACTGAAACTGCTGTATATTCCTACCATCAGTACAGTTATTCAATGCATTTGTTGATGTAAATTAATTGCACAACACAGATCTACAACATAGTATCTATTGCTTTATTTTTCTTTTAAGACTAAAGTCTTTCCCCTGGTTTGAAAACCTTTTCATGATAGTTGACATAGTAGAACTTTTATGTCTGTTCTAAATAAAATAGGAACTAGTTCAGTTTATAATTTACTTCCTTCTATCATGTAAATATGTTAAATTTAGCCAAAGGCTGCATTTTATCCATCAAAGTTAACCTATTTCACATGATACCTGGAAAAAAATGTATGCTAACATGCTGTGCAGGCTTATAAAACTCTTACTTTTTAATAAAAAAAAAGAAAGGAGGATCTATTCAAAGGGTTTCAGCGAAACTGATGAAAAGAAGGAAGTGCTGCAACAAAAAAAGGAAAAAAAAAAAAGGAACCATGCAATAACAAAAGCAGCTCTGTAGATCGATGTCTTAAGTCTTGATTTTTGGGTTTAAAGAAAGTTGGCACTAATGTTCAGATGATCTGAAAGTTATGAGGAGAAATTTGGTCCTTGCTGTTGTCCTCATTTTTCAAGGTAAATTCCCTAAGATTACATGTTTTATCCCTCTTTTGTTGCTTCCTCTTTGGTCGTGTTCAGTGCTTTAGTGGTTGAATGGTTCTCTGCAGTGTTACAGAAAGTTCAGTCAGTCACACTTTATGGCTTATATGTCTCTATTTGAGTGTTAAACAGCAGCTTAAATAGCTTTTAAACATATGCATGCATGTATTTCAGTATTTGCTAATGTAGTCCAATTTTGTCTCTTTTTCTATAAATTCATTTACTGTTTAGGATCGGGTGTTTTAAAGCTGTTACTGTAAATTTAAAAAAACATGATTGACTTGATTTGTTAGTTTTTTGCAACTAAAAATGATTTGATCTTATTTTTCTTTGTCAACTTAAATATCAACAATGATTTACAGCAGGCTCTATGTTCTTGCTGACCTTGTACAAATATTTATAACTCTGAGATAAATTAATCTTTTTCTTTGTTGATGCTGTTTACCTCTCTGTCTTTGTCGCTGTTCCAGTTTGCAAGATAAACCTGAGACCTTGTCACTTACCCTTGCTTTGACATACCTCTTTTTGGATCCTTTTAATGACTTGTACGCATAAATCCTCACAATCTTTATTTCAGTTATTTGTTAGGATGTCTCGAAAAGTGTCAATATTAATCAAACGAAACAAAGAAATCCCAATTAGTTTGAGCAGTTTCCCTCTCATTGAATAACTGTACTGATGATAGGAATATACAGCAGTTTTCAGTTTGAGACATTGTTGCTGCTTCAGTCACCAACTTTATTTTAAGACCTTGTTCACATCTTTCCTCCACTTGCTAGTAAGTGTTTATGATTGTGTATGATCAGCAAAACTTTGTTAATGTCATGATGGGTCTCAGAGTTAAGCCCAAAATGCAGAACACACACGGAAAACTGGGTAAAAGTTCAACAGAGTTTATTGTGGTACACAAGCACACGATAAGAATAAGTTCTGGAACAGGTTCAGGGCTGGTTCACTAAAGTCTTGACTGGGACTGCAGACTGTTGGTTAGCAGAGTTCATGGGAAGCTAAGCGTCTAGCTTCAGGCTTAGCATGGCAGACCTTGATCTGAGCTTCCAGCTCACTGCAGAGAACAACAGGGAATATCCACATAGGATTCTTCAGGGTGATTCCACATAGGAACCTTCAGGTTGGCTCACCAGGGCAGATTAGCAGGTTAAGCTCTCCTAGAGCTTCAGGCTTGAGACTGGTTTCCTGTGATGCAGCTCTCCCAGAGCTTCAGACCAGAGACAGGGTTCCAGTGAGGCAGCTCTTCCTGAGCTTCAGACCAGAGACAGGTTTCCTGTGAGGCACAGACAAAGGAGAGATTAGAATCTGATCTCACTCTAGAGACTACCAAGATTCAATCGGTAACAGAGGCTCAGGAAGCTAACCAACTAAGATCAACACTGCGGCGTGGAAGCAAGGTCTGGCAGGAGCTTATAAAGGGGAGGTGTCCTGATGAGTAGATGGAAATCAGGTGTGCTGGAAGGTTCCAGCTCCAGAAGACCCACGGCGCACTCTGCTGGAGACAGAGGGTAATCTCCAGATCCCAACAGTAACTCCAGCCCTAAGGAGAAAATACAAAGAGCAGAAGCGGATCCTCTGCGCCCTCTGGTGGGCAAGCCTGAGGATCCCAACAGTTAATTCATACATTCATGTATTCATTCATGTCAAAAGATACATTTTCATGCTGCTGTTTTCTTTCTTTAAGTTGTTTTTCAGACTGAAGCCATTACAGGAATTGAAGGGAATCCAGTCAAGATAACATGCTCCCATTCTTATGCCGACACCAACGTCAAATATTTCTGTAGGGACCCCTGCGATAATGCGGACGTCCTGATAAAAAGCAACGGACACCAAACTGGGAAGTATCGTATAGAAGATAAGGGGAACACATTCGATGTGACAATATCAAACCTGGAAAAGAAGGATGCAGGAATTTACTGGTGTGGTATTGAGAGAGTTGGGGCTGACACATATAATAAAGTGATTCTCACTGTAGAGAAAAGTAAGTGGACTTGTCACTGAAAAAAAATATTAATGGTGTTATAATCATCACTTCCTTTAAGAGCATCTGCTCTGTTTCTTTTTCCTTTAAAACTTTGCTGAGGAAGTTTCTCTGTAAGGGTTTGTTCGTTAAATAAAAATCTGAAGCCAGGGCTGTCTTACGTATAAGAAGACGACAGCACAGACCAAACATAATAATTCATTACAGCGTCGCCACATAGTAGGGCCTCAGGGAGAGAGGGCTATACCCACCCTGACCCCACCTGCTAGAAAGTGTAAATGCATATTTTAATGAATTTCAAGCAAAACTATCATTACCTGCACATAGTTGATTGTGAGTCAGCCCCCCATGGCTCCATACTTTACTCTATTCTTTATTTATAATGAATGCACATTAAAACTCCAGAAACTGCTGTTGCTTTTTTAGTGTGGCCCTAGCATATACTACAAAAAAGTAAATCTAAATAATTGCATTTGTTCTCGAACTGAAGAGGTAATCGAGACACTGTGCCAATGGAACAAGACAATTTACATTCAAAATAAGAAAAAATAATTTCATTGTCTTATTTCAAGTGCAAATTATGCAATTATCTTATTTTAAGAGTAAAAAGTCTTATTCTATTGGCAAATCGTCTTATTTACCTACTCAAATTAAGGATGAATAGAATAGGATATTATAGAATAGAAAATCCCTTTATTGTCTCCTAATGGGGAAATTCTGGTGTTACAGCAGCAAAGGATTATAGAAAAAAAAAATTACGGTATAGAAAAAAAACATGGTCACATAAATGTGGACCCTACAAGCGTGTATAAAAATAACATAATAGTGAAGAGTTAAAACTATAAACAAATAAAATACTGCACTGTAAAATACTGTGCATCTGGTGAGTAAATAACCAATGTACAGCAATGGACATTATACATTGGTAATGGATATTTGAAAATAGCAGCAACATCAGGGATGTGCAAAATGACAGCAGCATGTTGGTTAAGATAGAAACTGTGCAAAAATCAGCATGAATTGATCATCTTATTGAGGCTGTTATTGTTAAATTAAACACATTATTAATTATTGTTAAGACATTTGTATCTATTTCAAGATTTTTTTGCAGTGTAGCATCAGGATTTTGACATATCTTAAGCTTCTGTCTGTCAGCAAACATTCAGGACTCAAGAAACAGGATAAACTGACAGTTTCTTTTGATGTCTTTTCCAGAGACTTTAGAGAACAACCCAGGGGTGTCACCATCTAGTAAGCATTTCCAATTTAGTGCAGATTTCCACAATATCTGTGGAACAAAACGTACCTTTTCAGTTTATCATCTTGGATTTGTTTTTTGATTTTATTTATTTTTCTTTAGAGACAATCATGTATGTGGGAATATGTCTTGCTGTAGCTGTGGTGGTTCTGGCGACTGTCCTTCTGTTTTTCTACAGATACAGAAAAAGGAATGGTAAGTCAAACACACCAGTACAGCTGACTTACCATTCGATTATTAATTTATCTTATTTTATTTTTTTTTTGTTTGTTTGTTTTTAGATTTTTTCCATTCTATTTTCTGAAAATTTCAGGCCCTTTGAGCTTGTTTTGCAGAAGTACTCATGTCTTATTAAATGACAAACTATGATCTATACTACTGACATTTATATCAGTGGGGAGAATAAGTATTAACATGGATTTTGCCATTTTCCCACTTGCAAAGTATGTAAAAAATCTTTAAATCTTGTCACAGATTCTCTTCAACTGTGAATCTGAAACAAAAAATCTGAAAAAATAGCATTTTGCATGACACAAGTTTGGATGCTACCTGTGTAAAAGACAACTCTCCACACACTTAATCAAACAAACTCCAACTTCTCCACATTGGCAAAGACCAGAGAGCAGCGTAAGGGTTAAAATTGTAGACCTGCACCAGGCTGGGATGGGCTACAGGAAAACAGATAAGCAGCTTGGTGAAAAAGAAACAACTGTTAGCACAATTATGAGAAAAATAAAGAGGTGAAGATGATGGTCAGTCTGCCTTAGTCTAGGGCTTCATGTAAGATGTAAGATCTTACATGAGCTGGGCTTTAAGTAAGACCAGCTCCGTGACTCTGTTAATAAATTGCTCTCCCACAGCAAGATTATGGCAAAGACAGCAGCAATGGAAAATGTATTTCTTTCTTTTTATTTTCATTTACATGTAAAGATGATTGCATGAAGAAAGAATAAAGTTTTAGGTAAATATCAGTAATTGTTTTAAAAAAAAAGAAGCTAATGTTGTATTTTTGATATTTATTTTCTTTTTATACCAGCCTGCATTTAAAATCTTCTAGCTGACGAATGCATCCCGCTCCAACATTTTGTCGGCTCCAACATTGCTTTTCTCGTACACAAAGGGCCAACATAATTACAAAGTAGCAGACGCTACATTACTGCAGTTAATTTGATGTCTGCACTGTGGCTGTATTTTTCTTAAGTCAAAAATCAAAACCTTCCAAGCTTTCAGTTTGTTATTCTTTTTTGTATTTCTAGTTGTAAAATATTCTTGCGTTTAATTTCCAAGTTAAAGTTACCCATTATATATGGGTCAGTTATTCTCATACCTATGCTTGTTGACTGCTGTTCTCCATCTGAGTAACATTACTCGATCAAACCTATTCTAACATTCTTACATACAAAATGAGCATGAAAAGTATATATGACTCAGGCTGATCAGACACTTAGTAATAGCTTTGTGATGTATAATTGGGTCTTGCTGATGAGTTATCTATAACTTCTGTTTCATCACTTCCCATTCAGGAAAGGAAAACAATGGCACTGAATATGCAACACATTTCATGATGAAGAAAGCACAATATGCCAACACCACTTCACCGGTCAGTGAGGAAGGAGGAGACTCTAAGACCCAGTCGAGTGACGTCTGTTATTCCACAGTCAGCTTTAACAAAAACCCAACCTGCAGCTCCCTCCCGCCTCCAACTGAATACACCACATATTCATCTGTTAAACCCAAATAGGCAACCTGCACCATCTGAAAGGCTTAAAGTCATCTGGACAAATTTTCCTATTTAACTTTAGAGCTCATTAAATTAATCTCTGCACATGTTTACATTCTCCTTTTTTTGTAATGTTTTTAATTAGTGACAAACTGAGAAACCGACCCAAGGTCAGAATGAAAATTTTCAGCTCAGTTAACATCTTAACGTTCACAGTTATAAAATATTGTGTATAAAGTCATATTAAATAAATTAGAGAATTAATTCAGTTGTGGCACATTTGTCAGACTAAAAGTACATTTCAAATGAACAAGCTTTAAGAATGTATTAAACATACATTTCTGGAATACAAAGATAGTTTGTTGTCTTTTACTTCTGTTATATTGTGGTATGAGACATTTGACCATCATTAGTTGCTGTAATACTGTTGGAGGTTACCCAGCAGAGCCCAGATGGCAACATCCACTTTTCACTCTCTGTTAAAGCGGGTTAAACATGGTCCTAGGGTTTTTCTTTTTAAATCCTTCGAAGGACATGACTTGAATGCTTCAAAAAACAGTCGCAAATATTGTTTTTGTGCACAAATGTTGATTTTGCAAGATGTTACCCAGAATATGCAATTTAAGGCTCTATCAAACATGGCTAGACTCTTCTGAAAAAATGCTTAAGGACACAAATATGTTGCTGCAGGACCCACCATGGCTAGTATCATTGGAAACTACAGAGGCATACAGTGTCATACAGCATATATATATTTTATGCATGTTGTAAAGTGTCATAAAATGAAAATGAGCACTTGTATTTGACAATATTCTCTTTATGGAGTAAAACACATTTTTGACTGTTTCAGCAAGTGTCGAAACTGCCAACTGGACCATTGTGTCACCTCAACCTGACCCAGTGGGGATGTTTGTGGGCTTTAGAAAGTAGCACCGCTACACCTTCCCCCTTCGTTCTGGGTGACTCCCTAGTCGCCACCATGGGAGGAATCCTTCTGCTTCCTGTGCAACATTACTGCTCAGAACCTTAAGTGGAAGCTGAACACCACCTCCCTCACCAAGTAAACCAGCCTGACAGCTGTAGTAGTAGAATATTTCTTATCCTATTAATGGAACTTTCTTCTAAATTCAGTAAAAATGTACTCCAGCTTTGACATTAAACGTTTCTTTTGCACAGCAGTGACTATTAATGCTGAGAACACTTTTAACATTATTTTCATACAATTCCCTAATATTTACAGAAACACTGTGTTTTTCAAATTGATTAAATCTCAGTGTGATATTTTTTTATCCTTTTTTATTCCATTCTAATGACAAATTTGTGTAAATTCTGTTCCCCTAGTGGCTGAAGAAGGTTTTTATTTTCTTTTTTTTTTCCCAAGACCTGGATTATTTGTAATGCAAGTGGAACTAAAGAGTTTGCTCATTGCACCTGGATGGCATTGGCATCTTTTGCAGCGATGCTCTTCAGGATTAAGGCAAATGTATAAAATAGGCACGCTAGATGTTGACTCACGGATCGGGCAAGGTGGAACCGCCACCTGTAGACACCATTGGCTTTAAACCTCAGTCCATCAAGAAGGCAGATCTTTTTCACAGCTGCAGAGTACTTTAATCTGCAAGTGTCTGTAACTGAGTTTGTTTTTTTTTTTTTTTAGTTTCCCCTTCTTTGCTGTTATCTGTTGTTGCACATTTTTCTCTTTCCCTTTTGTATTTTAATTGAAGTGTTATCTGTTTGCATACACTGCAAAAATATGACTGTTATGGTTTGCATCTCTAAATTATCTTTAGGTTTTAGTCTGAGGCATATAACTGTGTTAGTGCTGTCATGATTCATGCAGCTGTTATTTCATCCAAATAAAAAAATGTGGAACAGATACGCAGACAATGGCTTGTCTACAGTGAAAAGAAGGACTATGTTACTTTTGTTTACTTTTGCCATCGCTGTAGTGTGAAAAAAAAAATTCAACTATTCACCCTAGTTAAATAAATAGCTAAAATAAATAATAGATTTATCGATTTCCCTCAGTTGGCACTTTATTTTCATACAGTCCTCACTGCTCTGTATTCAGGCCTATTCTGCCTGGGCAGTGTGTGTTCCCCCATACTTAGAACAATGGAAAGTAGTCAGATTCAAAACAAATTACAGACACTTTGGTTAATAGTAACATGTTATGAATAAACCTTGAGAAAGAATCTGGCTTGTTTTGGGAAGAAGCTATGTCTGGTCTACAAACACCCTCATGCAGGAGAATTGTGCGGCCTTGCAGGTGAAACAGACTGAGTGAAAACCTTTATAGTGAGTAAATAGGATAAATATATTTATGAAATAAGATAAATCTTAATTTTCTAACAACAGTTCCAGCCTTTTGATTATGAAAGGATATTATCCATGTTTAATCGAAAATAAAAAAGGAAAATTAGTGACAATCGGATTGTCATTTTAAATCAACTAAGTAGGTCTACTCAAAGTTAACACCTGCTCCCAATTAACTCGTTAGACCGGTCTTTGTTCAGTAAGTTATAAATACTCTCCCTGTGCAGTTTCTCAGTGCTTGTTCCTCATCTTTCCTCGTCTCTCTTTGGATCCTAGTGCATGTCTTTCCTTATGTCTCCTTGGTTCTGGTTTGCATTTTTAAGTTGAGCTTTTGGATTCATGCCTCAGTTACATTTGAACACTCCATTTAAACTACAAGAACCTACCTCTACCTCCCTGCCTCTGCATTTGGGTCCTCAAAACCTCAACCAAACCCTGACAAAACATGGTTTGTCAAGTCATCCACCTTGCCTAGTTTGACCTCTGAAAAGTTGTTCTCTCAGTGAGACTGCCATTTGTTATTTTTCTTTCACTTGGTGTACTCAATGTTACGTCCACCTGGCTTGTTTGGTGGGGTAACATTAATGGAGACCACAAAAGGATTTTCTGAGTTAATGAAAAATGAAATGTATTAAATTATATTAAGTAAACCCTGAAAAAGGATTACCTGAAATAAGAAGCCAAAACAGATTAATACAAAACCCATAACCAATTAGAAATAAATAAACGCAAAACAAACCTAACAAAACTCAATCATAAGGTCCAAACCAGACCAACTGGGGTTCTGAAGAGGGAGAGGAGAAAAAAGCCTGCTGACTGCTGCAGCATGACAGCTTTTAAAGCAGCAGAGCACCAATCAGGGAAAAAACATAACACCTGCAGAAGGCCTGCCTCCAGGACCCTAAAAGGAGAAAAAGCAGAGACCCACTGCAGCCGTAACACCTCCTCCCTTAAAGGGATAGTTCGGTATTTTTGACATGAATCTGTATGGCATCCCGATCACCAGCGGCATGCAATCACACTGACTTACCCCTGGCAGCGTCCTATGAGCAGAGTTATCGTCCAGTTTTGGTCAAGCCGAAAGTAGTCCTGCAGGTTTTTAGGAACAGCGAAATAAAACTTTTCTCTTCCCAAAACATTATGTGTCCAAAAGAGTGATATTTTTGCATCCCAAAAACATTGTAGTGGAAAAAGTCATCAACAACAGCCATGTCTCCCTCCGCCGCGGAAGGAGACATGGCTGTTGTTGGGCTCGCTGTCTGAATGACGGCGCGCACTGATACGAACAGAGAGAAAATAGGACCAATTGATAACGACGTGTGACTTTTTCCACTACAATGTTTTTGGGATGCGAAAATATCACTCTTTTGGACACATAATGTTTTGGGAAGAGAAACGTTTTATTTCGCTGTACCTAAAAACCTGCAGGACTACTTTCGGCTTGACCAAAACTGGACGATAACTCTGCTCACAGGACGCTGCCAGGGGTAAGTCAGTGTGATTGCATGCCGCTGGTGATCGGGATGCCATACAGATTCATGTCAAAAATACCGAACTATCCCTTTAAAACAGAGGATCCCAACAAGGACCTCTGTAACCATCTCAGCTTTTTGGTCAAACCATCGTTTCATTTTTCTCTGAGCCTTTTTAAGATTCTCAGAGGCTACATTGCCAGCCAAGAAAAGTCTGCGACAAAAACCATTAATGTAGTCAAACAAGTTTAATGGTGGATCAGAACTCTCCAAGTTCGATTTTAGAATAGCGAGAGGACCACGCACCTGATTTCCAAACACTAGTTCATTCGGACTGAACCCTGTACTTTCTTGCACAACTTCACGAGCTGCCAGAAGAAGCCAAGGCAGACCTTCTTCCCAGTCTCTACTCAACTCTGTGCAGTATGCTCGCAACAATGCCTTCAGGGTTTGGTGAAAACGCTCTAGCGCCCCCTGGCTTTGAGCATGATAAGCACTGCTTTGTTGATGAACTACACCAAGTTGTTTCAAAATCTCAGCAAACATACGTGAAGTGAAGTTGGCTCCTCTGTCTGTCTGAATGGTCTTTGGAATTCCAAACACTGAAATGAAATTCGACAAAGCTTTGACCACCGACTTTGTCGTAATGGTTTTCAGAGCATAGGCTGCAGGATAACGAGTGCTTCTACACATAACTGTCTGCAAATACACAGATCCTGACTTTGAAGGAATCAGTGGGCCAACACAGTCCACGATCAAGTGTTCAAAAGGTTTACCAGCAGCCGGTATGGGAAAAAGTGGAGCTGGTTTCAAGGTCTGATTAGGTTTCCCAGTTAACTGGCAAGTGTGACAAAGGAACAGGAAGAATTGGCAAACAGGCAGTCTTCTCAAGAATAGAACCAGGCTTACCAAACTCGACCTCCTTATCAGCCAAAGAACGAGTGATGGCACGAGTTACTGCATAAGCTGGAAAAGCCTCAGGAAAGTCTCGAGCACATATGTCTGACAAAGAAACGGATGGACAAGCTCGGACCACTGGAGGGGGTGCAACATCTCGCCACACACGCCCACCTGCCAGATTGTTTCCTAGAATGAGAGATACACCTTCCACAGGCAAAGAAGGACGAACAGCTATAGTTACCTCTCCAAGTTCTGACTGCAAGTAGATCTTATGAAGAGGCACAGAGAAAGTCTCCAACCCAATACCTCTAATTAAGACACTACAACCAGTATCAGATAAAAGAGAAAATGGCAAAACAGATTCCAATATGAAAGATTCAGATGCTCCGGTGTCACGTAGAATCTTCACAGCCACTTTATTTGAACTCCCACTCAAAGAAACAAACCCATTTGTGATGAAAGGTGCATAGTCTTGTCCGACATCCTTCTCACAAATCTGGGGATCTGTAACAGTCAGTTCTGAAAAAAACTTATAGTCAACAGGTGCAGCTAAAACAGTTGGTCTTACACTTTCAACTTTAGCTGGATGTGTAGACTCCACTGAATGCAACTGTGAAACACTGGCTAAAGCAACAGGTTTTTGATTAACTCGTTTACTCCTAGCCGATTTAATTTTGGTATTCAGAGGACACTCATTTTTCCAGTGTCCTTTCTGGCGACAATAGTTACAAACAGAGTCTGCTTTAGATTTCAATGTAGGTTCCACTCCAGTCTTACCAGAGAACCAGTCATGATGAGATTCCTTAAAGCTATAGCTGCCTTTCCAATTGTAATCCCTCACAGTTTTATGGGTCAGAACATACTCATCTGCCAAGACAGCAGCTTTAGCAGCAGTTTTTACCTTTTGCTCGTTAACATATGTGGCAACCCGATCTGGAATAATGGTCTTGAACTGTTCCAACACCATCAAATCACAAAGGGATTCAAACTCCTTCACACCTTCAGCTGATAACCAAC